CGGAGCCCGACCAGCAGCAAACGTGACGTGTAGAACCTTCGCGGCCCCTCGAGGAGCGTGCCGGATATGGGCCTTGGAGGCAGGAGTGATCTTGGTGGCCATATTGATAACTTGAGCGGCCGATGCGAGTGGGAAAGCCTTGCCGAGTGCAGCCACGACCTCGGCCTTAGGCTTGGGGCCCCTGCCCACGGCTGCCGCATAGGACTTGGTAGCCTCATGGGGGCCGTGTGTGGCGGGCTTAGGGTTGGGCGTCGACGTCTTCGACACTTTTGAGGAGGGAGGAGAGGGGGCGTCAGTCTGAGTGCTAACCTCAGTGACGGTCGTTGGTGGTGGGCAAAGCCTGGGCACCAGAGCGCTGAGCGGGGTCCCGGTCATTTGAGACCACTTGAGGAGGAACGCCTGGATAGCGGCCATGGATTGGCCAATATCCTCCGGCGAGGGGCGTGTGGCGAGGTCGGCAAAGTCCGGTTTCGCGAACCAGCCTTGCATAGCCTCGAAAAACTTGCGTAGTTGTTGAAAGTCGAGAGCGATTTTGCTCTCATCGTCGACGGCCATTTCCTCTGAATCCTCCACCTCGGGGGTGGGGGCTCGCTGGAATGCACGGTACTGGGGTGTCTGTCGTTGATTCGCCTGTCGTGGTATGTTGGGAGGTCTAGGGGAAGGGGGGAAACGATTCGGAGGGCCGTGGGAATTTTGCCACGACATGACAGTCCGGAGCAAGAGGCGATGCCTTGGGTGTCTTCGTCTCTCTCAGTCTCTCTCTACCGTGTTCCAACAGCGGTCCTCTGCCTTCCTCTGCTGCACACTGTGATTGACAACATTGTACTTACCTCGAAGGGCGGATATACCATTGCTTTTTTATGAAATCTCCCTGAGTGTACTGTGCCATTCTAGAAATCGCGCTCCATCGCGATCTTTATCCGTACCTCCCAACTTTTGGCGACCTAAATGGATTTGAATGGTCATTCTGGACGATCTCTGGCCCTTTATTGACGCTATTTGTCGAGAATCTGAGCTTCTGGCAGTGCTGCTTTTGTTCTCGACGGTCGAGAGGTAGATGATCGAGTGGGATGAATACCAACAGGTGTAGTTGTGGTACGGCAATGCAGGTTCGTCTGAGCAGTCTCCTAGTTTTCGCTCGTGCGCTGACAGAGGACGGCATCCTAACCATACCTCATGTTTTTTTTGAGATACCACCATATTCTTCCCCAGTCGCTCAAACTGCCTCGACCAGTATAGACGTCACGAACAGCCAACCCGTCGACCGTCTTCTACCCCGCTTCCCCTTTGAACGCACATCCATGCTCACCGCTTGGGTCGCGTACTCGACCGCAAGACATACCGCCTTTCGGTATTGAGGTTCTTCTTGTTGTCATCATCGAATCAATCCTTCCCGCTGTTCGGCCAGAGCCGACCGTCCTGACATTGCACTGCTACACTCGGTGGCTGTCTCCCGTACGTTCTTCACCTTCGTATGCTCCCTTATGCTCTCAGACCTTCTCTGTGTTTCGCTCCCATCGCTCTTCTCTATGTTTCGATCCCATCCCCGCGCATGCTGGCTAGGCTCCGTTCTCCGTTCTACGGCCTGACATGGTCGCCGTCGCCACAGTACTCCCGCTACGCGAGTCACATTCGAGCGCCTAAGATTGTCGGTTTGATCTCGGGAATGTGATACTCGTTATACTTGTACAATGGCTAGACACTCTGGGCTACATACACTCTTGCCCTCGATCGCCACTACACTGTGGTCCGGGAGGGGATACGCAGGGACTGCGGGTATGGTTTAGGGGTACGCCTCTCCAGACTCTTTTCTTGGTCCCCTTTACTCTTCCGTATCGTCATAATACACGCAGTCTACTTCAAGTCCCAGATCTCATTCCCTTCGGTAGCCCCGTTCATCGACCACATCTCCGTTCTCCATTGCCTCACGTTTCATTCCAATTCCTCTTTCTGTTTAGTATGACATATAATTGAATATTTGTGCAATAGGTGGTTGATCGCGATGGTTGGGATTCAATATGTGGCAATGAACATGACAGAGCTGGCTTCCTCTATGCCTACCATTGCATGCCCCTATGTCCTCCCTCTCCTCCTCCCTCATCACTCCGAGTCGTCCCTTTCCTTGCCTTCCCCCGTCATATATGCGTATGATGGCGAACTAACAGCTTCTTTGCGTGCTCCGCGCTCGTATCGCAGCTTCCGGTGGTCTGTATTACGCTGCTACCGTCCTCACACCGGAAGGTTGGGGCCCGCTGGCTTCGTGAATGACTGGCTGGTAAGCCTATTCCACCCTTCCGTTCCCTTACGGTCCTAATGGAAAATGTAACACATATATTAATGTCGTATGTGCAGGTCAATTGGATCGGTCAGGTCACGGGCGCCCGTCGGTCGATTATGGATGTGCTGTACGTGTCGTTCAAGTTCCCCTTAGTCGCGCATACATCGTGCTGAACTACTCGTCATGATACAAACCATGATGTATGCATCCCAGTCTTTCTGGCCCCTGGCGTACTAAACCTGACCACCCCACCCCTCCCCATCCAGCCTCGCCGCAGCCTCAGTCTAAGACCCCTCCTACGTCTCCACAAACCACCAAACCTTCCTCCTCACCGTCTCCCTCCTCCTCATCCACGGTGCCATCTCCTCCCTCAGCACGAGACATATAGGTATCTTCAGTTCGGCGTCGACGTGGTTGAATATGACTTCTGAGTTATTGTGTTAGTGATTATCCCGAGTACGACTACCAATCGGTCCGATTTCCACTTCTTTTGGGACGCTTGAGGAGTAGGCATTGGTTGGCTGAATACTCATGCGGATGTCTATGTAGCGAACCACAGTTTAATCCGAGCAGCGAAGTCTTGGGGACTATCTCCGTACGTCCTCGTCCCCTTTATGTCTCGTTCCTTTCAGCGTCCTTCCCCCGCCAACCAATCAAATCACTAACCTGAGCTCGCATACAACGGACGCAGAACGAAACCGAGTGGCTCAACGGGATCGCCATCTTCGTGTCCATCATCTCCGTCATCTATACGATGCGCTTGTTCACTCGTCCGAAGAATGCTCGAACGCGGCGATCGCAAGTCCACAGGCTATTGTGTTGACTGCGGAGACGGGCGGGGTGTTGGGTTGGTTCTTGATGCTTGATGCTTGATGCGTACTCCCGCCTACCTCCTGTCGTCTGCCTTTGCGCTAGGGTAATTTGGTGGTGTAATATAATGCTGACAGTGGGATCGGATGGATAGTGATCGCGTATACGGTGTGAGATATACCCGTAGTCATCGACTCCGAGCTCGGCCAGCCGTTCGCGGCGCATTGTTTGCAAGTCTTGCCACAGAAGACGGCGATGGCTCACTGTCTCACCATGACTGTGGTGGCGAGGACGAGGCATTGTCGTGCATGTAGCTAGCCTCAGGCACGGCATGCTGAGGAGTTCGCGGGGGCGAGAAGTACGTGCGCTCGTCTGCTTTTTTCACACGCTCAGCTCGGCAAGTGTGAACAAGGACGACATTATCTTTGCGCGATCCCAAGCTACCATGGCTGTGGTCCAGATATCGCTCTTGTACCCGCTATGTCGACTGGCCATCCAGCTATTGTGAACTGGGGCTATTCAAGTCGATTTTATAAATGTAAATGGTGCCACACATTGGAATGCTCAACCATTCTGATCTTACCGCTATAGACATTCCAGGTTGACCTATGTAATGTGCCCGAAAGATCCGCGATTGAGCGTCCCACCAAGTAAGTAGTCCTCGTACATGATCTGAAAAAGGTCTGAGTGACAAACCGGGATGATACCAAGAGATTATAGGTGAGGACACATCCGAGCTGAAAACATGTCACAGAAAGCGTAGTCGGAGTCGGGGACTTGAGGAGGTAGTATGTTGAGATTAAGAGTCGTTCTTTGAAGTCGGAGATATTCGGTACCAAGAATTGTTTACTTACATAATGAATATCCTACACCCTCCTACACCCTCCTACACCAAGTACATTATTGTAGCATCTCGCCACAGAGATCTTCGACTATCTAAACTACGGAAACGCCACAATGATTCGCAAACCTTGAGAACACAAGAGACTCGAGTGATGTAAATAAAACTATGCGGGGGGATTAGCAACGAGAGAACGAATGGGGGCATATAGCGCATGGCTGAAGACATGTCGTTTGAGCATTTTAACGGCATGTGACTTGTTTTCCCCGTCTATGAGGCCGCGAATCACCTCTATGTCAAACTGTGTCATGTCTGTCCGCATCTTGAACCGGTTTCCTCGGTCTGCACGGATGAGATTGTTCAAGTATCTATGGAAAACAAAATCACATCAGGATCAGTACCGGACGTAAAGAAACAAAGCGTGGTGTAGACAAGATAAACGTACTGAATAGCTATATCTTCATCCAGCGGCGCCTCAGCTTCTCCTTCGGGCGTGAGATAGTCATATGTGGGCGATGAGCGGGCGTATTTGAGCACACGTTCCGTGAGCGGGATGCAGCAGTCCCATGCTAATTCGCTCCTGCTGCACGTGAAGTGGATGAAAAAAGGTTTAGTGCCCTTCGGAAACGTTGGGACACATTTGCGCCATATATCCAGTCTCATCCCCGTCAAGACGTCGCTCTCTGTATTTTTCCCAGCACCAGTGACTTGCACCATTCCCTCTATCTTCTTAGAGGGATCAGGCGCTGACTCCACGATAGCGAAGAAGTCGTGGATGTCAGACGGCTCGATGGAGAGGTAGACGTGGATCATAGGGGGGTTGTCGTCGCAGTAATCCTCGAACATGTCGAACGAGAAAGCGGCGTAGAGCTGGAGGTACGTAGAGGTGTACAGGTTGCTGGTGATCGCTTCGATGAACTGGGTTATCCCTGGACCTTCGACCTTGTGACAGTCCGGCTTGTGCTTGGGCCTTTGAAGATAATCTCAGCATCAGACTGACGACATATAGGGGATATGAAACTTCGGTGACCTACCAATCTTTCAACTGGCACTGAGCGGGGGAAGAAGTCAAATACATGTCAGTCACATGGATTTATCATGAACAAGATCGTATAGCGTACTTCTTTGGAGCAGTACCACGGCCCCTTGCACTACACGAAAAGATTCCACGGTTAGCTGACCTCGGGAACATCAGTGTCGCTGAGTGGAAAGAAGGACTTACCCTAGAGCACCTTTTCATGGTCTTTCCTTCTTCTAAATAGCACTCTACAGTAGAACAGCCAGAACACATAACGGTTCTGACTCCAGCTTCCTTGTCGAGAGACATTGGGAACGGGAGCGAGCCAACGACGTCCTCGTTGTTATCCATTGTCGCTCGAGTGAGATCCGAAGGATCGACGCTTTGAAGTGTTTCCCTGGAAGACATAGTGCAGAGCAAGAAAGGGATTCCAACAACGAGTGAAAGACAGGTGGATGGTCCTTGCTACGAAGAGAGAGTGTGAGATGAAAGCAAGTAGCGGGTGGACCGTCGAGTTGAGCCACTTGACGGCGATTGTCGTGTCTTGCCGTGTCTTGTGTCAAAGTGGCACTGTGACATCACATGATCCCTCCAAATGTGGCCTGTCCTCCTTGGCGGTGATGCTCTGCCATCCGTATGCCAGTGAGAAATAGTAATAATAATGTGACATTAATTGACCAACAATGCGGTACTCATCGTACCCGCATCGTGCTTTTATCTCTCATAGAAGTATATGTCTTTCGTAGTTTTTTTCCGTCCTCTCCTCCACCTTGGTCTCGAACAAGGTTGGAAGTAGGCTTGCACAGGTTCCCACGCCAATTCACTACCGTGAAATTGTTTCCATTTGGAGTACAAAAATATTCGAAAATTGGGGTCGCTTCTAGTGACAGATATTTAACTGAGAATGGTCGAGCTCGAGGAGAGGGAGGGAGAGGAAGCCCGCGGCGTGTGACGCTCGAGACGCCACGCCGTCCCAAGGTTCAACGTGATGACGTCATCCTCATCAGGCCTCCGTGAATTGCCCCGGATTGGAAAAGAAATATATAGAGCTTACAGCCGTTTGCATATGAGATCGGAGTGATGCACGGAGAAAAAAATGGTGTGCCTCAAACCAAACAAAGCCATAAACGGCAGTTCTTTTCCGCGCGCGTCGGCAGTGGCACCGTCGTGCAAAGCTTTGTGCTGTGTGTATACTTTGAAAGTTTCGACAGCCTCTACACTCAAGTCTTTCGTTTATTAGCAAAGGTCTTGCCATGACACAATGTGTTTTGTTTCTCAGCTAAAACATTGTACCAATAACAAAGGACATCAAACGAAACCAGAAAAAAGAGTGCAGAATCAGAGAACGTCACGGTAAACTTACATACAGAGACGGACTACTAGTGTCATACACGTACGGGAGAATAACGCGCCGTGAAGAGCACTCAAACGTGGTACATGTAAGCGAACAGGATAGTGTGGTGTGTGGAACGTTGTCCACAGATGTGTCATGCTAGGAGGGAGGAGACGGCGTCTGAACGAGTACATGAGTGGGCATGACGGGTGCATGGCAGCCGACGACGACGCGTTAAATGTAAACCCTCTCCCGCGAGCGTGCATGTGAACAGTCGAAAGCAAGGAACAAAATATAAATCATAGCTCACCAAAAGAGCCAGCGACAACCGTACGCCCATCTCGACCTCCGATATTTTTTTCAACCATCACTGTGTCCTACAATTACAACTGCACCTGCAGTGACCAAAGACCGTTGGAGCTGCCAGATCACTTGAAGACGTGCGGATTCGACCTCGAGGAACACGTAACCCAAACAGCTTGACAGAGTCTGCCCGTGAATGATTCGGCGGAGCGGTTACAAGAGCAGCGAGCTGGGGAGGTAGACTCCTTGTGATGAGCCGGTGTACCCAGTATCGCCAGGTGTGTTTGGAGCGAGAATAAAACAGATACCAAGTCTCTCCGAACGACCCTGAAAGACACTGAAGGCGAGCAGTGGCAGAACGAAGCAGATGCCTGCAGATGCACCAGGTAGTCCGCCCACAGTGCGCCACACAAAGCCTGCCGAAGTCGCGCCGAGAATGACTGCCGTTTATGGTTTTGTTTGGTCGAGACGCGCCATTTTTTTCTCCGCGCATCACTCCGATCTCATATGCAAACGGCTGTATAAAAGACCGTATTAGGCAAATTCGGTTATCAAGGCCAATAAGTTGCGAAATCAACTACCTCGCTCATTGATATCTTATAGACATCTTACAAGCATCGTCAAGCTTGTCGTTTACGACGATAGCGAACGTAGATTTACTCAGCGGGGTTCCTCGGGCTCTCACTGCTCAGTTCTCTGAAACTGCTTTCCCCCCCGAGACAAAAAAGAAAGAAAGAATAATGACATAGACACTGACTATAGATTTACATAGTACATAAACACAGTACATACACACAGTACATACACACATGGTGTCCCTCCAACTCCACCCGAGCTGATACTATCCAGTCGCCATCCTACAAGTCCTACCAAAACCCTAACAGCGATGCTTCATGAGGCACTCCGAGGGACACGGCGGTTGAACGCGTTGACGACGGGAGGGCAAGACAGAAGGCACAGCTACAGCTACAGACCTGAGCAGAAGACATCTACAGCTAGCCCAAGTAGCACAGAGAACGCAATCCAGTTCGGCTCATGAGGTCAGCCAGCAGCGTCCAACGTCTAGTCGGCTGTCAAGTCCGAGCGTGCTTATATCAACTCCGAGATATCGTCGTGTTCGAGCTTCGCGATCAGTGCTTGAGGAAGGCCTACGCAATGATGATGGGTAAACGCTGCGATATCGAAGGTAGAATGGACCTGGCGTCGACGAGGGGTATGAGGACAAAGTGAGGCGGAGGTTGTGGTGGTTGGAGAAGACGAAATGGTACGATTTCTAGGCGCATGCGTAGCCGAATTCGCACGATCGACCCGGATCCGATCAAAATCCGAGCCCTGTTTGGGGGAGTGGCAGCGGCCAGAGCCACATTGGGCACGGATCCTATTCCTACGAGGTAATGCAACATCCGCAGACACACTTCTAATTCCCGGCAAGCTTGACTGGGATAAAGAAACTCTCAAGAATTACAAATATACCGTGGCAATCTTCCATGTCTAAATAATCTCCACAATCAACTGTATAGCTGGGCCGGGAAGCGTGATGTAAACCGAACGCTTTATATCTTTGTTTGCTCTTTGTCTTTGCGATATCTCCGACCTCAAGCTGCATGATTTCGTTTTCGATGCATACCTACATCTGGCGATGAATATAATACATTGATGAATTACACCTCTGGTGTTCTCCATGCGCTTGACCAAGAACCCTACCTATTTCTACCCGACCTTTTGGTGACCAAACGCATTAAATTGCTTCTCCGCGATCTTTGGCCCTCTCTCCCTTGACGGTTGGTGAGTAGATGATAGAGTTGGTCGAATGGGAAATGCTGTGTGTAAAGCCCGGCGATGAAGGTTCGTCTGAGTAGTCTCGTATTCTCCCTTGGTGTGCTGAAGGGAGGTGTCATTTTAGTGCTATCTATACCTGTATCTTTTCTTACGCGTCATCAGGTCCTCTTACAGCTTGTAAAAGGACTTCGAATACCCCAGACGTAACGAACCGCCAGCAGCTCGACATATCTTAACCCCGCTTTTCAGGCGCCCGACCATGTCCTTCGCTTCCGTATCAAACACAAAAAATATTCCTTTGAATGTTGATAGTACTCACTCTAACGTTTGTCGAGGTCGGATTCCCTAGAGACCGGTATGTTCTTCACCATTCTATAGTTATCTATATTCTTCACTCCCTTTCGGCCCTGCTGTCGCGCATGGCCACTTGTCGCTCGTTCTTTCTCTCATCGCTGTCAGTGGCCAAAATTTTCCCGCCATCGGCATCGTCGGCGACCGCTGGCGACTGACAGCAGCCCAAACTGGCCGCTCGCTAATGTATCGGGGTGTACATTGTAACCAAGGCGGATCGCTTTATATCAAGGCTAGGGCTGTGAGTTCGACTCTCATGGATGGTCCGAAATCGAGCTAAGCCGTTTATCTTGCTCCATCCATAAATCTCCTTCGACGCGTAGTTCCTCCCACTTATACGGCTCGCTCTGACAAACACACGTGCACACCCGTGTCCGTTCATCCAGTAAGTGAACGATGCTTCCGCACGGGGTCTTATCTCTGCACAATCCGAAGCTTTGCCTGGCTGTGGTCCAGGCACCGATTTTGTACTCATTTCGTCGACTGGCTGCTTCGTTGCATCGGTTATCTTGTGCTCGTGACGGAAAGAGAATGCTGTACCATGGAGACCTCGTTGGCGTTTCCCAGCGTCTGTGCCACCGTCATTGTGGGAGCAGATGGACTTGATATGCACACATACGCCTGCGCGTCGTTACCCTCACTCTCGTATCTCTCCTCTGTGCTTGACGTCCATGTCTCAAATCGTTGGCTTCACTTTTGGCTCCTTCGGAGACATCCTCTCTATACTTCAGCTCGCTCGTACTGTCCAACGTTTGTTGAGCGACAGCCTCGGCGCTTCATCGGAGTATCAAGACCTGCTCCTTGAGCTCGACAGGATGTTGCGCGTTCTTCACCTGGTCCAGGGCGCCACCACTCCTCGCCATGGCTCCGGATCTCTGTCGATCAACACTCATGAGGACCTGAGATTGTCTATCACTCGTTGCCGGATCGTCATATTCGATTTGTATGCCAGGATTCAGAAATTCCGGGAGAGCTTGAGGAAAGGGGGATCGGGTAGCAGAATGAGGGATTCGTGGCGCAAGATCGGATGGGGATTATTCAAGGTTGATGAGTTGGTGGACATCAGGAGGAAATTGAAGGATGAGGGCGACGTTATCATGACTCTATTGGACGTGTCCAATTCGTACGTCCCGTCGTTCTCTCATTTATAGACATGAGCATCGATTCAGTTGTCGATTGATGTTTCGTACAGGATGGCGATCAGCCGGGTCGAGGACATAGTTCGGGCCTCACAGGCGAATGTGCTCGAGATCAAGCATTGCATCGATGAAATCCCCGAGGTCCTGGGCTACTACTGGGAAGGCGGTTCCATGATTGGCGATCGGCCTATTATTTTGAACGACATGCTAGGTCAATGCATTCAGCTGCCTGCACAAATTTATAGAACCTGGAGTGTACGTTCGAATTTCGCGCAGTAGGGATAGAACGTACTAAGTAGACCATCTTTGGTCGTACTTTCCAGGAATTTCAACGCTTCTTGCGCTTCCACTATCAAAGGAAGGCAGGCCATCGCTTTATCGTATCAGGAGAGTATGATCTATCGTCAGATCATAATAGGAACTCCTTATCTCCTACGAACTGGGTAGTACGGCCGGGAACTGTAATCGACATGAGCGCTCGCCTTCGAGTGATTCGGTTCAGACCGGGTGCTAATGCCACTGTCTACATTGAAGTCTGCCCGTCTTGCTCTCGTTCAAATATCCAGGAAAATAGCATGAAACAGTTAGCGGAAGTCACATGGTGCGTACTTCTTCATTGCTCAAGTTCCTATATATTAACGATGAATCTTCCGCACATGCTAGCTCCTACTGCGGTTCAACTTACTCTGTTGCGGAAGCAAAGAGCGCTGTGCCTCCCAGCGACATCATAGGGCCACGCTTTATGGATGGGTCGTACGAGGATCTGCATTTCGGAAACTCACTCTCTGACGAGATCGAGTCTGTTGCACTGCCGTACTTGTGTCCATCAGCGATTAAGATATGGAACGACCGGGATGATTCGCGCTTTCTACGGCGCATCAAGGTGATAGAGTCATACGTGGAAGAATTGCGTCGGTCCTCTCCTTGACTCCTCGGACACGCCTCCATATTACTCACAATCATACACTTTAGGCACTCTGGAAGAATTCTCCTATTTCAGCAACCGTCTTAACGTCCCATTCTCCACAAAGATAAACGGTCAAGACGTATTGGATCTTGCACTCGAGGAGGCCTTTGGCTGTGCGACAGATTTGAAGAAGACGGAGAGGCATTATTCACGACTCTTGAGTCTACTCCAACACATATCTTGTGTTCTCATCGGCATGCAATGTTTCTTCCCCACTAAAAATGGATTGCCGATCGAAAATTCTCATGTGTTACCACCTTCGATCCAACTTGTGTTTCAGCAGACCATGCGGATTGTACTTCGGTTCAACCTTTGCGCAGCTGATATACAGCGCAAGAAGGACGAGGGACTCAGTCCAACGGCCATTATTCGTGAGACCGACGAGTTATTCTTGGACACGTACAGTCAGCTGTTGGAACATCATCAGATTCTTCTCTTGTTCGCAAAGTTTGCGAACCGTGCTCAGGCAAGCTGGTTTCATCCTCTATACCGGTGCGGAATTTAGAATTTATTGTGTGTAAAACTTACAGGATATTCGAATGAACTTCGACTCGTCGATCCTACCTTCATACTATTCAGATGAGTCTGACTCAGACTAAGCTGAGTCAATTTGGGAGAGGTGGCAACAATAACCGGGACAGGGATGTGTAAATAACATTGGACATAATGCACAGATACTCTCTACGTTCATCTTATTCTGGGTAGAATCTACAGTGGCGTTGTATATCTGGTTCATCCATCGAGCCAAGATAATGACAGTGAAGCTATATGGGCAATATCCTAGCATTCAGACCTCCGACTACCTTCCGCTGTTTCATGCGTTGTGTGAGTGGCAAGTATCGCGGCGAACTTGTACGCCGGGTGAGAATGGCGTGGTGTGGCTGCTTACTAGCAGCGAGCCCGTGCTACGCACGGGTAGCAGATAGACTACTACCTGAGTGATATTGAATATTGAATGTTTGATATAGGAAGAAGGAACCCCCGTCGAGACTGCCTCGAACTCCGGGTCGAGGCGCTATCGCGCCTCCACCCTCCATTTTCCCGCAGACTCTCCAGGGGTTCTCTCTCATGTGTTGCTGACTTTAACAGGATGCAGTATGTTGGATTTAATCTCTTCTAGCCAGGGAAGAAAGCGAGAGGTTAAGACTCTACTCCTTGCCTCCCACAACTCTTTGCATAAGTCAACGATTCTGCCGTGTCCTACCTCGATCAACTATGTGCTTACCGGGAGGAAGTTTAAACAAGTCACTTACATCCGAGTCGCGCCCGTGACCACAGTATACCACTGAAGAGATCTTGCAGATAGTCCCACCGTACTATGAGTGATGCCTGTGTTGTGTATGAGGAACACTGGATAAACTACAAGCTATTGATTTATATCAGAACGACCCCCTGCGGGAAACCACTGTGGTCGCCACTTCGCGAAACTTCGAGAATCGAGAGTGTGGCGTTGTCGCACAGCCGCGCGGTTGGTCAGCAGATGCTTCCGACTGCTTGGCCAGCCAATGAGAATGTGTTTTTGTCTCGATATCAGCTTCTGTAGTATATAGGACTAGCAGTAAGCCCGTGCTCCGCACGGCATGTGCATAAGTATCGCACAGAATGCATTGATGTTATTTGATTTCAGAATACTAATTGTTCGGAACTACACCCTTCCCCTTGCTCGTCGAAGCTCCTGAGGATGACACTCAAGCCTGTTGTGTAGCAGAGCGTGTTTGATGTTTGACGACTGGGCACAAATTTACGCTTCTTCAACGCCTTCATTCAATTTTGCGTCTGCATATTAGGCTCCATTAAGTCTGACTCAAGCGCCCCACATAACATAGTAAGAGCAGATCATGCATGGGGAGAACCAGAACACTAAGCAGAGGGCGAAGAGGTAAGGATGAGGGAAGGAAGGACGTGAGATGATTAGGGACAACCGAGACGCAGACGCGCGGGAAAGGAAGGAGCCCAACTTGCCATAGGAGGAAAGTTCATTTGCCATCAAAGGAACTTGTCTACACCCCACTCTAAATTAGTAGTTTAGATATTCTACAAGTCTACCGTACGAGATCCCGGTTAGCTCTTCTCCCCCTCTATTCAACCCAAATTCTACCACTACCGTGACCGGCATCTCTTGTCGTGTGCTTCTACGTCAGGATTTTGTTTATTTGCACCTCCTTCGGCTACCTTCGTACCGTAACTCGCTTAAGTCTCCCGGACACAATATTGTTACTGAGTTTATCCGGAAAGGTTCGCCTTAAAAATTCTTCAGGTGTTCAGCTGCCCGTTGCGTGGTTCGTGTGGGTATATGGAATGCATACAGACCTTGTCGTAGAATTCGTTCGGCTGATGACAGGCATCACGCATATGACTGTAACCCGGCTTTTTTGCTGCCAACGTAGGACAGGGCTCAACAGCTCGTCATGCTGCCTTGGAAGTTGGTAGTCCCTGCATTCTTGTTAACCTCTACCGTGATTTTCGTCAAAGCGACCATTCGTGTATGATAGAATTATTACATACGTACATAAGTTACAGCACAACCCATAGCTAGATGCGAGTGATACATGTCCAGTCGTGTAGTACTCATAACTGTCGGCTGAAAGAATTCTGCTGTTCTCGCCTCATTGTATCCCATCTCTGAAACATTAAATCTCCTGACGATCTGTCTATTTCCTCGCGAGAGCGGTTCTGACTTCGCCTCTCTCTCCCTTCCGTTCCAACCGGGTGTAGTACACCACCGGTCTCGTTCACATCCGCAGCGCTGCTAGTCCGCCATCGCGAAAAAGGCCTGAGGGTGCTGACAGAAAGTGCACTCTCTGGTCGGGACGGAAGCGCGCCGTCATCGAGAGGATGCGAGTGGGAGTTTGCGAGTATGTCTAGCTCAACGTCGCAGTTGTGGAGGCCTGTCGTTGTATCGCCAAAGGGAGGCTCCTGTAGCTCAGTCCTCTCGAATACTCCATCACTACGGCTCTTCGTATCCGCCATATTATCTCCGTCCTTCCTCTTCGCAGTTAAATAGTCACCGCTTGTATGAGTTCCACTGAAGTCTGGGGTTTGAACAGTCGAGAGTTCAATCGTGACAACGACAGGATTTGTATTGCTCGGAGTTGGGCTGCGCTCCATATCACGTTTCGCGAAGACGAGCTCGGAGTGGGTACTGAGGGTAGTGTTAATGTGGTGGGAGAGAGTGGGCCATATGCACGACATAAGAGATTTGAGTCCACGGACGAGCGCCTGAGTGCGATGACATGAGATGGTTTATGAAGTATATCACGGCAGTGTCGAGACGAAAGTTCCAAAACAGTGGTATGAAAACTTACAGGATCTGTGGCGGCTAAGAGAGCATATAAGACAGCGCGACCACCGTAAAGGATGTCACCTAGGATGACAGGGCTTCGTAAGTAACTATGTGAGACAAGGGTTCCGTGAAAACACAGACCAAGTAAGAGAATGTTGTAGTCCTGCGACGCCTCTTGTGTGAGCATGATGGTCACGACGATTGATATCCCTGATGATACGCACCTTCCTGCTTAATATGCCTACGTTGATGGTCGCGTTCAAGGCTGCCAGAATACTCATGGCGTTCACAATGCATGCGGTGATAGGGTAGAGCGCTTTTCGTCGGCATAAGTCCCTTGTGAAGCGTCGAGTTTCCAACGGTACTCACCGATACGTGCGATGATTCTCTTGTAATTATTCGCATGGAGTACTTGAGACTCGACAGAGAAACCTTGTACACCGTTAGATATCTCACTCATCGTCAAGATACGTTTCTGGTAAAGCTGATATCAACAATGCTTGTCAGTGTCAGGAGTATTGCGGTAAGAATTTGAGATGGGAGGTCATTGCCGAACTGACATGGTGTCGTATCATGAAAATCATCACCCATGACGAAGAAATAATCGCTCCGACCACTGTCAGTCCAGTCCATACCATCTGAGTTCCGAGCTAGTCATCAAAGGGATACGTCAGCATAGACGACGCACGATCGCAGTGAGATCAGTATGGGATTCACCTGCCATGCAAGCCGCTCTCCCTGATTGTCACTCGTATACCAGCAGTCGCGCTCGAGAGGGTCCCATCTAGCAATACAGCGCGTGTCATTAGTAGACTTGAGGCGAGTGGAACAAAAAAACCGTGATTCTACGGACCCGTACTGTCCATTGGCGTATGGTGGTACTGCGAGACAGATTGAGACGAACACAGATCCAATAATATAATACTTTTCCATCGTCTGGCCATTATAACCATGTACGACTACAAGTCTACACAATATCAGAGCTACTCATCATCGAGTAAACCAAGTGAAACTCACTGGAGATTAAGAGCTATCACAAACAGCATGCAGCTTGCGAACTCGAGAGATATCTAGACGATCGGATGAACATCCTGAAGCTCGGTCGCGGTATACAAGTCAAATGGGCGAACCTGTAACACGAAGACAGAAAATCCGCATCCCCAACTGGGACCCGATAGTTCTCCTCCCACAGCGCTTGAGACGCCGAACACCACACTACAACAGTCCGGGTTATCATAGCGGCAAGGACATAGCAGCAAAACACGTACTTTGCAGCCAAAGCGTACATCACTATCCGAAAACTCACCCGATCCAAGTGATGGCGGGATGGTTTGTGTTGTGAGACGACGACAGCACATAGTAGTACTAAGCAGCAGACACCAGCGCCCACCGTCGAAGTCACAGCCCATAGTCGATTGCTAAAAAGGGGGGACGCAGATACACCGGCATGAGCTCTCTAATGAGAGATAAATATTGAGGTCGCCCTACGAAAAGCTTTCCATCTCGGGAGTGAATTCGAAGGTCATGATGCTCCAAAACACAGCACTCCAAGTGTACACCGCTGCCCACTCCGCCTAAAATAGGCAGCCAAGCGAGAGCTATAGACGAAGAGACTGCAGCCTGAGTATGTCAAAGTTGACAGATAGTAGAGGTTGAGGATGAGGTAGCGAGGGCGGAAGACGTCGTCGAGGGAAGTGATCTTATTTTACTATATAAGTATGTTGCAGCATAAGGTCGACTCACACGCGATGGTTGGTCTCAGGGCCCACGAAGGTTTGTGTTCGGCAGAACGCCACGAAGGAGAAGCACCGCCGGTTCCATCACGATCATCGGTTGAGAGATATAGCCATGGATGTCAAAGCACCAGCACAGACGGATTGATTCAGCGAATTCGTCTCAGCGTGAGTGTTAGCTCTCAGAGCAACAGATGCGACGTGACTTGACCAGAGATGGGGTTCAAGAGGTACGTCAAAAAGGAAAAGACAAGCAAAAAGAAAAAGAATCGGACAGCAACCATCGGCATCAGCCGAGCAGCAGTTGGCTGTGAACCGAAGTCGTGAGCTTCCGACTTGTCTTCTTCGTGTTTTGTCACTCTCACATTCTTGCCTTGACGACATCACACCGCCATACTATGTAGCACGTCTGGATACCGAAGGAAAACGTGGTTTTGGTACTCTGTGAGGTCGCATGTCCCTTTTCACAGCCATTTTGGTGATGCTGAGAGAAAAGAGTGACCGGCGGCCTAAGTGATGCGATGTTAGTCAATGAATGAGCCCCCAATGATCTTTACTTGCGCCGACATTGTCCACACAATTGGTATATGATGACCAGAAATCAACGTCAACATACCTCAACATCTCACTGCGCCCAAAGAGCGATTTGTGCCTGGTCGTGATCGTACGTTCTACCGGCTAGCCATCCTCAAGAATTTAAACGGATATGAAGGGCGAGGTGAGAACATCTTATTATGCGGCTTCCGTTCTTTATATAAGGATCACATGGTATATAACTGAACCGAAACCATCGTGTCGTAGACGAAACTATGGACCTACCACAGTTTTTGTATATAACTTTACTTCGAGGACGAACATCAGTCAAAGTTGAGGCATCTCCTTCGTTACCAGAGGACACCCTCCTACTAACCAACGCACTTATAGCAATCACTTTCGTGCAGAGTTCACCCGATCTCCCTCATACTCATGATCGTACATACTACAACAAAGATGGCATCTCGCACTTTTGCGAGGTAGTAAGTCATTCAAAGTCGTAGCATAGCGTGATAAACCTACTCATCCCATCTTGAAGAAAAATCCTAACTCATAGCGCAGCCTTGCCTGCAGTCTGTAAACAGCGAGGGTCAGTAAGTCACGAAAGAAGAGAATGAGGATAGACAGCTTACCTCGATGGGCAACAAGAGCATCAATGCCGATGCGGCGATGAACAAGCTTGCTGACACAAAGATCGGTCTACCGAGCCAAACAAACGACGGTTTAACGTCAGTATTATATCAAGCAAGATAGACCGAGGGAAAGGAGACATGAACGCACCCGTTCGCAGTTGAACTGCTCCCTGTGCCTGAAGCTGGTGTAGTGGCGATCTTGATGACGGGAGCGAGAATGCCCGTGATACGGTTGAAAGATGAGCAGAGAGCATCGCCTGTACCGCGATGAGGAGCGGGGAAGACTTCGGGGGTGTAGGCATACAGGACACCGTACATCTATTGTGTGGCGTAAGAGTCTATACGAGACGATACGAGAAGGATAAGGAGGAGCTTACCGCATTTCTGAAGTAATCGGTAGACGTCAGCATTGAAAGGAGCCGTGAGGAGGGCTGGATGAAGTACTCACTGTGTCAACCCACTCGCACACGAGAAACCTAACACATCCGCTTCTTTTGTACTTGTCGTAAACAAGAACAAGAATATCCCCGTCAACGCCGTGCTAACCGCCATCGTCAGCTTCCTCCCTCCCATCGCAAACCTATTCTTCCCGTCACCCCTATCTTTGCGTGTGTAGTCTACCACCAAGCATGCTAAGATGGATCCTGGGACACCACAGACGGAGATGATTGCGTAGTTGCGGTAGGTGAGAGAGGTTGAGGATACGGCGTCGGTTACGTGGGTGTTGAGGTAGAGGGTTATAAAGCCGTTGAAAAGGGGGTACGCGAGACCTATGAGACTATTCAGGGGGATGGTTTTAGTATGTCGAGTTAACGAGGTAAGATAGATAGCTTACCCCCAGAGCATGATCGTGATACTCGTGTTCACAGCTAACCGTCTCGTCTGGAACAGAGGCTTTACGTGAGACCTGCGGATCGCAAACGCCAGCGAAAATCGTAAGTCAGCAGGCCATTAAAGTACGCAAAATTCCACCCTTCCCCCCGTTAAGTCGATCAAGCACTCACAAACTAAACCCAGAAACCGATTTCTTGATGATCTCCAATGTCGTAGGACGTAAACTCTCTCCCGATGCGCCACCCGCGACAGCACGGAGGTCCTCGACGGTCAGTTTCATGGTTCGGCCATTCCTTCGTGCTATGTTTTGGAGGACCTACGGTGTAGCCGAAAGAGACACGTGCGCGTTAGGTTCTCTCAGTTAGAACGAAGGCGGAACGAGGAAGACGAGACACTGAGGACGAGTATTGTGTACGTACCTGGATAGCATCCTCATCCCGCCCCTTCGCAATAAGGTATTTCGATGATTCTTGGAGGTCGAAGACGAGGTAACGCAGGATCCACATTACGAACGTTACGCCTCCGCTACATTATATCAATCATCGTAACAAGGTCAAGTCAGCCGTCATGGCCTACAGTGATGCATTGCGAATGTGATTATCTCGTGCAGTGTGGCAAGACTTACAGCGTGTAACTGTGGCACCCCAAGCATTGTGCATATCGTTAGTTTGTTACACCTGCTATCTGTCGTTGAGTCGACACGAGGAGACAGAACGTACAAGGTATACCGCCACCCCATGTTATTCCCTTTCGTGCATGTCTCCGCCGTAGCGCACGAGAAGTGGGTGATCAAAGGCCATGCGACGAGCGATGCGAAGAGTTGACCGAGAGCCCACCATGCTGAGAGGAGGGTGAGGAGCCACTGTGTTGTCCCATTCGATACGACGATGCATATTCAAGTCGACCCACACAGTTGATAGAAGGGTACGAAACGGCCGTGTGGATAGCAGAACAAAGCGATGTCGTGAATGTCGAGAGGCAATAAGGTAGTGATTGACGTCAGCTTCTATCTTCGACTAGCCGAGAGATAGAACGAGGTTAGGCACGAATTCGAACGAACCTGATGCGATTTGGGGATATGTTCGAGGAAAAGTGCGCCTGGACCAATAGGACAGCCGTCAGCTCGTGGAATGATAACGGTAGCCCGTGCAGTGTGCAGACGTACCATCGACTGGTAAGCTGTGCATCACAAGGAAAAGGTATCACGGTCAGCCGAAGATTCCTCCATGTCGTTGCCTGAGATAGCAAGGAACAGAAGAAACCGAGATAACAAGATAGCGGAAACTACGCAACCACGTCCAACAGAGCATATAGAAGTAACAAGGAGAGGCAAGAGCTACGTACTTTCCGCCGACGCCGAAGCCCAAACAGGCGATAAGAGCGCCAAGTGTGGTGAAGTCGTTCGCTCCACCCGCAGCGATACCAAATACTCCAGCGATGAACAGCGTGATGTTGAAAGATGGTTTGCGGCCAATTATGTCTGCGAGGATCCCCCAGGTAGCTGTTTCCAACAAAATATACCACAGTAAGACGGGAATTCAAGTCAGTTCAAGTCCTGCACAGCAAAGGGATAGGTGACCGTAATGAAAGAAAGGTAGACGTCAAGTGGTGTATGATGTTCTAGCGGAGATGGAGGGGTTGAAGGGACTAAAGTGGAAGAGAGTAGAGCGGATACATAAGATATACGCACTTGCTCCGAGAATGAGACCAACATAGAGGGAAAGAGTCGCGAACTCCACACGAACGGGATTAAGCTCTAGTTGAACCTGGGGAAGGATGATGGCGACGCCTTGAAGCCAGATATCTGAACGGTTGATTCACGAGTGGAACATGAATGCGTCAGCGGCGGACAAAGAGAAATTAGAGCGAACGCACTGTCTGCCATCCATCCCAATCCAGTGAGTAGGAATAACTGAAACTGATATGCTCCGAAGCCGACTCTACGATACAAAAGCATAAGCAGGCATGATATTTAGCATCTACAGCTTGAACGATATACAAGAAATCATGCGCAAGACTTACTCGTTCTGTAGACAATCATTAACTGTGAAGAATTGATTTGTATATCAGTGTCTCGAACCACACATGACGCCACGCAAACGATCTCTAAGGCATTCCGCCGTGAAGCAGAACTCAAATCACTCCCCACACGGAAACAAATCTGGCTTTGAAGGGAACGTCGAAGAACCAATAGAATGCAGGAGAAGAGATGGAGATGGGGAGGAAAACAGAAGCCGAAGTAAAGAAGGTAGAGACGTACTTAGTCGACACTTCGCCTCGTAAATCGCCGACACGCCGTCTTGAACTGCTATATCTTCCACCTCCGCCGCATCCAACACCTTCAAGTTCAAGTTCTTCTCGTGTCCTCCAAGGTCATTGGGATCCGATTCGTTCAAGCTTTTAGTAGACATGGCTTCTGGACGAGCGTCAGTAGAGACTGAACCGTGATAGCGGTGAAGCGGGAAGCTCTGAAGAACTGATACGCTGATGGTGGTCCGAAGGAACGAGTCGCTATCAAGGAGATGATAGAAGAAAAGCAAAGACGAGAAGAGGGCGCTTTGATGGCTTGACGGACCCCGCGGCGAATAGTTCAGTCGGGCACAAGTTATTTTCTTTTCTTGGCTTGGCGCTGTTGTAGGGAAGTATTTCGATATACAGATTTTGCATGTATGACCGCATGCGTTTCCGTTCCGAGTGAATGACTTAGGCGCTTTACGTGGTCATCTGCACTGTTTTGAGGCTTCCCCGCAACTGAATGTGATGCACGAATGGCACGAGCCTCGTTACATCCGCAGCTACTTTTTGGGGCACTCCTTTGTTTGCATGGACGTTGTTGAGAGCTTGATACTTATCGCACAGGCTCGAACATGAAGTATGTATGAACTTGGGCGGTGTAAATGATGAAGTTGCGAACGAGGATCATGATTCACAGGTTACGATCCACAACTGAGATCAACACATCCTTCGCCAAGTATAGCACGCAGCATGCGTGAACAGGCGTCAACTTTGTCCTCTCGCATCAGCAGAGTACTCCACCACCGGTGATAGGGCCATACTCAAAGCGATTCATGGCACTGTGATTCTAGTTATTTATGAAGGCGGGTTGACACGCACTACAAAGGCGGGTGAAGAGTGTTTCAACTTTGATAGTATGAATGTTAGGCGAGTCAGATCATAGCTAGCGGAAGTCACCTTTCGAACAGGAACGAGAGCGGGAGGTTCGAAGCTTTGCCATGCATATGCCTGTTAGAGGCACACTTCCAGTATGGAACGCAAGCGGACCTTCTTTCCTTCCTCAAAAAAAAAGTAAAGGAAAAAAAAAGCGAAGAAATGACGATGCTGTGCAACGCAAAGTTTAGCTGACACCGGTCTCTTGACAGTCCAGTCACTGCTGCGGCATATTGCTGACACGAACGAAGAGTTGAACTAGTCAGCGTACCACGGCCGCGGGTGAAAGAGCATGCATATTTTGACTGATAAAAGCGTAGTCTATGCTACACGCCACACGAAAAAAGGAGAAAGAGTGTGATGAAACAGGAAGGTCTGCTCTGATCGGCTAGAATCGGTGGCCCCACGCTCCGATGTGGATGGTGTATCGGATCGAGTACATGCTGAACAGGTTGGGGGTACGATCTGGATATAGACGTGCGTATCGATTCTCCTGGCCCAGCGCACTTGTTTGCGCACTGCTCAAAGGTCCAAGTAACGACGGCGGCACCCCACTTAATTCATCAGATTTAACGTTTGGACGTAGCCATCTCAGTGACGGTGCGCCCATTCCCCGCTAACCAACCTCGGTGACTGACAAGCCTGCGTTCAGTCCAGAACAGGACATCGGCGGCGTATGCATCGCAGTCTTATGACGACCACGACCCCCAGACAAACATAGAACAGACGAAAATGGGCGACGGACACTCACGGAAAACTTTTCGCCCGTAAACCATGCAAACTGAAATGGCCGAGCTTCGAAGAACGTGCATATCACCCACCCCGTCTTCCCATCTCCGTGTCTACTACGTTCGCAGATCCTCTCCCGGCCCCTCTAGGCTTCCTTCTTGGACGGCGATTCTCATGTGGAGGGCGACGCTGATGGTTTCCACAAAGCACATATGGAAGAGGCGCAAGCAAGGGTGCAGTCTGGGGTAATCCAGTGCAGCGTGAGTCTTTGAGAGACAGAAAAAGACCCAAGTTAGGAGATGCGATTCGGGACTCTCTCAGAAAGAACGTCCAAGAGCGATACGACCATTCATGCCTTCGTGATGAAGTAGGGCTACGACCAAAAGAGCAGACATCAGAACATCAGATCAAAAGAGTTAGCATTTGTGAAACCCGGGGATCGTGGGTTGCAGCAACGACCAGACATAAGACGCCACAGGAGAGAAAAAGACCAATAAAGTTTGCGCGAGAACGGCCGTCCATTTCGGTCGCCGCTCGGAAGAAGCCGGTGTTTCGGGTGTTTCTCCTCCGTGCCGCCAAGTGAAAATTTCGTCAAAGCGTTCACTCGCGTTCTCCTCTTTCTCAGATCTTCAATTGCGGGATTGCTCATTCAAAGCAAAAGCACGGCCGTGGTCTCTCATTGATAAATACCGCTACTATGTACCTTACGACCGACTTCCTGAAGACAGCTAATCAGTGTCATGCCCACAGATAATGAAGTCGAAGGCGTATCAGACAGACAGGAGTTCATTCCAGAGCAAGGTTCCGGACGTCTCAAAGCGCTAAAACACCTCAGCAAGTTCTCCAGAGCGACCCGACGATGCCGAAGCTGTCGAATGGAGGATGTGTACCCGCCCGTCCACATTCGAGGAGGAAAGGAACCCGGGTGTGTTTTAAGGAGCCTGCTCCCATCTCCTGCCTGGGTGCAGAAACGGGAGTGGATTCCTAGATACGGCACCGGCAAATGTATATCTTTAGTTTTTCGGGCTTTTCTTTGCTTGGTACCCGCCGGAGAACGCACGGTACCTTAGGTTAGCCTTAGGCGTCAATTCAATATGACGGTAGTCCATGAGTCTTGGAGGCTCTTGGAGGCCCCCTGATCTGAGGCGACAAGCACTCGAGGATTTGGTGCTGTGCTACGACGTATAAGAATACCAGTTATCCCCAGCCCGCGAGGCGGTCCCCTCCTCTAACTCGCCCGCATCTCCCTGCTGCGTTATTCTGGTCGGTGTCGGTTGATTCAGATATCGATCCTGAACCTAACCACCACGTTATCGTCGATATTTCAACGCTTTACTGTTGTTTCCTACACCGACTGTTCAAGTGACTGATCTGTTGTTCATCTTTTCCTTGTCTTCTTCTCTGGTTCTCTACATTGCACTCTCGAAGCCGCCGACGGTTACGCGAGTTGAGGTTTGAGGAGGTCGTTGGAGTGGTGGGCTTTCAGTAATGTCATTCGAGTTCACTCCACAAAAGCAAACCATCTCGTGCGTACCCTTTGTTGTTCTTCGCGCTTCATTCGCGCTTGTACTTACAAGCTGATCAAATACTCGTTCTTTCCATATTCGGTTCCGGCCTGGTTCTTCGCATCTTATTCACCACATCTTTTACCACGATCGCCACAATCGCCACTCCTTCTGCCTTGCACTCCAATCCCTCGCTCCTACTCTACATCTTACTATCAAACAGTAATCAACTATGGGGCATAACCTCCGCAGTCGGCGCGGGCCTCTGCTTCCTCGTCCTCATCCTCGCGGGGCTCGTATGGTTGCATCAGCCATCAAGACATCATCTTGATAGAGTGAGCTATCGGATCGTGATGTATGCTCTAGTGGGAAAGTGAGTCCTTTGTTTATCTTCTGTGATCTTCTGCTATTGGTCCTTCGTTCTCGGAGTACGTTTGATATAGTGGTTTCCTTGCTTTTGCGCTCGTGATGGATTGTGGAGCGGATGCCTTGAGGAGGTTCATTGCGCCCTTCTGTTGTTTTGGGGTGTTGATGGAGTGTTTCGATGGTTGATGGGTCATCGTGGATGGTAGTTTGTGGTTTACGGTGCTCACTATCATACTTTGTTTCCCATCCATAGTACTATCTTTGGAATTGCAAGTGCTGTCGGAGGACAGTTGAGGGGTCCAGGTTTCGGCTGTGGATTTTCGATATTCATTCTGCAGGTTAGTGCTCCAGCGCATTCAGGTAGATCCATCGTGGCTAATGAGTGTTGTTTCAACCATGCAGCTCACGCTCGAGTTCTCGAGCTTCATGCTCTTCTCTATCGCTCTCAATCTCCAGTACGTTTCACTCTCCATCCACACGCCACACTCACCATTCAACTCTTTCCCCTCAACTCATCCCACCGCCTTACATTCGCATCATGGCGACTAATTAACATTAGCACGTACTTATTCGTTATATCTTATGTAGGCTTGTTGTCGTCCATGGAGTCAACGGACGTAGGATGGAGAAGTTCTACATCGTGGGGTCTGCACTCATGGCCGTCATACTCACCGTCCCGGCGTACGCTGCTGGACAATATGGGTGCGTGATCCCCTCACGTTCTCATGCTAATTGTTGTTTATGTCGTTCATTCTCGTGGCGCGCTAGGTGGGATCCGCTGGAGAAGGATTGTTGGTATACAAATGATAACAAGGCGCAACGACTAGCCTGGCAGGTACGTCTTCTCTACCTGCGCCATACCCCTTCGTTCGTTCGACTTGACTAACCATACGCCGACCTTGGACAGCTCGGGACGCAAATGGTGTGGACAGGGCTGACGGTGTTAGGAGAGGTCATGACGTCGTTAACGGTCATGGTGTTTATGATCCGGCATCATGTACGTCTAATATCGCTCTCAATCTCTTACCTTCTAGACCGACTTTCCCTCAACATTTGTCCGTTCAGTTCCGCCAGAAGCAGATCTTCACAACAAGTCAACAATCTTCCTCCACGAACAGCCAAAGTCGGTCTCAAGGCGGTGGTATAGCACCAGCGAATGCTCCGCAAGTCATCCATGCGAATAACTATAGGAGCGTCATTGTGCGGATTGGTGCGTCCTCTGTTCTCTTCTGCGCGATAATTGTCTGTATTCAGTGGCGATCCGGAAATCGTGTAGCGTTATATCCATTGGCGTCAATGCTGGTGAACGCGTTGAGCATCATGACGGCTTTGCATTCGACGATTAGTAGTGGTATCAATACACAGAATGTGAGTAGACATATGACAGTTTACCTCTAACGGTTGCAGGGAGCTTACGCACATAACCCTTCTAGGATTACAACATCTTGCTTCTCAGTAAGTACACCTTGTCCTCGCATGCTGATCTGTGTCGTCAGACTTATTGGACACTTTTGACAGGCGACTTCCTCTATGGTGGACGAGCCGTCGTATATGCACTTCTCGCTGCTTCCGACCCTGTACGTCTTGTCTTCCCGTCCATACTATCTCTTAACCACACCATCATCTGTGTTACCTCCCGCTCACACGCTTTCCTTCCCATGCTCTATAGGCCCTCATCCGTGGCCTCAAATCCCTTCTTACCGATACATTCCCCTCCTTTTTCGGCCAGAATTCACGCTTCGGCTCGCAATATTCTAACACTAGTATCTCATTCGCCGGGGTCGGAAAATCATCTAGTCGGAATCGTGGACAAACAAGTACGTTTGGTGGACGAAGCGGTGGTGGCGTAGACGGTATGGTGGTCACGATTGAGCTGGAGACCGTTAGGGAGCCGGACTACGCAATCACGGCGGATGTTGGTGCAAAGGACGATACGAAGGATAGACGGGAGGGGAGTAGGGAGAGGGATAAAATAGAGCAAGAGGACGTGGCGAGCGAGACGAAGATTAGAGATCTGGAAGAGGGAGACATGGGGCTGGAATTCGGCGTGGAGAGCGATTCCGAACCATATCTTACAGGCGCACCTACGAGACCGCCGCCTCCATCGAGAACGGCAACAGTGGATGGGACGCTGAGTCCTCATATGCGACCCTCAACTGGCGATACAGTGCGGATCGGAAGGACTGCGAGCCAGAGAGAGGGTGATGTGGGAGGGGCGGAAGGGAGGAGACGGCAGCGTCGTTCTTGGGATGTCAGTATGTCGATGGTTAGGAGAAGGCAGAGAGAGGCGTTGAGGAAGGAGCAGGAGGATGCGTTTGGGAGGCAGATATGAACTTCCACTAGGTGGTGCTTTATATCGCAAGTACGAAGCGAGTCTACTACGAGCTGAAGCTGATGAAATCTTCTCGTTTATCTTGTCTTTGACGTTCAATTATGGTGTTTAGGATATATTTTGGGCTTGCGATCGGACTTTCTTGTAGAAGAATACCCTACCCTATGTTTGATTGCTTGTTGTATGTATACGCTGACTTATTATACGAGAATTGATGTATGTACGAGATGATATCAACATGTCTTGTCGTCACGTTGGTAGGCGCAGCTTGGTCATAGGATGATACCCTAAGTCGCCTCGACCCGTACTTTCAGCTGAAGAGCTCCAGAGACTTGGTGTTCGCCACACTTACGCCACACAGCCAATAACCTAGCATTTCACCGGCAAGCCTTGCATGATAGTCAGCCCAGTCCACTCGCCAATAATTGGTAGATATTTAGCATGAGGATCATATCTGAGTATTTGTTTAAATTATATAACTTTATGCCATGCCGCGTTGCCGTTGTGGCGCGTTGGAGGCGTGTGGCGAGAAGTGGGTAGCCTTTTGATCCTAACATGCACAAACAACCGAATCTGACTTGCTGCCCCATTGGATCAAGACCAATCTTGTGTCATCCTCGCTGCCATCACGGACTGACAAGGTAACATTTCTCGGTGCTCGTTTGATCCTGGCGCCCTCGCTATCCATTTTTATCCGGTCATGTATTGAGGGTAGAGATACGACGCGACGAATGCTTGTCGCCAACATCCACTGTACTGTGTTTACCCTCGACTGGGAGCTTCTCTCATTCTTCTTCTCTCTCGATAAATGACTCCGGGAATTGGATCCTGGAATGTAATGGCTACGACTATAACATCAGAAACCGTCTCAGTTCATCTACGTTGCAAGCAGCTTGCGATAGGATAGGGAAAACCATCGCGCTTTGAAACTGTCTGCAGTTCTGAATCATTATGAGACCCTTCTCAGTTCGGTGCACAAAGCAGATCGGCCTCATCATACACATTGGGCTGGTACCTCTGTGCACTGGATATTTTATAATCGAATCATCAGACACTAGCGAAATATAGCATGTATCTCGCCGGTCGCCGTCGTCGTTCCCCAGAGGTGCCATGCTGCATCGACTCCACGACTAATTTTGATCGCTGTCGCACTGCTCCCTGCGACCTATCTTTTCTTGAGACTTCCGGACTGGTGTCTGGCTTGATTGGTGAGCTTGGTTCTCTTTGCTCAATAGTTGGCTCGAAGCCGCACTTCTTTGAACACGGTAGACCCTTACAGCTGGCATGATGCATGGAGCGGCCCTGCACCAGGATATCGCAGCATCAGAGAACACTGCCACACTCCTGATTATGTCGAAGGCATCAGTAAATACCAACACTACCCGCTGGGCTCGCGGGTGATGTGATCTTTGGTTCTGTCAGCCTGTCTGTCAAGTCCCTCTGGTCGTGCAAAAATTCTCCTGTTTGCCAAAGGTTATATGGCTCTACGACGATGGTCCGTGTCAAGTGCCTCAGATCTCTAATCGAATAGTGTCAGCACCACAAACACCGCTGGAAATTATCCCACCGACCATCGTCTCCCTCATCCCTACGCAAGCTGATATGGTACCATGGTTTCCAGTTCCTCGTCGGCCTTATATCTCTGTTAATGTCATTCCTCATCATCCGCATTCTAAAGCAGGATACTGTCATTCACTCCGGAATGGCCATGGCTGCACCTGATGTGGCTTCTCAACAATGATCGATTCCCGTTATTGCTGGATCTCTTTGGACGTTGCTTTTCTATACTCGGTAATCCTGCTCGTATGGCACCCCCCAAGTCCGGGGCTGTTAGAATCGTGGGCTCCCTAGGAGCATCTGAGTCTGTTAGCCCCTTCCGAGAGCGTCCTCCCACCCGAGAATTTGACTCGAGATCATACCCGCAGGTAGCACACTGCATCTTATACGGCAACGGGCTCCATTGATTGTTTCAGGTGAGACGGGACGGCTTCGGGCAGTGCGAATCTTTGGGCGACAACCCGAGCATCAAATTTCCTTCAAGTTGTTAGTCATAGCTTCCCACTCATACTGTGCGAACTTATCAATGGTAGGACGGCTTCGGATCCCTGCCCATATCAGACATGCGTAGCAATGCTGGATATAAGTCCCGCACATGCACGCGGTTCGTCGCTAGCTTTTTTGCTCTTCCCCTTCACTATTACCTACGGACATTCCAGCACCAGAAGACTCGAGATCCAACTACAAAACTTGGATCGGTCCATAACGGTTCGCGCCAGTGATATGGATTTCGTATGGACGACTGACAAGCAGGATACCTCGTACGTCACATTCTACAACCCGTAGTATTCAAAGGGCTCAGTTTTAACTCTTATAGTAACCGGCTATGGGCTATAACATCGGCGGTCGGTGCAGGCCTGTGTCTCCTGGTCCTCGTTGTCATAAGTATTGCCTGGCGGCATCCAGCCTCTCGTCCTGATCTGGACCGGGTGAGCTTTCGTATTGTGATATATACGCTCATAGCGAAGTACGTCTCACTATAGACCCGTGTTACACCATTGTTCAATATATATATGTAGCACCTTGTTCGGCATCGCAAGTGCGGTCGGTGGTCAGATTAGGGGTCCAGGGTGGGGGTGTGGATTATCTATCTGGTTACTTCAGGTGATCCCGTGGCCTACCATTTCCATTCTATGTTATTATACTCATGTCATTTGATTCGCAGCTAACCTTGGAATTTTCAAGCTTTATGCTGTTCTGCATAGCTCTCAATCTACAGCGAGTTACCAGAATCCTCTTTCACGGACATAATCAGTCGAGTCGAGCTAATTGTATGTATTCCATATGCTCAGACTAGTCGTTGTACATGGTTTGAACGGGCGAAGAATGGAGAAGTTCTACGTCATCGGCTCTCTTTTCATGAGTATATTGCTCACTATACCACCCTACGCCACCGGACAGTATGGGTATGCAGATTTTTACGCCTTGCCTAATATTCAGCATTTAATATCATTGGTCTTCCTAATAGCTGGGACCCTCTATTGGGCGACTGTTGGTACACTAACGATGATAGAGCGCGAAGACTAGCATGGCAGGTGCGACTCAATCTCTTGATGCTTCACGACTGATATGTTAGGTCTCACTCGTGCTTCGCAGCTGGGAACCCAGCTGATATGGACGGCCTCGACAGTTGTCGGCGAAATCTGCGCATCTTTAACAGTGATGGTGTATATGCTCATGCATAGGGTAAGCTGTGTTTCTAGCAGGATTTCTCACTAAAGAAGCTAATTGTCGCGCTAGGTAACGCAAAAGCATGTTCTGGCGCCCAGGGAAGCGTCGTACACGATCTCTGATGGCCCCTCACCGACGATCGACGCATCTGCCGCCCCACAGGTCATCTACGCAAATGCGTACAAGGGGATCATAATCCGCATAGGTTCTTCATAGTCCACTATATGAACGGTTATAGATATTCATATCATTTCTATAGCTCTGTACCCCATCGCATCCTGCGTATTCAATCTTCTAGGTGTCGTTCCGGTTGTGCACGCGACGGCGACTGATGGTATACATGATCAGAACGTGAGTAGTCACCTTCGACTTCCTCTTCATTCGATGTTGTCTAGTGGTGGGCTCATCGCACTCTGCTCATAGGAATACAGAGTTCTTCTGCTCAGTCAGTGCCACATTTCAGTTTCAGCTCGTCTCACGTCTACCAGTATATATATCAGCTGACAAGGAGCTTCCAGGCGACATTCTGTACGGCGGTCGGACGATAGTGTACGCTTTACTGGCGGCCTCTGACCCTGTATGCTACTGCTTTTAATCAGCTCAAGGTCTACATCTTTACTTATATAATATCTGTCCCCAGGCTCTTCTTCGCGCTATAAAATCACTCCTTCATCACATTCGATCTGCACAAACGGAAAGCCTACGTAACGGACCTCCGACGGCCATAACAGAAGGGAGTGACGATGTAGTAGTCTCCGTCGAGCTTACCACAGTCCATTCCAGTGACTTCCACCAACCTCATTCCGCACGGATTGATCAAAATGGCAGCAGTGTCGAAACCATTGCTCAAGGCAGCAGAACGCCCCAAAATAGACACAATATATTTGCAGATGTGAGTGGGATTGAGAAGGACGGTGGTTCGCACAAGGGGTCGGAGGTTAAGGACGCACATAAGGAGTCTGTGATCCATAGCCCAGCCCAGGGACCCAGAAATCAGAGGATCGATTGGAGTGAAGAGGTATCGGAGATGGATATTGATAATGGAGACAGGGCTGAGACTTTGAGCAAGGCTAGAGAGGATGAATTCCAGAGGCAGATTTGAGGATTTTCATCAATAAGTACTGCGATTTTATACGTCATGGATATGAAAGTATGGGGTGATTATTATACCGATGTAACATTGCTTGACTGCTGAGCAGCGAGGTTGAGGGTATGATGAATGACACTGGATATATTGTTTACTTTCAGATCTGGGAACGCTAATGTGGCGTGACAACGTCATTTGTTTGGTCGTGTTAGGATCAAAAGCTCATCGCTAGCCTTGTCTTGATCTCCGAGTCTACGCTCGTCGCTACGTTCAGCCTGTCCGCTACGATTTGGACTGCTCTTCTTGCATCGCTACTTTCATTCTGATTTGATCTGTTCAGGGATGCTGACCGCAGCAGTCTGGATTTATTTCGACATTAGCGACTATTTTCGTACCCTCATCCCATTTGCTTGCGTGCAGATATCGATGGAACTGACGACACGGAACTCGTGGCTCGATATTGCTGGGCCAATCTCAGTGTTTACGAGTATTTCACGATCGGTCAAGGACGATGTGCTTGGTTGTTCGCCCAAACAACTTCTTGGGAAGTTATTCCCCTCCTCGGAGCCGACCTCCTATGACCGTGGCTTCGGCTGGTGACTATACTCTTGCACAGCTCACTCGGGTGCCTAATCATCCTACCCTGGTAGCTTCCTTTGAGTCGCGTCTCCAGGCGGGGGAGAAAGTGAACGAGATGTGGGTAACTGGATATACTTGGGTCTGCATGGACTCAGGCTGTGCCATGTTGATGGGACTTGTGAGTGAAGGGGATGCGAGCGTAGGCATCACAAGTGGCGCAAGGCGTGCAGAATGCTGTGATGGCGTAGTGACGGTACTAGTTCCCAGAAGTGTAAGTCAAGTTCGTCTTGGATCCTCCGATCTTGTTCTCCGAGAACACCGATTTTGCGCCTGCTGATGCTCCTGCTGATGCTCACTGGCATGTTCTGGGAAGAACAATGCGGCCTCGGGATCAACCAGGAATCTTCTGTGTAACCAACTCAATCAAAGCCTTCCGTTCATGTTTCAGCGTACTTCATCCGTGAGCAAACTTATCTAATCAGTTCGATCCATGGTCCGAAACTGATGGGGATGGTATACGCTCACATCACTTGTGCAGTCATCAGTCTCGATGTCTTTACACTTTGGCTCGGGATGCTTTGCAGTTAACATGTTTCCGAAAAGTACACCCCCCTCTTCCTACATTGACTCGCTGACACTATGATCTAGCTGGGCTGTATGAGTTGTCTAGAAGACTCCGCTCGAAGCACTGGCAATTGGGTCCAGACGTGGTTTTAGTTATGTTTGTTTGTATACGAACGGGTCGTCTGATCGTCCTGATTCCAATGATTTAGGTTCGTACCGACTGACAGTTAACCATGCAGTAAGTACTGCTCTTGAACATCACCACCTTATCGCTATGATGGTTTTCTGACGTATGCGGTTTACAGATATTTGGACAATCTGGTGAACCTCAACATGGTCAACCTTAACGAATTTGGAACCGTCATTTTTCGTGGAAATATTCCATCTAGGTAACTCGCTACCTTCCCGTTGAGGGTACCGCCCACGCCGCGCCGATGTATTTATTGACCCTCTGCCGGTTGAGCAACTACTCCGAGGCGGAATCTAAGACTGGAAGTCATCGCGACGGTTTTAGAGGCGACTTGATGCATGCAGCGCCGGCATTTCCCAGGGGTAGTGCCCTATTAACAGTATGCGAATCGTCACTGCTTCTCCCGCTGCAATGCGCTGTATTACTTGGGACTGCTTGGTGCGTATGCTCTTAGATGGTTTTGCGCCGGGCACCTGTCATAAACGCCGGTGAGCCATCTACTTATCTACTTAAGAGCCGTCACAGTTACTATCCGCCGTGCCCATCTTATCACTAGCGCTTTGCCCTCAGCTACCGCCACAAAGACAGAGACATCCGGTTCTCTAGACCACCATGGCCTTCGTTTTTACACCTGAGATGCAGACAATCTCGTATGCTTACAATTTCACCCTACGAGTCAGATGTCTTTCACTTACAGAGGTGGGTTCCACGCAGAAACCAACTATGGGCAGTAACTTCTGCCGTAGGCGCAGGGTTTTGTCTCCTCGTTATTGTGGTCGCCTCCATTGTCTGGATCCACCCTCGATCGCGTCCTCATCTAGATCGAGTCAGTTTTCGGATGGTTATGTACGCACTAGCCGCAAAGTATGTTCGTTTTCGTATATTCCTCGAGTGGCAATATTCCTCATGAAGCGCACATTCAGTACATTATTTGGCACATCCAGCGCTATCGGAGGAGAGTTGACCGGTCCAAGTTGGGGTTGTGGATTCTCCATCTTTGTTCTTCAGGTATAGGTTATCGGAAACACATATTTAGTGCTGTCGAGACTGATCGTTTCCTGTATCATACGAAGATCACCCTCGAATTCTCGAGTTTCATGCTCTTCTGCATTGCTCTCAATCTTCAGTACGCATCTGAGATTCTTTTTTTTCTCCTCTGTTTTTGATGATCCCTTGATTTTGAATAGGCTCGTGGTCGTTCACGGATGCAATGGTCGAGCGATGGAGAAATTCTACGTGATCGGATCCATCGCTATGGCTGCAGCTCTAACTGTACCCACGTACGCTGCCGGTCAGTACGGGTACGTTGCATGATCTTCATTTCGCGGTAATTGAATCTGACGTCTTTGTAAAAGCTGGGACCCCCTTGAAAAGGACTGCTGGTATACAAATGACAATCGGGAGCAAAGATTGGCATGGCAGGTGCGTTTTTTTGCGTTCGTACTGCACAATCGTGTCCTTACGACGTAAACGCAGATTGGGACACAGATGGCTTGGACTCTATTGACCGTACTGGGAGAGATTTCTTGCTCCTTGACGGTCATGATTTTTATGCTCCGACACCATGTGCGTGTATTTTTGTTTCCCTCATTGGCGATACTAATGGCATTCTATTCTGACATTTCTCCCCAGTTGAGGCAAAGGCGTAACTTCCTAGTGGTCTCGCAGATCTCCAGTCGGCCAGGTTGTTTCGAAGGCAAAGAGCCGTCTTTGTCAGCACCCCCACAACTCATATATGCTAATAACTACAAGAATATCATCATGCGTGTGGGTCAGTACCTTCGAATACATCAGACGCGTTCTCAGAACTGAGATGTTCCGTTCCAGCTCTGTATCCTCTCGTTTCTTGTGCGGTTAATCTTGTGAGTGTCGTAACAGCCCTCCATTCGACGGTATCAAATGGTATTCTCGACCAGACGGTACGTCTCGCCAACTACATTCATTGTGCATCTCACTGACATTGGTCGCGTGCGTATACCCAGGATTATAATGTCTTATTGCTGAGTAAGAGTGTCACCATTCATGACACCCTTCCGTTTCGTACTAAACATCATTCTCGAAATAGGCGACTTCCTGTACGGTGGCCGGGCTGTGGTGTACGCCTTACTCGCAGCATCTGATCCGGTACAAGACCTTGGTCCATTCCATTGCTGCATCAACTCACACTGTCTATCTTAGGCTCTTGTCCGAGGCATCAAGGCACTGATCTCCCACATTTACACCACCCGGTTGAGCAACGCATTCGGGGGAACTGGTGCAAGCACTATGGAGGAACAGTTGTCTTCGATGCCTAAACGGAGACGCGAGAACATGACTGTTACGGTTGAACTTACAATGTGCCACTCTCCGCCTGCGGAACCCATGGCAGCATCGCTCAACTCGGACGCGGACATCAAGAACAGGACTGGTCTCGGTCATCGTACAGACGAGAACTTTATAGGTGTCGAACAGGTGTCGCCTCAAATCTTGAAGGATTTTCGCCATGAGGATGTAGAGCTTGACGAGCTACCTGTCATGGATGTCGAGCTCGGTAGGGAGGGTGTCAGGGATGTAGACTTTTGTCTCGCTGATAGAGCACATGAGACGAGCGAACGGCGTCTGAGGGATTCTCGCAGGCGGGAGGAAATGAGGAGAGACGAGCATGAAGCGTTCAAACGGCAGATCTGATATTGTCTAGAGAAAGCCCTTAGCTATACGTATTTATATACCCATTGCCTTTGAGAAACCGCCACTGGCACTGCTGGGTGTGTCTCTTCCAAGTCTCTTAGCCATCTTCAAGTTCAAGAGCAGAGCACCGAATAAAAACAGGAACGGCCGAATCTAGCGTGAGCAGTTCTTCACTTCGTGGATGATGGAATAGGCGAAGAGCAAGGACACCGGACATGTTTGTGGAAGGCGGAAATGAGGCGGAAATAAAAGACGCGTGTCTGCCACGCGTTTTCATCCTAATGCACCTGTCGCGACGCCACACAGCTCTTTTGAACCATCATCATTTGGTCAACATCACCGCCGAGCAGTGACCAAACTCTAGCTGTTTCGCAGTACCTAGTCTATCTCTGGCTCCTGATACCTTTTGAAGTTTTGAGTTCTGGCTTTATCCCAACCTCTGTATGACCAGCTTCTGTTCTAGCTCCTTGAAGCTGACGGCGCGTCATTTAGGCAGACAGTCCACGTCCTCCTGCTGACTGTGCTTGATAACCACTTTCGTCGACACACCAGCATTGAGAACTGTCGTCAACAACGTTACACCAGGTGTCTTCCGTGGCTTCCGCGGTTTCGCATTCATTTTCTTGACTATTTTGCCGCGTACTGGACCACGGTCCTTATAAGTATACTGAAATCCAAACGTGCCGTCTTTCTCGAAGCACCTTCGTCTTCCCTCTCGCTTCCCTCCTATCCACGAAATAGCTCATGCTTCGTAATCGATCAGCCATTCTTAGAAGCGCGTTGATCCCATGCGCTACGCGTGAGAGATTGACAGGGCCTCAGGTCTCAGTCCTGAGACCACGGACCGTCTTGGAACCGTACAGCGGGGCAATCGTACATAAGATGTGCCCGTCAGCTCACACACGCTCGCAGTTTTGACCTTTCACCCACCCTCATCACTATCTCTCTTCAGGGCATACTATGTCTGTTGCCAGAGCATCGCTCGTTCTCGCTCAAGCAATCTGTGCGCAAATCGTGACGACGCCACCCAAGAACAATGCGAACAGTACCACAGGAAAGTATCACACACAAGAGTGGTGGATATTTCGGATCGCACCATTCATCTTCGCCGTGCGTACTATCTCGCTCTATCATATCTCACAGTCACAGTCACTAACCTTGACCATGTCCATCAATAGCTCCAGCAACCGTTCATCTGGACCTGCGCCTTGCTCGAAGTGCTCTCCCTCCTCCCTCTGTACTCGTCATCCCTCTCCCTCCCGTCACCATTACAATCACTTTTCCCAGCAACACCAAGCGTCAATCACCGCGTAACGCCGCTCTTCATTCTCGGCACTGCCGCCATTCTACTCGGTTCCTACATCCGTAACACTTGCTTCTCCACACTCGGCAAACTCTTCACCTTCACACTCACAATCCAGAAAGATCACTTCCTCGTGACTACCGGTCCTTATTCCGTCGTTCGGCACCCTGCCTATACCGGTTCACTCCTCTTGGTATTTGGCATGCCCATCGCTCATGTTACGGCAGGGTCGGCGTTGGTCGAGTTGGGGATTGTGAAGAATATAGCTGATGGTGGATGGGGAGGTTTGGCTGTGGCGGCAGTTTGGGCGGCTTGGTGGGCTTGGGGTGTAGGGTGTGCGACCAGGAGGTGCATCGCGGAGGATGAAGAGATGAGAAAGATGTTTGGAAAGGAGTGGGAAGAGTACGCGAAGAAGGTTAGGTGGTGGTTTATTCCTGGAGTGTTCTGAACGGGTTGACAGGACGAGGTCAGTCGGAAACGGTAAACATTTCTCATCTCCGCCATGTGCTCGATGAGGGCGAGACTTTTGGTGCTCATTGTGTGTGTACAGATGATGTGACGTAGGCACTATTTATTCCCTCCTTGTCTTTCCTTAGGTCTCTTTTGTAGACGATCATTTGAGGGTCTCTAATTAATATATATGCTTTGACCACGGAGAACGTCCTCCTTGTGTTCCTGTGTATCCTTGGCAGCCTGTGCACGATACGTCGTGGCTGCGTCTCTAGATCCACAACTTTCACACCAAGACCACGAATCCAAAACTGACTCGATTTTAACCTCTAGCGTAGCGTTGCAGAACCCGCATTAATGACGCAGGTAATCTTGGACGTCTGGCACGGGGTATACTCGCACTATAACCGCGAAGTTCCACTGGGTATCGCGGGTACCACTGGCAGTCCATGTGGCAAGTGAACTTAGATCAAACTCAGATACCATCTCTGTAAGAAATATGTGGTCCTGTCGATGTGTATCCAGCTCAGTTCTGTAAGTATCACGGACAAACGACTCGAATATTTAAAGACCGTGACGAGTATAGAACTCAAGAGTACTTTCGGGGATGTGGCGATTTGGTGGCACCGTCAGTCATGACGCGTGTATATAGCCACGCGTCATCCGCGTTTTCCCAATCTTCATCCATCCAATATAACTTCCTTCCTTCCTTTCCTCCAAGTCAAGAGTCCAACAAGAGTCTCGACATCCTTGGTCTCTGCAGCGCTCAGTTCTCAGCACTCGTACAAAGACCTGCACTTTCACTTTGTCCCGAAAGCGTGATTTTTCATAAAGAGAGAATCAAATCGAGTCCAAGCTCTTAGCCCAATCTTACTAGCCATATTTCAATCGCGACGGAAGGAAGGAAGGCTCACAGTTTCTTTGCTAAAGCTCCGCTGTCGACGTCGCAACGACGTCGACTCTGTGCTCTCAGGCTGTCCACTCAATCATCACCTCTTTTTTAACCATCTTATCTTAGTGGCTGACCTCTACGTGGCTCTTCACGATGGAAAGCGATCTTTGTCCCTTTACATTCATCTACAAACATGTCGAATCTTCCAGTTTAGATCTTGCAATAGACTATTACCCTCCTTCGATACAGTCAGCGTCCGCAGAACACGGGTCTACTCGAGGGGGTCCAAGCGTAGCTCCAACACATCTAGGGGCTCCTTGTCTAGTGTACTTTCATGGCGGCGGGATGACCGTTGGTGATCGAAAGAGCTGGTTTCCTTCGTGGCTCCATCGTACGCCCCTACCCCTACCAAGCATCATTCTGCCTGATAACTGATGCTCTGTACGACCGTACTCTATTCCACAGAGAGGATCACATCGTCAGGGATCGCCTTCATATCCGCTGACTACCGACTCGTACCGCCCTGTACGGGCCACGATGTCCTCTGCGATATGAAGGACCTCTTCGCGTTCCTTTCTGCATCACTCAATACCCAACTTCTCTCGCTCGAGCCGAATCACGATCACACTAGTAGCAGGACCGTGTTCAAGATTGACCCAGAACGGATTGGCGTGGCGGGCTCGAGTGCAGGAGGGTTGTGTGCTTATTTGGCAGCCGCACATGCGTTTCCCCGACCGAAAGTCGTACTAAGTATGTATGGTATGGGCGGCGATTTCCTTGTATGTCCCATATCCTCACCCCTTCTATCACCGTTTCTCCCGCTTCCTTCTTCTCATCATTCTCCTACGCCACGCAGACGCCGCACTACCTCCTTCCCAAAACCCGCCCTTTCTTCCGCGGTCGCGAAATTCTTTCTCCCTCCACATTCTCCGATTTCCTCTATCCTCGGTCTTCCGATTTATCTCAACTCTCTGGATCGTCGCTCGAGTATTACGGAGAAGGAGAGTCCGAAGTCTACCCGAGGGGATATCCGAAGAACCTTAGAATGCAGCTGACGAGGCTTTACCTCCAGCTGGGTATATTCTTGGATTACTGGACAGGGGAGCACGGGAGTCAATATCAGGACGGGAAGGGTGAAGAAGATGCTCCAAGACGTGCTGGTGAACCGGGAGCGAGGAAAACTGGTGATGAGGAAAGGTCCTTGAGCGCACGACTTCGTATGGCGCTTACATCCGATATATCATCCCCAAACGAAGAGAGAGCTCACGTACGATCTCTCATTCCGTCGTCGTCACTCTCCCTGTTTCCACAGTTTCTCGTCGATGAGCATTGGCCGGCGACCTTTCTCGTTCACGGAGAACTCGATACAGCCGTCCCAGTCGGAGAGTCGAGGGCATTATGCGATGCGATCAAGAAACTCCAAATAAAGTCTACCGGTGAATCCAGAACCGATACGATGGCTATAGGTGCGAGGGAAGATGTGAAGTTGAGAGTGATTCCTGGCGAAGAACATTCGTTCGATTATCAACCGGGAGCGGAGGAGAGGTTTGGCGGAGAGGGTGGACTGTACGATGAGATTGTGGGGTTCGTGAGAAAGGTCCTTGGACCTTGAGAGCGGAATGGTTCGACGGGCACCCTGACCGCGTGTTTCTGTCTTCCAAGTGTCTGGTTGGTCCACTACTGTAATGGAACTTGTGTTTTGTGTCGTTCTGGAGAGCTCTTCTGCCGTCGTGGCGACCACTGTCACGGCGCATTGGGCTGATAGAAACGTTGCAGTAAGGCTCTGTCAAACAGCTAGAAATTGCTGCGAATTTGTTGCCAGCCAAACGCGCCAATTGTTTTTCAAACACATTTTCTTCTTTCAAGACCATTTTCGGTAACATTAACATTACTCTTTACATTGAAGGAGGGTCATACATCGTGTACCGTAAAAAGTCCTCCTAGTCACCTATATGCTGTAACAGGCACACGAAGGTCATACGGAAGAGCGAAATCGCTGAACTGAAATCAAGAACACCATCGTTCCGACTGCGCCGAAATGACGATTCTCACGGCACAGCAACAGAATGAAACACGACGCCATTCTCCAGAGCCCGCTTGAGATGGGAGAGCTAAAATAACGAGAGGGGAAGTGCGCAAAAGAATGTCAGCCTCCCACATAGCTGCAAGTTCTCGCACTGAGCGACATGGCTCACCCAGTCGTCGTCCGGTCCCCAGGCACTGTTCTGCATCGACGCCATCGCTAGCTCCGGCCTCGGCAACTGCAAAGTCACGCAATCTAACACTCTGGACCCATCCTCCATCTCCAACCCCAACAGCATCCTCCCCAAAGTGTTACCCTTCCCTCGAGCCCGCTGATGCTCCGCCGATGCCTCTATATTGTTCAAGATCCGGTCCGCCTGGCCGGGCCCATTCGCGGCCATGATCCCGCGTCCTTCGGCCTCGGTAAGGACGAATGCACCAGTAACTGTGTATTTTTTTGCGGTGGGGATTGATCGAGAATGATGGTTCGGTTTGGGAGAGACGGTGATGAAGAGGAAGTGACAGGCAGCGATGGAGGGTTCAGCGGCGTAGTTGAGAGCACACATGAAGGTGTGGGTGAGGACGGTCCAGTGTGTCGAGTGCCTATAGGGATCATTCGGCGCGATATATAATCAGAAAGCTTCGTAGTATACGCATACGCGCCTTGAACTTTGAGGTCGGGGAGGCGAATGAGGGAGACATGTTCCCACTCACCACTTCTTAAACACAGCGATCTCCTTCGCTCTACCTTTCTCGTCGCGCAATGTCTTTTGGAACTGGACGGAGACGCGGCAAGGACCCTAATCCAGGTGCAGCATACGGGCATTTCAATGAGTATTCGAGCGCGAGAACCAATGGGGCCATATACTCATGCACGAATAGACGAACCTTGTGCAAGGGCCAATGTGCCTTCTGACACTCTTTGCTCTACAAATAAATTGATGAGGACACGGACGAGGTTCGCTGTTATCTAGACAGTACTTACACAATAAATCACCTAAAAACAATAACAAAAACCATGAGTTTTGGGGACAATCTTCCACACGGAGGTTTGCACATGAGGAGACGTAATATGTACCTCTTTACAAGCCCCGCAAGCCTGGTAGGGCTCTTCATCACGGCGCCTCCTCTGGGCACACCATTGACAGGCTTTCAACACACGCCATTTCATATCCGGGAGCGGTTCTTCCTCATTCAGACCTGAAGTGATTTGGTTCTTGTTCAAAGAAGCCGACATAGTGTCGTATGCAGAGTGGATAACGGCGAAAGACAACAGATAGATCGCCTGTGGGACGAGAGAAGACGGGAGAGCACGCGAGAAAATGAGTGGACGCGACGCGACGGCCATGTTTGGTGGTGTTTGGCGATACTTGGCCTTATTATGAGTACCGGCATTCCCACCAAGCGCCATGTCCATTGCAAATTGGCGGACTTTGAAAGCTGCCGGGCAAGCCGCATGCCATTTCGACGCGGGCCACAGTGAGACTCACCGATTTGGCTGGGTGGCACCTATGTACGAGACCATTGCACTTCTAGGGCAAGGTACACCCCACCAGTAAATCTAATAAAATCTAGGATATTATTGTACATATATTAATTTCATTTGGTCGCGACAGAATGTTTTCACTCTCTTCGAGTGATTTGATATGAGCGTGTGGTCCGTCGTGCAGTTCGTTCACGCCGAAATTAGAAAATTATGTCGCGACCAAATGAAAGGGAAGCATTTTGGATGATTTTAAGCGTAGTTGTATGAAGTATCACTATGCTCGTTGCTGCCTTTAAATCTGGGTTGCGTTCGTAGGTGACAGCCTGCAGCCACTCGGCTACGGAAGTAAGCGAGACGCGGCACAGCGGACTTTGAACCAGCCCGCAGTAGGTGAGTGCCGGTACTCACTTATTAGGGTCAGACGGCTTTCTATTCGAACGATCAAGTGCTCGCGTGTGGTTACTACGAAAGATACCTTTTGTGGACCACAACGATATTCAAACGATATCCTCGTACCAACTACACGCGTCTGGCCCTCCAACATAATCGTCCACCAGATTGGCATCATGATGAACGTAGACGCAACCCGACGGAGACTTGAGCCCATGTGCCTACCATGACCCCCTGCCTACCAACATGAGGGCCTGTCCAATTTCGAAGAAAAAGGAGCGGGATAGCGCTTGGTAGAGAGCAGCGCACTGCCCGAGCTTGGCTCGGTCGGTAACGCGCGATGAACCTGAACACGATGTCCATCCATGTTCCCCACTTCAAATGTTTATCCTCGTCGGCATTCCTCTTCATCTCATCCGAGGCTCCAATACGTACGCTCCTAATCGCGCTATGAAGGTTCTAACGGATCATCAAAGCATGATGTTCCGAATCATAGCTGACCTTAATAGGTCTCCCTCGGAGCCACGCGCCCATTATCTTCATTCCAACCGAAGCCCGCCATCGCTTCCATCTCGTCCTTGTCATGTTCCTTGACAGAGTGGGACATGTGGGATTAAAGATAGTATATGTCGATATCTGCGGTTAGGGAGGCGGCGAGACTCAAGGAGGCTGCCGAATGGGAAGCCTGGCGATGGTAGGCGTGCATCCCATAGGGCAAAAAGAGGTATGGAAGCAGCCAGTACGTCGAGTTGAGCGCGTCGTGGAATGCCAGAGCTGCTTCGTCCAAGTCCTGTTCTTCGAATGATCAGCCGCAGATGTCAAATGCGGGGCCGGTGACGGTGCGAATGGGAGGGAATTTCCAGGTGGGAGAATCTTCGATGGATCATCGGCGGTAGGGCGAGAAGCGAAGTCCCAACCAGTGATGAGAGCTTGGGAGTCGGAGTCGGAGATCGTGATGTTTTGGGTGGTGATAGCATGATGGCGACATTCCGCGTTCTTTGCTGCGTCCGGGGATAGAAGAACCGAGACGGGCATCAGTATGGTTGTGTGTCCGTTCCTGAAAAAAATAGAGCTTGCCTCCGACTACATCATGTGTCACCTTGCCCACCTGTTTCGAGACCCATCATCTCCATGTCGTTGCAGCAGGGCCGACGACAAGATCTACATAGATAGAGAGCGGGAATATTGAGCGTGAAGAGCGAATTAGAATTAGGCATTAAATAGTGTGTGCTATGTAGGTTGTCCATCGCAGTACTGAGAGCCGTATTTGTGTCCGGACGGGGAAGTGAAAGGAATGTCATGTATGGGAGAAGGGTAGTCAGACTGAGGCTTACGCTGGGGGTAGGAGGTGAGCGAGCGGTGCTAGCGACGTGCTAGATCGTAGCCAAGCTTTTCAATATTTCGAGGACAACGAACAGCATGAACAACAAGAAGAAAGCCTAGGCAGTCCGACAGATCAGGATCGGACACAGTCGATAGCTGCACGCCGGCGAATCTAGCCGAACCCGTTGCTGCCTTTAAGTACTAAGTAGACGGCCTCTAGTTTTCAGGATAGTATACACTGTCGAAGACCAAGTCAAACCACTCAATCGCAAAAGGTCAACGATGCAGTCAAGATTGCAGCCTCGGTGCCAGCGCCCCCTCCCGCCTTCCGAGTGGTCCGTGCGCATCGGCAGGAACCGGACCCGCTTGTCTCCGCAGAGTGGCGTTGGTGCAGATGTTCGCCTTGGACTGTGGCAACAAACTTTCGTCTGGACTTGTCGCACCATCGAGCTAGCTTTCGTCTATCCCTTTGTATGCCATTTGGAGAGTGCTGATATGTTCCCATGGCGGCGATGTTTTTGTGGCACTACTGCTTAGTGGCTATTTGGCACTCAACGATCTGAGTCTTCATCGTTGAGCTTGACTATAGGACCAATAGGATTCCAAGTCGTCTTCCTGCCCATTGAATCTTGGTCTTTGCGACTCTCCATTCTGCGCAGACCTTGGAGGCTTCCGCTTCCCTACAAAAATATGCCGTTCGGGCATGCAAAGCCGGTTTCTTCCTATAATAGATGCTACTTTTCGTAGCGATTTCTTCGGAACGAAGGAATCACTGCTTGACTCCTACTCACAACATCGAGCGAACTCCCACGTTTCGTTTTCAGTCCGAGAAATCAACTAGTTGCTCGGCCTAAACTACCAGCACACCCAGCATGTAGTGCCTTGTCGGCAACCACCCTCAGGTTGTTGCTTTGCTCCGGTTCACACTCAAACCTGTGGGGTGCTCGTGTCGACTCCTACTTCTAAGTGTTTCGTGCTTGATATTGATAGGTTCTAGTGTACAGAACTTGCTTGTGATACTCGTAGGACCCGTAACATCTGACTTTGCGCTTGTATCTCCGGCTCTTGGTATGGCCGGTTGGTGTTGATGGCGGCAGCGACAAAATATGCCATACAGACTTGAGGGACCTATGTTGAGCTGGCCGTACATAACTGTTTTTTCCAGTTCTTGATCTCAATCTTCCAAGTATTGGTTTCATGAGGTGAGCGACTGTCTCAAATGGCGGAATGGTGCGACACGCATGCACGCTCTCGTCACTCATGCCTGTAGCGATTCGTTTAGCACGAGCTCTATAAATTCAACACATAGTCGCGTATGATGCAAATGTAAGGTTCAACTTTCTCTGCAGCTCGGTAAGCCTCCGATGAAGGTTGTGAACTAAATTAGTCACCGTTCTACCTACGTCGCACCGCATTCACCCTATAATATAGGACACTCCACTCTATGACCGTAGGGTAAATCTTTCTCTTCAAAGCTATTTTTCTCTCCCCGCTCTTGCTGATGCGCCGTGGTGACGTTTAGCTAGCAGATTCCTCTACCTCATATAGGACAGTCAGGTCCTGCTGCATGGGCAGAGAAAGAATTGTTCATGAGCAAAATACGATCACTTACATGTGACAAGTCTAGTGGATGAGAGCAGCCAGATCAGCCTGCGCGTGTAACTCCTCAAATTTCTCCGTATCCCGCCTATTATTTACGGGAGTTCGTATGACACTGATCTATCTTTATAGATGTAACAGATATTCCCCAGAATAAATGGATGGCTATCCGCAGGGAAGTTAAAGCGGTCGCAACGGCACAGACGAGCTTCGGCAGCTCTGCCGCTGCGGTTCCCATAGCCAAGTAGGGCCTACATCTGCGTACATGGTAGGTTATGGGTGTCCACATTCCTCCGAATAGCCACGACGTGATCGCACATATCACGGAAGCGTTGAGAAAATCTTCCCTACGAGGATCGGCCTATATATGGTTGATATATGGGTTCGCTGTCTTATAATATCCTACGATGATGGACTTCTACATCAGTCCTCACTTGCGCCTCGTTTCAAAAGACAGGTGAATCTTTATCCTGGAGCCCCCCGGGACGTACTTAACATCCGGTGACTCTACATGAGTTCAAGAGACGGAGCAACGTATCTCTTTTGCTATTTCGTCCCAGCTACACAGTGCATCCTTTGACCATACCATGACTTTCGTCTTTACGCCGAAGATGCAAAGTATCTCGTGAGTGTTGTCTGCCACGTCTGAGATTATCTTTAGTCTTACCTGTTATGCCATTTTCCCAGGAACCGTATATGGACCATAACGTCCGCTGTAAGTGCAGGACTTTGTGGCCTTGTTTTCATTACCGCCATGGCAAGTTGGCTTCATCGCCGATCCCGACCTCACCTGGATCGCGTGAGCTTTCGTCTAGTATTGTACGCCCTCCTAGGACAGTAAGCTGTTTCTCTCTACATCGATATTGATACTGGGCACAGTAACGTCTCTCGACAGAACTGCGTTGGGCGCCGCTGGTGCTGCTGCCGGATCGCTGGCTGCGCCAAGTTGGGGATGCGGGTTTTCGGTCTTTATCTTCCAGGTACGCTTCCCAGTCATATCTAAATACTGAGGGTACTTATGCTCCAAGCAGTACTCTCTCGAATTTACGAACTTCATGCTCTTTTGCGTGGCACTCAACCTCCAGTACGAATACACTGAAACGATCTATCTGCTCGAGGGTCTAACGTTATTTCACTACTACAACATAGGCTCGTAGTGGTCCATAGGTGCAACGGACGCAGAATGGAGAAGTTCTACATAATTGGATCCATCCTCATTAGCGGGGCGCTCACAATACCTCCTTACGCCGCGGATCAATACGGGTATGTTTAGCCCGGTGCCCTTCTTCTCGAGAGTCTCTGAAATGTCGACTTACTACGGTAGATGGGATCCATTGGAGGACGTCTGCTGGTACGGTAACAGCGAAAGGGGCCCCAGAATATCATGGGAGGTGCGTTGCTTCTCGAAACCATCGTTTATTTGAGCGGGGTCTGACCTGTGGTACGCAGATCGGAACCCAACTGACATGGGGCACTTTGACTGCCCTAGGAGAACTTTGCGCATCCACAACGGTGATAATGATCCTTCTCATAAACTACGTGCGGGTTCTTCCAAACCAAAATCTTATATATACGGCTGACAGCAGTGTGTTCTAGCTGCGTCGCAAACAGATATTTGGGCAAAGTAGCTCTACCGGACCACGGGTTTTACATGGCACCAACTACAAACGAATCGTATTACGCGTTGGTAGGCTCTACTCATTGTCCGTGTCATTGTCCCAATTTGTAATCGTTGTTCTGTGACAAAGCGCTCTATCCTATGGTTTCGTGTGGGGTGACTATATTGGGAGGAATTGCTAGTATATGTTCGCCGTCATGGTCTGGTGTCCAGGGTTGGAAGGTGAGAGACTTCATCTCATGAGACCCTCTTTGATCGTCAAACCTCAGACTGACCCTTCTACCAGGATTATAACTTTCTCCTATTAAGTGGCCACCGTTCATTTATCCCCGTGGTTTCAGCGACCCATCTAAGATATTGTTACGACCATACAGGCGACTTTTTGTATGGTGGACGTGGGATCCTATACGCACTTCTGGCTGCATCAGATCCAGTAGGTCATTTAATCGTTTAGACCGAGTTCTATATAGGCTAACTACGTCGGCCATGTTCACCACTCAATTCGTCTTGCCAGGCCCTCATTCGAGGCATTCGATCCCTGTTAAACAGCATTTGCCCCTCCTCGATGCGAGAAAGATTTTCTTTCCTCAAGGGACTGGAATCACAAGATATGGCCGAAAGGTCGCGACCTAGGCCAGGCAAGCGTCATCATCAAACTATCGGGACCATTGAGCTTTCGGCTCTACATACCTCTGAATCCTGCATCGAGTCCGCTCTGCCTGTATTACCTTCCACACTTGTGGTCAACGATCAAGGAAAGAGTAATAGGGCGAAAGAAGGAGAGGTGCATTGGGGCATCGAGGTGCAAGAGCAGACGGACATGCGGCTGAGAGATTTGTGGGCGCGGAGACAAAGTCAGGATGCCATGAGGTCAGAGGAGCTGTACGAATTCGAAAGGCAGATATGACTCTCAGTCAGAAAGAGGGGAGGATGATTCGAGCGCATTGCTTTTGCGAGTCTTCATACCTCTTTTCCACCACTTACCAATTGACTTCGAGTCGAAGGATGACCACAATATCGAGAGAGAAGATACTTATGCATTCTAGAATAGTGTGACACGATACTTTGAGACTGGTTTTACATCCCGAATTAAAGCCCGGCTACAAAGAAAATAACCATAATGAGTTACTCCAACTTCGACATAAAGACCAAGCATGACGCACAACCAACACCCCACCCCAATCAATCCAACTCATCCATCGCCACACTCCCAACCCACCCCCTCAACCTCCCACAAACACTCCTAACTGCCTCATCCCCCAAATTCCCCACAGAGAACCGGATATACCTATCCAGCTCGCCTCCCTCGACGACCTCTCCACTCGTCTCATCCATCGGATAGCCGAAAAACACGCCCGGAAGGACGACGACGCCATGTTCGCTCGCCAGGATACGAGCGACCTCTCGCGATCCTTTACCCTTGAACGGATGTCGGACGAACGCGAAGCATCCGCTTTGAGCTACCACCTTCCAACCCTTCTCATTTCCACCTTCACTCTCCAATTCATCTTTGAATATCTCATGCCTACGGGCCAACGCTGCCGCAGACGCTCTCACAAAAGAGCGCATAGAAGGTAATAGTGGCGCCAGAGCCAACTGCGGCGCCTGCGAGGGACATATCTGTAAGCAATCGAGTGCGGTATGGACGTGCTGTTGTAAAGCCGGAGAGGCGACGAGTGCACCGAGACGATGGCCGGGAATGCAGTAAGATTTAGAGAAGGAGAAGAGGTGGATTATGTGCGAACGCCAGGACCAGTTGGCCGGTAGGTCTAAGGAGCTGGAGAAGGAGAAGAGGGAGTGTGGCGCGCCTGTGGTGATGAAATCGCGGTAGGTTTCGTCGATGATGAGAGCGACTCCTTTATCTGTGGCTAAGCGAGCGAAGGCAGCGAGGGTGACAGAGGAGTATATTGCACCGGTCTGCGAGAACGAAGGTCAACGATCAAGGGTAAATTATTGCGTGCCATGAGTATAAGCGTGGCGTGAAAACTTACGGGATTATTGGGAGTGACGAGTGCGATAGCTTTGGTCTTCGGTGTGATAAGGTTGGCGCAGCGCTCGAGAGACGGTACAAAGCCGTCTTCAGGGTATGTTTGAAGAGCGACGGGTTTTACGCCCAGCATAGTCAGCGTCATCCTAACAGAATATCAGTTTTCAATCGCCCAGCATGAATGCATGAATTATCTTACTGGTGATTGAAGTACCTGTACAATTTATCTGTGTCACCCCTCCTGCGTACCCATGAAAAATACGAGCACTAACCAAGGCACAGGCAAGATAACCTCATCTCCCGGATCTGCCAACACCAGCACTGCCGCCGCAAATGCCATATTACACCCAGTGGTCAAACTCACATCCTCAGCGGAGACATCCGTATCCTCCCCATAAACTACCTTCATCTCCCCCGCCAACGCACTCCTCAGAGCCAACGTTCCAGCGATACCTCCATACTTCGTGCTGGCGGGATCGGCGGAGATCTTGGAAAGGGAGGCGAAGAATTCGGGCGGAGGTGGAGTACCTAGGACACCTTGAGAAAGGTCGAGAAGGGGTTTGGATGGTGTGGGACTGTAGGATTTGGCCCAGATACCAGCTTGAGGGATACTGCATTCGGTGTGGCGTCAGTATGACTCGTATCTGATAGTGCAAGCAAGGATCTGAGGACTTATTTACGGTGGTGTGGTGGTATTCGAAGTGTTCTTCGAGATCTTAAAGCCCAGTTGAGAGTCCATGGTACTAGTACTGGTGAGAGTGCGATACGATCCAGACGGTGTTAAATGCGGAATAGAACTTGAGCCCGAAAACTGTAGAGATCGCCAGAAACAAGATGACTGATTTTTCGTCAGCTTGAGCCTCATGGTAAACCTCATAGTCCATAAGGACACGTATGAGATGCTGATAAAACTATGATCATTGCCGTACCAGCTAGAATACGAGAGTGGAATTCTTCTGGTGGTGTGGCGACGATGGTGGGAAGCTCGAGCAACTCGGATTTACGCGGAGAGGTGCTTCGGGAACTGCCGTGCGTGAGAAGAACATCAAAAGAGCCAATCAGGGACGAGTGATGTTCTTGTTTTCCTGCCACTCTCTTCCGTCACGGCTTTTGGCATCCGTTTACCCGCGTATCCCATGACCGGTGTGAATTAGCCATGCATGCTAGCAATGACTCAAAAAGATCTCTTTATCACGACTTTACTCAGGACTACGACCTGGTCGACTGTTGTTCGGGGTGAAAGCGTCGTTGAGCTCGAAACACTCTTATGGCGTCCATTTCTCGTCGGTTCGTCTCTGCGTCGAGGCTGGGAACGCGAAGGACCATCTCTCCATCTCTAGAGATGTTAAAGTTGCCTGCATACTCACTGCAACGAGGCTTTCAACAAACATCCCGCCTGCAAAGCACGTCAAGCATGGCTCGAACCTCATCATCGTCCGGGAGGCTACTTGCAGCCGTTCTCACAGCCTCTACTCTCTCCGGCCTCGCTGGATTCTTCTACGCACGAGAACGACCAGATGTAGTTGACACTCTGACGAACCCACAATTCGGAAGCCCAAAGGACTACGAGCGAGGTATCGAGGAGCTTCGGTCAACTTTACCTTCCGAGGATATGGTCTCCACGAACCCTGATGATCTTCTTGCTCATGGTTGGTCATCCCACGTCTGGCATCCTGGTACGTCTCATCAATACTCCTCTCTATTCTCTACCGGTGTTTGACGGACCTGGTGAACAGGACTACCCCATACCGTTGTCGTGTATCCGACGTGTACTGAGGACGTCGTCAAGATCGTCAAGATAGCGAAGAAGTACCGGATGCCTGTCATACCTTACAGTGGTGCTACGAGCTTGGAGGGTCATTTCCTTGGGGTACGTCGCTTTTCTATGCGTTTTGACTACGTGTAGATGAAACAAGGCTCATATTATGAATCTTCTTGATAGAGCGAGTATGGAGGCATTTGCGTTGATATGTCGGGCATGGACAAAATAATCGAAACTCACGGTCAGTACTCTATTCATCCAATGCACTTGGGATTTTTGCCCTGCGGACAGTGTGTCTTCGAGAACATACTCAGAACTGAAAGGTGGTTCATTATGTAGAGGCCGACTCTGACGTCGTATGCCAACCCGGCATCGGCTGGATGGACCTCAACGAGACCCTCAAATCCAAAGGCATCCCTCTATTCTTCCCCGTGCGTCCCACACATCTTCCTCTCTGTGCTTACCACGCTCTAAGCAGGTCTCGTTGTCCGTAGCTCGACCCAGCTCCCAGCGCCACAATCGGTGGCATGCTTTCCACCGGCTGCTCAGGAAGTAAGCCTTCCACGTTGCAACTGTATTTCCCCATGCTGATCCTCGTGCACTTCTATGCTTCCACGATGTTATCTAGCCAATGCTGTCAGATACGGTACAGCGAAAGCAGAATGGTTTCTCAATGCTGTACGTTCCGTGTCCGATCTCGCGCCTATGGTCATTTGCTATTGGTATTGACCGAGCAGCACCATTCAGACCGTCGTTCTTCCTTCCGGAGAAGTCATCAAGACTCGTCGTAGATCCCGAAAATCGTCTGCCGGTTTCGACGTGACGAAGCTTTTCATCGGCGCCGAAGGGACATTAGGGATCGTCACCGAAGGTAGGACCCGCAATCCTAAGATCAACTTGTTTTTCGTTCGAAATACTGACAGGTCGTTTCTTTTCTTGTCATACCGGACGCAGTGACCATCAGGCTGGCACCGGTGCTCCCATACAGGGTGGCGACAGTGCAGTTCCCGGACGTCAAGCACGCCACAGAGGCCGTAGTCGAAGTCCTGAACAAAGGCGTCGGTATACGTACGTCTTTTGTATCCTCATCCGTACTTACCGCACCTTAACCTCCGTTCCCCCACAGAATGCGTCGAACTCCTCGATCGCGACTTCATGACCGCCACGAATCAGTTCGGCGCTTCCGGGCGCCAATACCCCGTCTCCGACCACCTCTTCTTCAAATTACAAGGCCCGAGCACGAACTCGATCTCCGAGACGGCGAAGATAGTGAAGGAGGTTGCGGAGCGGCATGGAGGGAAGGGGTGGAGGATGGCGAAGAACGATAGTGAGGGGGCGGAGATGTGGATGGATCGGAAGATGGCGCATTATACGGGGATGGCGTATGGTGGGGCGGGAGCCAAGGGATGGTCTACGGATGTTTGGTGAGTTAATATCCTTGGGTAGTAATGACTTGGCCATGGCTACTGTTGTTGGAGTACCGCTAACAGGGGTTTTGGTACACACATAGTGTCCCGATATCGAAGCTGCCTCAGCTCATTCAGGAGACGCATGAGGATATCATCAGGTCCGGCCTCAAATGCACCATGGTCGGACATGCAGGCGATGGTGCGCGTCTCCTTTCCTCTTGGATCTGTGCATGCGTAGTCTGACATGGGCGTGGTGCCATGGTGACTTAGGAAACTTCCATACCCTCCTGCTCTTCAAAACCGAGGAAGAACTCAAGGTCGTACGCGAAGTAGTCCATCGGATGGTCCACCGCGCCATCTCCCTCGACGGAACTTGTGCGTAATCCCCCTCCATACCCCCCTTCTCTTCCCCGACTTTTCCAGCTCAGAAGTTTTGCATGGACTAGGCACCGGAGAGCATGGCGTCGGTGTCGGAAAGAAGGAGCACCTGTATGAAGAGCTCGGAGCGGGGACGGTGGAGCTCATGAAGACAATCAAGAGAACTATCGATCCGTTGGGGTTGTTCAATCCTGGGAAGGTGCGTCGATGTTTACCTTTGGCTCGTTTCACTGTGGTGATGGCTGGGTGAAAAACGAAAAGCTGACTGGGTTTTCATGTAGCTGTATCCGGATGCGCCGGGGAAGGATCCGCACGCTGAGCCTTGATGTCTAACGCTCGCGGAATTGACAAGGACCATACTTACGAACGGTTGTGGATATGTGGTCGAATGATGAAACACCAGTCTCAAACCTCCACAGCCGCAATAGAAAGCTCGCTGGGTCCTTTCTTCCGACCAGACTGTAATTCTTTCGCAGACGGGGGGTAGTATTCACCTTCCCCAGGCAAGAGCAGCGTTCTTAGAGCCAGCACTTCATCGGCATGTATTGAACAGTGGAATGCTGGGCATGCTTTGACAAATGTTGGTTTGTTGCGCAATTTATGATACTCGTCTACAGGCATAATCTCGCGTCTTGGTACTGCAGTCTTCAGCTCTGTTTTGCAGGCCGATGTCGCAATCGCCATGACCACGCTATCGACTCCAGCACCGCGTCGTTGAGCATTTCTAACGAAGCGCTGTCTTCAATCTCGATGTCTGTTATACATGCCCAGAAGGTGCCTTCTGGCCACAAGAGTGCATTCCGAGTTTCTGACGAGCGAGGGCCACACCGTCTTCGCGACCGACGTCACGGCGCTGACCCACGAGACGTTTTTGGCGAGGATTTTCCATGGCCAGTCCGCATGTTCCGTTTCCGAGCTCCGCATATTATGCCTCTTCCACTCCCTCGTCCTCGATATACCCCATGGGCCACCAGCATGTATACCAGTGTTCACTGTACCGCACGCCACTGCCCACCGTACGAGATTCTCGCATAGGTAAGCCACCCCACTACGAATCTCCTGCAAGGCCCCTTGCAGATTGTGTTACATACATCTGCGACGCGAATGGGGAGGCAGGCCAGGCCCACAAATCCAGAGAGTATACAACGTCCGCGCACAATTCTAACGGCTCTCTAACGCCGCACACCCAGCTACCTACCGCTTCGAATTCTCGCTCCCGTTGAACGATCAAATTACTCTCGTTATATATAGAGTCTGACTTCGCGAAATCTTGGATCTGAGGACGACGAGGACGGCGACATGGATTGACCTTCTGTTTTTCTGTTTTTCCCGTCTGTTCGTTCCTTCCCATACGGATCAGGACCGGGAGGAGACGTGTTCCTCCGAGCCTTTTATGACAACTCCGACGAAGTCGTATCCTACACCTTCTATGCGGAGATCTGTGTAGTACGACCTCCTATCCTTCAAAGCGTTGAAAGGTACTACCGGCTACCAGAAAGAGATAGATTCGATAGAGTCATAGACTTGTTTCCTATGACCCCTATTTCTTATCCTCAGGCTCACTCTAATCTACTAACCTGCCTCGACGCAGAGTCGAAGTAAAGTAATCTTACCGAATTTATCTCTGTCTCTTCTCGAGGCTTTCGACTTCTCGCGGCATCTTGGGAACGTAGCTAGTAAACGTCCTCGCCGCCGTGTCGTCCATATGCTCGACCCACGGTGCGCAGTGTACGACGGGTGACCTTCCGTCGTACGAAACCAGTGTCTGGTCTCCTTGTAAGTATGGCCAGCTCAGCCAATTGGCCCTCGGAAGACACCATTCTGTTATGTCGATGAGCCTGCGTGTTTTTTTTACTCGTCATTCGCTGAGTACGTTTGCCGTGCAGCTTCAGTGTGGTGTGGCGTCAATGTGGCCCAGGGAGCATGTCATGTATTAGCACTTCTTTTCTTGCGTCAAACAGAACCGAGGGTCTGGCCTGCCTTGCGGCATTTCTCTCTTCGTCAAATTCCAATGTTCGTTCCACGTTTTCCGCATGTTTCGTCGGGCGAGCCGACGCCCCATGCAACGTTACATACACATGGCGATAAGTGGGGAGGGCTTTTGGGAGGACAGCTCCCGAGAGAGCAAGTGAGCCTCGGATTTCTTATTCTCTCACTCGCGGTACCTGTTTAATATCGTCTGCTGATCCCGCCGCCCTGTAGGGCCTCATGTTATGTACGCCGCGCTTCGCATGGCATGCCATGGTCACAATTTGCTATGATTTGTCCTGAGCCCATCGTTCAAAGAGCGGGCAAGCTGTCAAGACGACTTGAAATTCATCTTTTCGCTCATTTCCCCGCCGTGATCGCCCACCCTTTCTCCTTCTCCCCTCCCTTTTCGACTCGTCATCGTTGTACATACTGCACCACCCGTCCGCCGCGTAGGCCTCTCATCGCTGGGTCTACCTCACGATTCGACCCAGCCCCTCCTACGCGCACTTTTTCCACGGATTGGCAGTTGCATCGAGTCTGGGTACGATCGGAAGAGGATCGCGAGAGCAGAGCAGTGGGAAATCGGTTGTAGTAACAGTGTGCTGTGACGGCTTGACGTAGGGGTAGTTGGATGGCGGATTCGGATAATCCGTGCCCCGCTTGGAATGATTCCTGGGCGCTCAACATCAAGTTGTGGATATATCAGATTTTTTGTGAGACTTTGTTCTACGGTGCGCACCTTTCATACGACCTCGACGTGGTTGTGAATCTAATCGGAGAGGGGGATCTCTTTAATAGGCTTGTTCGCAGCTGTGTTTTTCCTCTCCTCGACGATTCTCCTGTGCGTCAATAGCCTTTTTCATCCTTACTCGAACGCACTCACGTATGCCTACCTTCCAGCCAACAGTCCCTCCGCAACTCACACGCTCGGCTGGCCCTCTTCCTATGTACCCTCATCATGTTCCTCGTCTCCACCGTCCATCTCATTCTGCACATCGTCCAATACATCGTCCAGGTCCCCTACATTTGCAACGTCGACGGCTTGCCTTCAGACGTCCAAGAGATATGGAACGCGACCTATGCCGGCTTGGCGTTGTTGGAGAGATTGCAATATTTGATAAGCGATGCTATCGTTGTGTGGCGAGCGGTGGTCATTTGGCCGAGGAACTGGTGGGTTATTGGGGGCATGAGCTTCTGTTTGTTCGTCACAGCCGGTAAGTCCTCCCATACATCGTCTAGCTTGCATATCGCAGTGGAAAATGCGAACGTCGGCAGTCACGAGTCTAGCTGGCTAACGGATGGTGCGTTCTGTGTATAGTGACCTCGATATACCTCGCTGTTCTCAACGTCCTGACCGTAACGATCCCACATGAGTATCCTACAGTCGAGAAGAATATGCTCGGTACTTTCCCCCTCATGTTCACCAACGCGATCGCGACCATCCTTATTGCGTACAAGACTTGGTGAGTGGACGTCCCTACCTGCTTTCCTTTCTCCAGTCTCCTTTGTTGATGACGGTGACGGTGGTGGCGAATAGGATATATCGACGGACGGTTGGCAGGTATCTCGATTCCGGGAGCAGCAGGACAAGGGTCGAGGGTGTACTCATACTCCTCGTCGAGTCTGGGCTGTTCTATTTTGTATACTGGGTGCGTCTGTCTTGTCCTTCCTCCTCTCACTTCCACGTCGTTCGGTGTTATGGCCAAAGACGACTAATGACGGCTTATGATCATTAACACAACTATGCAGATCTTCATCGCGTGCAGCGATTACAGTCTCTTCGGCCAATTCGAGTTTGAGTGGTTCCAGCCCAACATCTCGGTGCGTTTGATCGTTCCCCACCCACGTCATCTCTATATTTGGTGTCAAGTTCGTTTGCTCACGCATCGAATCCATTCGTCTCTTTCCCACCCTATTACGCTGTCATCTTCCTCTCACGTCGCTCGACCACGCCACCGCGCCACATCATGTCCCCATTCCCCACAAACCGTGTATATATCCTCTGAACCCACTTCGACGGGACCCCTCACCACCATGACCAAACAGGGCATCTATCCAACACTGATTGTTATCGCCGTATCCCTCAGAAAGTCCGCCCCAGACATCATCTACCCCCTCTCCCAGGCTCCTAGCGGAACAAATGCCCACGCTATCTCGCATTCCCTTCAATTCAATGCTTTCCCTGTCCTATCCACCTCCGCCGACGTCGATCCGGACGTGGATGATGACTTTGGGACGTCGGGGTCGTCGTCGAAGGCGAGAGATAGGGACAGGGATTATGGCATTGGGACGGAATATACCAGTTCTTCTGGACGGTCCAGGAGGTCTGGGTCTGCGAAGTCGAGATCGCGGTCGAAGGTGGAAAGAATGGGATTTGGGGCCGGTTCGACACATAATACTGGGATTGGCGGACCGGGCGCTGGGAGAGGATTGAAAGGGTCGTTTGGGAGTAAGATGGATGATCACCTGCGGCATCATCCGTTTGGGCTTTACGAGGACGATGAGGCCGGGTTGGAGTTAGAGGAGAGGGAGAGGAGTAAGACGAGTCTTCGCCACGTGAATGAGGCGGACCTGGGAGCTGAGATCGAGACAGAGACGGCGAGTGCGACTGCTGTGGGAGAGGGAGAGGGAAGTCGAGGCGCGGTTGATGGTAAGGGTATGTTTGGGTCGAAAGGTGGAATTGACTCGAAGGACGGGTTTGAGATTGGGTCCGGCGGTGCTCTCGGTTTGGATCTAGGTCCGAGGATAGAGGCTTCGACGGGCGCTGGGACGGACATAGGATCAGAGCTCAGAGAGGAGTGGGAGAGGGATTCTGTTTCGTTCAGTGTCGAGAGCACGGGTCCAGGTTGAGAGAAGGTATCGATTTCATTTTTGCTGCCCTCCTTTCCTTTTTCTTCCTTGGGGATGGACTGTAGGATTTATCCGATCAAGTCTGAGTTGCTGTGTACGCTTATGATTATATATTCAAAGGCAGCTCGGTCAAGCCGCAAGTGCGAGCAGTGCAATCCACTCATGCACTCGAGTTTCCACATATCCTATCCTACTATCTCCGAACTCCGTCTGTTTTCGTTAGTCCTTCGTCGTTTTCTCGTTTGCATTTGAATCGCTAGCTATCTCCGTCGATCTCCCTTACTCTTCGCTCGTTTCGCCATCTCCTCAAAAAATATACTACTATAGGGCCTGTGCTTCTTTGTGTTTCGAGACCCCACCTTGGATGGTGAGCTATTATGTGATTTTGACGCCTTGTACGCTACTTGCTACCTAGCAGACGCCCTCTTTGACGAGAAATGTGTTATACCCTTGTTTGACACCCTTCCGGTATTCACCAGAGCGGTGGACCCCGTAAGCCAATTCAGCCAGGGACACGAGGAGCAATTCTGGAACGAACGAACGGGACCACTATGTATTGGATGTTACAGTGACTATACGAAAAAAAAGCCGGCAGCGCAGGAGGATGGTAAGACAAGCAAGACACAAGACTGTGCGAAATAATATCGTGGCGTCGAAGTCGCTCAGTCAACAGCGATAAACTCGCGCCTTGGCTGACCGGCTGTAGCAATATCACCACTATCCTTCGCGTTCACTGTCGTATAATGGAGCCTCATGCGCTGCACTACCACATCACTCCGCAACACACTCTTTTCACCGTCACCGTCATATTCCATGAGGTCCAGACTCTGCGTTGCGAGCATGATACGGGAGAAACTCATATCTCCCGGCTCAGACATCCCCGTGAGACACGCGAGTCCCACCAAATCGCACAACGCCACGACGACTAGACCGATCCCATACACCAACCAAAGACGTTCAGGGGAGTATCTCCAGACGCTATAGTTCGGGACAATATCTGCCAATACCGTCGCCGTGCTGGTTAAATTCAGAAGATGGCGGTTGGCGGGAGAGTTGAACGAGAGGGTGGTATTGGTGAATAAGTCCATGATAGCCTGGCTCATGTTCGCGTAGCAGGATGTCCAGGACACCGACGTATTCGCAGATCCAATCGCAAAGAGAGGTGTGGAGAGGGCATTCGTGTGGTAGGACATGGGCAAATCGCCTCCATGGGCGGTGACGACGCCGACGAGGTTGTGGGCGAAGGACTCGGCGACAGCACGAGAAGTCAGCGCCAGAGTGGCGGCGGAGACGTCGTCGGACGGTGAGGACGAGTTCCGCGTGAGGACCATCATCGCGTCATCGAACTCGTCGTAGTTTGTACCCCAGTCATAGTCGTTGAGTGGCTGGCCAATGCTAGCAACGGTCGCATTGATCTCCTGCGTATTGTTATGGAAGATGAACGTGGACTCGTAGACCCCGCGGTGAAAGACACAGTAGCTGCCGCCGTAGGTGTCATTTGAGCCCGGCAGACCTCCTGCCACCGATGTATAGTAGGTGAATAACATCGAATACGTGTCCTGCCTGACGTTCGCGGTCCACTGATCGAAAGCGTAGAAGTTCGGAAGGGTGGACGAGAACGACGTGGGTGTGTACCAGAGCCCGAGGTTCGACGTGGCGTTGAATATGGGGTAAATTTGGTCTCCCCAGAGAGTCCCTTGTGAGGACTGGGGTGATACCGAGCCCATGTCGTAGTGCGTCAGAATAGAAGAGGGAGAGATGTCGGAACATTGGAGTGTAGGAGCCTCGTAGCTGATATGATACTGGCACTGCACGCCGCACTCGGACGGTATAGACCAGGCGAGCTCGTTGGAGGAAATAATAGCGTGCTGAACGGCGACAATTGAGTCGACGGATGAGGATTGATAGACGAGGGGAGGTGGGTCAAGTGTAGAACCGGTCCAACTAGGTCGAACCGAGACCTGCGCGCTAACTTGGTCAAAGGCTATACTGGGTACCGAGATGTTTTTCGAAATAATACCAGCCGGGACGATGGATAGCGCATTGGGAGCAAATATGCCGATGAGAGGGAGAGCATGAGACATGAGGGCTATGAAGAGGACGGCTGGCATGATGAAAATCATGGAAGAGAAGCTAGCGGTGGCGACTGAAAGAATGGCGGGAAAGCTGAATAGACGATCTATTTCTTCCACGGTGAACGGCCTACGCCCAAGGTAGAACCATATCTATTTCAAGAACTAATATGAGACACAAACACCGCTGACTTCGACCATCGATTACAGGACTCACCGCGTGTACGAGTGCAGACAATGCAGAGAACACCAGAGGAAGCTGGACCGCCATAGATAGCGCGTTGCTCGTATTCCTGAACCAGAACTGTGAGCTCTCTGAGACGACTTGGCCACGGAGGTGGGTGAGAAAGATGTGATGAATGACGACTAGTGCCGTGGCCAAGACGAATGGAGCGACGATGGAAACATATGGCTGAGCCCAACCTCCGCTCCGAGGCTTCGAGTCTATGAGCGTTGTAGTAGAGTCGCGTCGAGATGGAGATCGCTTTGGCGATTTGGCCTCGTATGGGTCAGATTTGGGCGCGACATTGTAATGCCCTCGGGATGCGTGCATGTTTCTAAAAAAAATGTATGTCAGAGCAGGCTTCATGGTGGAGCAAACGGGCGGACCAAATGCAAGACCTTCGAGACCTTCGAATCGTTTGACAATCAAAGGGAACAAGAGTAGCGACTAGAGCTCTCAATTATATAGTACTTACTGTACGGGGGGTCTCCACTAAGACTTACGAGGCAGAGCATCAAGGCACCGGTACGCTCTGGATCAAAGCCGAATTGGTCATTCTCTCACTCGTGGATCAAAAAGGACGGGAGTTTGAAGGGGCTCACGAGGGCATGCTTTGTAGAACACCCTTTTAATAGCCGTTTCCATGATGTAAATAAAGGCCGTTGTAATTGATTGGCTCGTACCGGGTGCTAACAGGGTTCCAAGGGGCTACTAATATTTGGTGAGTTTCTTTGAGGGATCCCTGGTTCTGTCTGGTGAACATTTGGATTCTCAATCTATCAAGTATCTAGCACCATAAGATCACGAAGTCGATACTGCCCAGCTCGAAGACTCCCAGCGCGCTCCCAGCTAGAGTGCAGGCGTTCTAGAGAGAAATAGATAAACGAAGGCCGGAAACGCCGTCGATATCCGCTACGTATGCAGGTCGAAGGTAAGGATTGAAGCACAAATGGAGTCTAGGTGCATTCAAGTCGATGGTTGATCAGTTTGTCAACGCCGTGCCACACTGTTGCGCCACACGCTGATCGACAGGAAGCGAATCACGTGAGGAACACGTCTTGCGCGTCTTCGGCGTTCGCTATTTTCCTCATTGTTCCTCGCCTTCCACACTCGTTTTCTGCAGCAATGACTGCCATAACTCGTAATTTCCCTTGGTTCATCAAGGACCTAGGTGTCTCTATTGTTGGAGAGGTCTGCATCGTCTTTTTTCTGTACCGCGTATCGTCTCCCTAATACTCTCTCAGAAATGCTACGTGTCACTTGTCGAAAACCTGAACATCAGTGATGTTGAATGTCTCAAATATTCTGCATCGAAAGGTCTAGGAATTGGTATCGTCGTCGGTGGTTCTATCATGAAGCTACCACAGCTCATGCTCAGTGCGCATTTTTCTCTTCTTGTTTATCGTTCTTTAACTAAGAAACACGGTGCGCCACCTACGGCAGTCCTCAAAGCGCGCTCCGCCCGCGGTCTCTCCTTCACTGCCTACATCCTCGAAACGCTCTCCTACGCAATCACAACAGCCTACAACTACAGGAATAGCTACCCCTTCTCAACATACGGAGAAAATCTGTTCTTGACCGCCCAAAATATAGTCATTACCCTCCTCATCGTGTCCTACGCCCCTCCTTCCTCTTCCCGACCACTCACATCACCACCCAAATCCCCAACCACATCCGTAGCCCTCCTCTCCCTCGCTACTGCCGTCTTTCTTGGCGCACTCTTCGTAGTTCCGGAATACCTCCTCCAACTGCTCATGAACTCCACTCTCCTCCTCTCCCTCTTCTCGAAACTGCCTCAAATCACGCAAAACGCACGTGCCAGGTCCACCGGACAACTCTCCGCATTCGCTGTGATTGCGCAGATTGGAGGATGCGCGGCGAGGCTATTCACCACCGCGACGGAGGTGGACGATCTGGTGGTTACTGCTGGGTTCGTGCTTGCGTTAGTGCTGAACATCGTGCTCGGGTGGCAGATGTGGCAGTATTGGGGTGCTGGCGTGGGCGAGGGTGCACAGGGTGAGGAGAAGGTCATGTTGGGGCATGGGCCGGGCGCTAGTATCGACGAGAAGGTGGAGGAGAGGGCCTTTAATGGAAATGGCGCTGGAGCAGGAATCGAGGTCGTGGTGCCGCCACAGTCGCCTGCCCCGTACCAGACTTATGCGACGACGCATCAAGGACCACAGCCCGGGAAGAGGTGGGCACGGAAGGTGGACTAAGGGCATCCAACTAATTTATGTTTCGGGTTTGATTGTTTTGGTCAATCGCATGGGTCGATTAGTGTGGAAACTCTGGTTTGCATGTAGTGTGTGCGTGCGCAAGTACGTACATGAACTTATTCCTTGGATAATTCATTTCATTTCTCTTTCCCCCGCGCGTGGTGGGCGTGTTGGCATGCGTGGTCGACCAATGGCTTCAGTATGTTCACCGCCCGATGTTCGTGGTGGGACTTTCAGCAAACATCTACAACTAACGCTGCTTAGGCTTCCGCATCTCGGGCATTCTTTTCCTGCGCGACAGCCTCCCTGCTTCTTCGCCCTTACCGCTATTCCTGTGAGGTCCCACTGGGTGCGTGATGATGCCTGTCCTACGCATACTCAGACAGCTTACGAGCGCTTCGGTACGATACGGCAGGCTCGACGAGGCCGTAAGACAACCAGAACGACACGCTTTGGAACAGTACACATGATGATTCGTTCGAGCCGATTGCACGTGCCCTTAAGAGTGCAGCGTGCTTGAATAATGGTGCGGTAAGACTATTATAATATGTACTCGAAAACGAGACAAGAGGTCATCGAGATCTACGACCGCTGTTGAATGGTGAGCTCTTCGTACATTTCCCTCACGGATACAGGCTGAGCCCCATATAGTTACATACAGAAATCGTGCGGATGTCCGTCATAACAATCAGAGCATGGATCTCCATGGCCAACCCCTCCTTCCCGGTAATGCTCCTCACGCTGATTACGGATAGTCTCTGTCATGCATTGGCTATGAGAGCAACCTTCCTTGCACAGCACACACTTAGGACCGTATGATATCTCCTGGTCGGTTCTGTATGGCGAGAGAGAATCCCGGGGAAAGTGAGTGTTAGGAAACGTCCTGCCGGTGTCGAAATCGAATAAAGTGGTCGGTCGGAAGGCAGATCTGCCTCGAGTAGGAAACGCATCGGTAGAGGTTTCCAAATTCCACGACGACGTTTGCGAACCAGAAGCAACTGGTGGAGATTGATCTGACGATACCACCGGACGGATGATGAGCACGGCGTCGCTGTGAAGATATGTGGAAGAAGCGATGATCGCAGGCAAATTTACCCTCAGTTATTCCCTGTATTTCGTCCTTCCATTCATTCGAACCCTTGGTATTCAGCTAATGTCGTTTTTCATGACATAAGAAAGGTGAAGAAAGTCAGCAGCTGCCCGGATACAATCAGCTTCAAAATGCTACGAACCTCAATCCTCTCTAAAGCCCTCTTTATGCTGACGCTTCTCCTCCCCTCCTGCTCCATTCGTTCCTGCATCTCAGACTGCTCCTGAATGAGCGAAGGGATCGGCCAGCACAAAGAATGACTCGAACATTCGACGACACAGACCATTATTGTTTTTCTAAGGGTATCTTCAACACTAATCTTCCCACCTTCTATAGACGTATGTATCGCGTCTATCTTGTGACTATTCGACGCTTGAACTTGCGTTATATTGGACAGAGTGTCCCAGGTCACATGGTGCGCTGCAGCCTAACACGACGCCCATGTTCATGAGCAAGTGCAATGTATAGAACCAAGTTCGTGGTGGACGCCTACGTTGAACCGTGCGACAGCATCATTGATGGCAATATTCGCATTGCCAATGGCTCTGTCGATGCTTTTCTTGTGGCTGGGATTTATTGTGCTGTTATACCACGTCTCGTTCCTGCCCTTCAGCGCATTCACTACTTCGGCTGTGTTCGTAAGCGCTCTGACGAAGAATGATTGGTCAGGTCCTCTCAGAGTGTGAAGGACAGCAATCAGTGAAATACAGACTTCGCGAATCGTTCCATAGCTTCGAGTTGGCTTGGTGTCGGTTTCTTGATCCCCAGGAACAGGTCCTCGTACGTATCTTGAAGATCTCTGCAGCGCAAAATCATAGGTCTAATATCTCCTTTTCTGACCTTAATGTCATCATAGAGTTTCCAGGCAGCTTTGAAGAGTTTCAACGCCTCTGTGACGGATTCCGACATGATGTAGTACGCGGATTCGTGCTTGGTCGCGGGATGGCGGGCTCGCAGGCGAAAGTACGAGGGGAGTGATATGCGCTCTACAGAGGGATTCGCAGGTCAGGTAGCCCAGTTTTATATACACGACCGCGCGGCAATCGATGGTGTCCGGAATAGAATGATCGGGAACGCTCTCTTGCTAAGTACTCACGCTTTGCAAATATGCAGGATCGTTGATTGATAGTGTCGTCGTCCAATGTCTAGATCCATATCCTTCATTTTTGATCCGCGGATTACCTTGAAGTTGGGCATAGAACCTTCCAACGACGCTCAAGTCTCCGTTCTCTAGTTGCATGCGCTATCCTCTCTGTCATATGCTTATTTTTGTGCAGCTTGGGGGTTCCTAGTCATCCTCACGCCACGATAATTCTTCACGATGAACAACGATAAGGTCTATAAACGCGCCATTAGCGTTCCGCCGTATCTTTCACCCTCAAAGACGTTTGGCCTGACGCCACATCAGGCTGGTGGGCACTTCGAGCAGAATGCTATGCTATTGTCAGGCAAGTGATCATCGCGCCATCTTGTTGTACAATGGCCACTCTGCTTCTAATTTAAGAACTCGTAGCATTTTCACACTGCTGGCCATCAGTAAATTAGCGGGTGGTTGGAGAGTTTGCGACGTGGCTTGATTTCTTATAAAAAAATGCTTGTATTTCTGACTTTGAGTAACTTCTACGTCTGCGAGAGGGACCAAAAGCGCAGCTCACTGTCCGCAGCGGTAGGTATGGCTGTGGGTCGTTCCCCTTTCCAGTGAGGATGTGTGGTTGTGCCATTAGCCGAACCTCGGCAGCGCCATCTAGTGCTCACCATGAACCTTAATGAAAATCCGCCTAGCTCTATGTTGGAGAGAAGTCATTTTGTTTTTCTAGTTTCGCCCTTAATAAAAAAATCTGCTTGCACTTTCTTGATATTGTACCCGACGTTCACCTGCGATAATTTTATTTCCTATGAGCTGATCTCGGCGGGCTCAAAGTAGATGATATCGTACGCTCACAGACAGAAAAGTAGCTTACATAGGGCCTGCCCCTCTCTCAACAACTTTGCACACTCTCATGCGGGAGCCCTGATTCTTACTCCGAATGACGATGCAAATCTTGGTTGAACCACAGAAAAGAATATGAAGTCATGTAGTTGCGTAACTGCATACATATATTATGTCGAGATGAGCATCCAAATCAAACCAAATGATCAGACAGTGCTGTGTACAAGAAAATCAACTGGGACTGCTTGGTGCCGTTGCATAGCCATCATTAGTAGAGGAATCGGATACATCATCTGGAGCACCTGAGTTTATGTTCAGTGAGATGGTACTGGCGGCCGGTAATATACCCATCCCTTGGCCGAGTAGTCCAGCCTGGAAAGAAAAAAGGACGAAAATCAGCGTTAGCATCATCATATCGAGAGTGGGTGCACAGTGATAGTAACTCTCGTACTTGCTGAGGAACAGCATCAGGTGCAGTCAGTGGCGTAGCACCGTGCTCTTGAAGAAGTTGCATTATAGCTTTGAGCCCCTTAAACCTCGAGGCCTCTAATGCGCTTCCATATTTCCCTGCTCGTGCGTTCACGTTCGCCCGCCACTCAAGGAGAAGCTTCACAATGCGCATGTGACCTCCAGAGCATGCTGCTTCGAGGGCGGTGCCGTATTCGCCTCCTTCTGCATCGACCTCAGCTCCCTGCTCCAGTAGAAGCTTTACAACATCATCGTAACCACGGTAAGACGAAGCTCGAAGTGCGGAGCCAAATTGCTCCTTTCCCTCTGCATTCACATCAGCTCCATTCATGAGCAAAAGTATTGCTATGCGTTTATGGCCGCAATCCAACGCTGCCTGAAGCGCATTACCGTGATGGCCGCCCTGGGAGTTCACCTCTGCTCCCTTCTCAAGCAAAAATTTCACGATCTCTTCGTCGCCGTGAGCCGCCGCCGCTTGAAGTGCACTCCCATAATGACCGCCTCGTGCGTTTGGGCTGGAACCGTGCTCGAGCAGGAGCCTCACTATCCCCTTGTGGCCGTCTACTGATGCGCATTGCAGGGCATCGCCATATTTCCCGGATCCATCCATATGAACGTCAGCACCTTGCTCAAGAAGCTGTTTGACGATATTGGTGTGGCCTGCGCGTGAGGCTGCCTGAAGTGGACTCCCATACTTTGATCCCTCTTCCTTTACATTCACCTCGGCTCCCTTATCGAGCAATAGCTGAATAATAGCTTCGTTGCCCCTGTAGCATGCTACCTGGAGTGCACTTCCGTAACGACCGCCTTTCGCGTTCACATCGGACCCTGCCTCAAGCAGTAGCTGGATGATTTCCTCGTAGGTTTGAGTGGAAATCTTAGAGGCATCTGTCAGCAGACTAACAAGGGGATTCTGTTGCCCTCTAGATCCCTGCAGGGGTGATGGTCGTTTTATAGCCTCTATTCGGTCATGCATGAATTCATGCAGGGCAGTCCCAATGGTTTGATAACCATCCTCTGCCTCCGAGCCATTATTCATAGCAATAAGCAGCGGGAGCATATCCTCCTGTGTACCTTGTGATGCCGCCTGTAGTGCAGTGCCGTATTTCTCACCCCGAGAATTGACGTCGGCGTTTTTCTGAAGAAGAAGTCGTACAATGGCTTTTTGGCCGCGGAATGCTGCCGCTTGCAGGGGGCTACTGAACTGGGCAACCAAAGTCTCCAATTTTGGATTAACTTCTGCCCCCATCTCGAGAAGGAGTTCGACTATGTCGATGTGCCCATGGTACGACGCTGCCTGAAGTGCTGTGCTAAATATACCGCCCTGTGCATTGGCATCGGCTCCATTTTGGAGCAGCAGACGTACGATACTAATGTTACCGAAGGCTGACGCTGCCTGTAGCGCATTGAAATAAATCCCCTTCTCTCCCCTTAGTTCTGCTTTGTTGTCGATGAGAATCCGCACAATTGAGGAAGCACCGCGATATGATGCAGCCTGTAGAGCGCTACCATACTTGCCGCCTTTGGTATTGACATTGGCACCTTTTTGCAGGAGGAGCTGTACAACACCTTCATGCCCAGCAGCAGCAGCAGCCTGTAATCCTGTTTGGTAACAGCCGCCCTGCTCATCCACGGTAGCACCCTTGCTGAGCAGGAGCTGGATAGTGCCTTCATCGCCGCGATATGACGCCGCTTGGAGAGCGTTACCGTACCTCCCTCCTTGAGCATTCACATCGGCTCCATTCTCTATTAGCAACCGTGCAATGCTGCTGTGTTCAGTATACAATGCTGCCTGCAGCGCGTTGCCGAAGTAGCCACTTTGGGCATTCACATCTGCCCCAGCTGACAGCATTAGCTCCGCAAGGTGTTGTGAACCTTGAACAGCAGCACAGTACAGTATACTTGGCGCGCGACCACGCAGATATGAGTAGTCACGATATTCTCTCCAAATCATTGACCATAAACACACGGTGGGCCGTTCCGTGAATTCCTTGAATGCAAGAATGGTGGTGCGAAGTGCTTCGGAGGGCTGTGCTACACGCGCAAAATGAGTAATCCAGCTGGTCGCTGCATATCTCGTCAGTGAGCGAACTACAGTGCCGAAGCCGATCTGCGCCCCGGTTTCCATGAGATATACGAGACAGGCATGTGCGATAATATCGTGGGCTAAGTCACCATTCAGGTGGAAGTAGCGCATGCTACTATCACGAATACGATCTAGAATCAAATATTCTCTGACAGAAGCGTGGGCAAGCTCGATGATACTGGCTGGAGAAATTTGCCGATCCCTAACGCTGGCCAAGGATATCTGCTGACCCTCGGGCCCGACAATAACGACTAAACTAGAGCAGATGCTGAGTACCTCCTTAGGGTCAAACAAACTGTCCATAAGAGCGAAAGAAGGTCGCTCTTGCACGTCAAAGGTCTCAGAGACGTTCAAGGTTGTGGTCTCCGCAACTTCGCCGATGGAGAGGGGGTGGAGTGAGAATGCGAGCCACAGCAAGATACGCCTCGCGTATTCCCGACGCGTAGTAGGGATGCTCATGAGAACTCGCTCATAGGTCTCGTCAAGTGTTGATGGAAGAGTATTCAGAGCATCTAAAAGTTTCTTTGGAGAATCGCATTCCTGAAGAGCCTTGATCTGGCAATAGACCCAGCGAAACCTGACCGAGATCAAAGTCTGCCTGTTAGTAACTACCACGTTTAAGATAAATAAACAAAAGACACACATGCCGTCAGCCTTACGAATCAGTTGTTCCACAATAATATCGAGGGTGTCGGAAGAGAGATCCCTGAATTTTGGAATCGCATACTGGCCTCGAATAGTAGAGTCGATGTAGTACGCAATGTCCTTATTTGCTTCGGGATGATCTCGAAGGTCGATTCGGTTATCGGCTGGTATGATCGAGTTAATGCTACGCAGAATGTTCATCTGTGGTCGACCAGTGAGAAGCACATGTATCCCGACGATTGACCATCTCGACAGAGAATCAAGGAAAGCGGCAACACGATCGAACTCGTCCGCGCACTCATCAAGCGCATCGACAATAAGATAGACATGCTTAAACGTCGGAAGCATCGCGCACAGTGTTGATTTCAGGGCGTCGACAGAGAACTCGCTCAGACCCAGAGTCTGATCGTGGAGATGCTGGAGAGCGTCAGGTATCGTGGAGGAATGCACCAGTAACTGCTTGAGGCATGATCGAAGCATGTTCTCGCACGATTGCTTAGCTAAATCGCGTGAGTCGAAATAATGGTAAGCGAGGGCGGTGACACCCAAGGGTTCCTTAGCAACGGCGTGGCGAAGCTCCTGGATGACAGTCGAGCTAGGAGGGAGAGATAGCCAGTCCGAAGAGCCTTGAGTGTAAAAAAAAGGCAACGTAATTCGTATGCGTACCTGAGAATAGTTTTTCCGAAGCCCGCTACAAGATGAGTATCACTATTAGAAAAATGAGCATCACAGAGAAATATTTGTCACTGACGTCCACCCTGGATCCACAGAAATGAATTCTCCTCATTTTTCCACCTTTTGAATTGGGGGGAATCCAAAAGCCACTTCCCAGTCCCTTCCATATGTTTCTCACGAGCCGCGTTCTGACTTTTCGTCATGTCTGAGGTGGACAACCAAGTCAAATATTCACGACGTGTTTGATTATCTGTGCCGCATGTAATTTAGTTTTGATCAATCTGATGAATGCTTGAAGTGAATACTGGCTACGGTACGCACTCAAGGAAGATTGAAGTCGCTCATTCTGCTGAAGGACAGCAGACCTGACACCCTCCATCAACGATCGAAATACTGCAGAATTATCTACAGACAACTTAATGAGGGACATCGCGAGGGATATTAATTAAACGCACCCTCAAGCTTTTCCACGACATCACCGATGCGAACAAGCATCTTCCTGATGGTTTCTCCAGCCATAGCTCCGGTGTCATCTGCAGAGTTTTGATCAGCGCGCACATCATGGCACAAACGGACACCATGGGTACCTTCGGTGTGATCTCCTAGAACACCTAGAACTTGGTTCACCAGGGAGAGCACAGTGGCAGAGACCAACCTCCCCTCTTGAGTCGTTAACTGTGCAAACTTCTGAAGAGCGCCCTCCACATCGCTATCCTTCCCAATCATGGCCTTGAAGAACCGACCTAAAACGGAAAGTCAGCAACTATCGATCATATCAGCGTCTTACTAATGAGACCAAACTCACGCGTCCGTCCCTCCTTAATAGCCTTCGTCGCTTGTCCGAATACCACTAGCATGTGCGCCAAGGTCTCGATCATCGTTTCTTTGATCGCGAGCGTGATATCATGTTGGATGTAGATTTCGTAGCGATTGAGAAGATGAACAAGGCCTTCAAGGAGCTCGTGGATATAATCGTAGCTCTTTTCGACGTGTTTGGCAACCTGAGCAGAGTATGGAGCGTCAATATAATGATAGTCCCAGTCTAGTTCCAGCAGAGGGCATTAGAAAATAAAAACGCACCGCGATCAGCGCACTGACTGCCTTGAATACTGGCTTTGCGAAGGAGGCCCCCTAAGCAGTATGGATGAAATAGAGAATGGAAGTTTAGTCCTCCAAAATGCAGAACTTTCCCTCAACAACATCTAAGAAAGAATCACCGGTACTGGTATTAAAGGAATTCCTTCGCCTAATACCTCTGCCAATCCGTTGACCAGCTCGGCGAAAGGCTTCAGCACCTTGCGGATGGAATCCCACTTCTTTCGAAACGCATCGAAATCTTTGGAGCGGTCCTTCAGATTCCCCATCAGCCCATCGATGTCGCTAGGGATTTCCTCGATACTTTCTATAGTGTGGCCGGTCAGCTCTTTGTACCTGATTTTCGCCTGTTCGAATATCAAGGGTAACTGTTCCTCAAATGACTGGTCAAACATAATGGTGGAAAGAGGGGAGAGAACTGGTAAAGAGCAGAGGTAGTGGGTAGGTGGTGGTGGTATGGGAGAGAGATCACTGGGCGTGTGGTGCCTTTGCGCTGCCCGTGCAGTTCTGATTCCTGAATCGATGAGCTGTCACTGAATATAGGGTCGTGCAGATAGCGACGAATTTAGCCTTGCGGAATAATGCCGAACAACAGGCTCACTTCAGAGTCCTAACAATAGGATGTGGCGCGATCTTTTGATCACTCCCAAGAGGAACCTATGATGTACCCTTGCGTCTGGATACCTCGCGTCTGGATACCTTGTCGACGAGCAAATACTACAATCAGCTCTGACTGTTATCGAAGTATAAAGACTGCCGGGAGAGCACAACATAGAGCCTCTGAAAGCGATGTCCCTCATCTTCCCAGCTGGAGGCGTGTCGAAGGCGTGGTCGACAGCGGCTCCACAGCGGGACCAAATTAATCAGATACAGCTATATCTGACTTACATGATCAAGCACACGCGGCTAAGATCCCGCTTCTCGAGCTTTCCTACAACATTCTCGATCAACCGTGGTCTTGATAATTCAGACACACGAGGGGAAGGGGCCTAATATGCACTAATTGACGGGCAAAGAGATTCATCAGAGAACACAAATGCGCATGGCGGTGATGATTTTGCCGCTGAGGGCGTGAAGTGGAGATCTAGCCGTTTGCAGATTACTTATATCGGAGTGACAAGGGGAGAGAAATATGGGGTGCTTTGTGTAGAGTCACAAAATCATGAATGACTTTCTATCTCACAAACGCAGAAACTTCCTCTTGTTAACTGGAAGACCATCTGTGTAAGCTGTGTGTAACACATCAAAAAGTCTACAGGCCCGTGCACCATCACTCCGTTTCAGGCACCCACATACCCTCCTCACATCACTCTCCCCGCTGCAGTGGCAAAATTCTATACAAGCGGCTGAAGCGTGTGAGAAGAGAATTAGCTTGAGAAAGGAGAGCGGGAAGTGTGACAAAAGTGAGTGCGGGGACGAGTGAGTCGAAGTGATAGAACGGGAGAGGAGGATGCCATATCGGTGCACGACAGCGAACACTACTAATGCAACGACGATGTCCTGTCCTACGGGATCTAGTCAATGCGTAATAGTGCAAAAACAAAGGTCCGTTCTTCACAGAATTCGAATCTGTGTCAAAGAGCAGCTACTTAGGGAGTCTAGTTGGCGCCTAATCCTAATCCGTTACATCGGAAGACTGATAGTCAAGCTTCTCGGCTTTACCGATATATGCCAAAGCCAAAGCCAAATACAGAACCAATCTGATCAGTTTTCCTGGGACCACATTATCCTTTTGCTGTCCGAAGAACATTCTCAGAATCACTAAAGCACGCGTAGATTAATCGTTGACATCGTCCTTCGACCGTTTCGCCAAAGGGTTCGTCTTACTAGCCCAGTGAGACGAGCAGAGCAGCATGCTGCCAAATCACAGAGAATATACCCTGAGAAATCGCAAGAAGGACGTGACGATGAAAGACGAGGATGTCTACGTGTATGTGTGTGCAAAGTGGAAAGGAAAAATACTTCACGAGGACTTACTCGTAGGAAGAGTAATGTATTGGAAAGGGAGACAAACCTGGGCTCCACCAGCGGCGTGAGGAAGCGAGAGGGGCGATGACGGGGGAGAAACGGAGGCCAAGGGGGGATGAGGTGCGAGGGGTTAGCGTGGCGTGAATGCAAATGGGGTGCAGGCAAAGAAGATGAAGACGACGAAGAGGAGAGAACATTGAACACACCTCGGACAGTCTTCTTGGTAGATCGTGAGCGCATGCACCGACACACCAAACACATGTTGGTGACCTTCATGGCGCGGGTCATGCATACCGTTGACAGGAGATGAGGTAAAGCTCTGCCTCCTGGAAGTGATGCTACAGCAAATGTCAGCTGGTGTGCGAGACAAAGTACGAGGCACAGAGAAGGGAGCGTACGTGAGCTCTGAGAAAGTCTATACAGACATCGACCGATTCGATCCTATACAATAAACCCGTCTCAAGCACAAGCGAATCGCCAACATGGCTCACGCGTGCTCAATCGCGTCGTACAGCTCAACCAATCGATCATGTACCGTTATGTAAACCACATTTCCAGTCGAAGAAAAAGCGAACGCACCCTCTCCTCCAGCAAACACAGATAATGAAGGTGAACCGGTGATAATTATTGTGGCGTTTGGATGGGCGCTGTCGAGGGTGTGGAGGTCAGGCCGGGGAAGCGAGCGCAGGTTGAGATCGAAGTTGTGTAGGGCGACATACCCGAAGTTGACGAACAGATGGAGGTCCGCATCGAAAGGAGCGAAGAGGCATCGACGCTCTGCAGCTCGCTTGTTCGACTGAGAATCATCCGTCGTGTTCCATAGACTGTTAGTTACGGAGGAAGAAGATCTTAGATGTTGCGAGGGACGGACCTTGGATAGCTGCCGGTTGAAATCTCGTCAACTCTGCCTTTGGGAGACTACTTGAATGGGAATGAGAATATATCGAGCGCTTTCACGGTCGATGCGCTCGAACCATCCATATATCCAAGAGTTGTTTTAGATTCCCATTCTGTGTGAGAGACGGGCAGTTTGCTGCACGATGTTTACGGGTTGTTGCGCAAGAGCGTTGAATGAAGGGCCTGGATGGACGCGTCGACATTGCTGTGGGTTCTTCTGGGCTTCGCCCTCACAATGTCGAAAGTCGAATGGGGGTCTGGTATGCTGGGTATGAATGGTATAAGATGTACTTTCGACCAACTGTTCGTGGGAGAATTACGTCAGCCGTGACCACGCTGAGCAAGCCAGACTATCCGCGGTTGTTCTATTGCTTTCGTGTAGACTCTCCCGTCTGGCCTCGTCCGCTCGGTGAGTCTCTACTACGATCCATACATCGGACAGACTTCTCATGCTCCTAACTGTTATGAAGATCTTTGCTTGCTCTTTTCTGCTTCTGTATGTATTTCAGCCAGACATAGTTTGAGCAGCTTGGCGCGCGTACTTGGATTCTTTCAGACTCTCATGTCCAAGGTTTTCTTCTTATCATCCAGTGATCCGCAGTGAGTATAGAATACTTATGGACCGGCAGACCAAAACTTGAAAAGGCCGAGCTTGTCTGGTTGATGGGCAGAGCTATTCGCAGAAAGCGATTTTCGCCGAGGCGCGCGAAGTAGGAAAGACGTGCCGAAGCCTTGTTCGAGGCATAGCTCCTTTATTTGTTCACACCACCTCCCAGACATCTCATCTAGGTTCTCGACTGCTTTCGACCTTAAACCTATTCTGTTCTCTGACTATGAGAATGGATGAGCGGTGTAGAAGGGTCTATGGTGTGCTAGATATCATTTTGGCCTACACGTTGGTTCGAGCAGGCACGATGAGGCAGTACGATGGCTGATCCGACGATGAATCAGATCCTTAAGGACCACCGGGATGTCATGCTAGTACGGCCATGGAATGCCTTGGAGTTTGCAGCAATAGTACCGCCTGCTGAGCAAGGACTGTGAGTGCATCCCCAAACGAATTTTCCTCAGCAAGCGGCAACCATCGCCACAGGGATAACCCGATGTACGCCACTCGGCGGGTTCAGCCAAATTCTTTTGTGCCCCGTTTGGGCGAGGCCTAGCGCCCGATCGGTCGAACATGACAATGAAGATGCCGTCATCCCGCTTCTCGTCGTGTTTTGGATCCGGGGTCGCGCAACGTGCCCGCCTGTCATCCTTTCTTTTCCGTGGAGTATATAAACAAGGGTCTGTTTCAATTTGGCTTTCTCCTCACCCCCCATCACTACTCAACCACTCCACCTTTCTATCCCTCCTCTGTCTTCGCATCTAACGCCACACGCCACACTCACATATTTACCCACTAATACTCGAAATGAAGTTCTTCACCGCACTCGTCTCCCTCGGTCTCGCCGCTGTTGCTGCTGCACAGAGCATCGCCATTGGTGCACCTGCTGATGGGACCAGTGTCTCAGCTGGACAGAGTTTGACCGTGCAGGTCGAGCGTCCCGTACGCCGTTCCTTTCCCCTTCGCAGAGCCGTCACTGATTCCCATAATGTCTTCCACCCATCCTCCATTTCAATTTCTTTCAACAAATAGGACTCCCTCACAGGCTCGACGGAAGTCGCAATCGTGATCTCAGTCGCGCCCTGCTCTTCCTCCAACATCGAATCCTGCCCGGATCCCTCCGGCCGGCTCGGCTCCACTCTCTACTCCGGTTCCTTTGATCCCGAATTCCCTACATCATCCCCGGGATCGACAGCGAATGGGTATAATGGCCCTCAGCAGAACTACACGGTCATTATCCCCAGCAATGGTTTGACCAGTGGGAATCTGGCCTTGCTGAGTGTTGTCCATCTGAGTTTGGTCGGAGTGAGTCACTTTCTTCGGTTGTCCTGACGTCTTGTTTCGTGGCCATTTTACTCTTTGTGTATGGATGATCTGTGTTGAGGACTACTCCTTGCCATTGACCAAGACGCATTCCAGGAGGCTGTATTGTCGTCGATCTGCGACGAGGCTCCGGTGGTTCGATGGTGAAGATTGCACGCTGACCTGTTTTCTCGTCCGCGCATGTTCTAGGCCGGTCCGTACCCGCTCTACGAGATCAAGAACGTTACGCTTAACATCAACTAGTCTCATCCACCCGCACTTACGCACAACCTCACGTATCCTGTCGGACTTCTCTTGCACGAACTTTAGCGCCCATATAATGGACTTTCTGCTTGCACCCATATTCGTAACACTTTATCTGCCTTCTCCTTCTCGACCTCTTGTCCAGCCTCTTCCCTAATTCCATTCAAAAATACCCTCGTAGTACCTCCCCATTTCCTAATTTGTTTCTGATTTACCGTTTTCTGGGATAACCAACGATTGTGACATTGGACTATCGAACTTTTTCTGGGATTCTGCTGTTTTACGACCGATACGTCGTCACACCACGCCAGCCGACTGTTTCGCTCCCTTCCGCATATGCGTATGGGTAATTATTGTTCGGTGCCCTTACTTTTGGAACTTTCGGACACATTGGACCAGGACACCAGTACATAGTCTTTGTGGTATAACATTTGAGCCGAGCTGCTAGTGAAGTTTTCTTGTAGTTCAGGTCGGTGGTCTCAGTTTGTGAAAGACGATGTGTGTGGTATGGTAAGCCTCTTGGCTGCGCAAACGACGACGGACAAACATTGATCACAGCCGGCGTCCTGCAGTTTCTCAACATTGACACCAATCCAACCCGACGTAACACAATGACGACTACGTTCTGTACCCTCCCCCCAGCCTCGCCCTCCAATTATGTGCCCTCATCTTCTGCAATCATTATCCCAAATGCTGCCTCTACACGGCGTTTCTCCATTAGGTGTTTCACCTCCTTCGTCTCCATCTCCGTCGGACTGCCCATCTTCTTCGATCTGCACAGTCTCGTCCTTGATGTTTCGCCATAGCGGCAGATGGTCGTGTTGCCCTCGCATCTCCAACCCGCTCATTGTTCGCGAACTAGCTTCATTCTCATCTCCCATCTTGCAAGTTGTACCTCGTGTCCCGTCCGGTCCCGCCTCCCATCTCATGCCGTGTCACTCATCTCGCTGCGTCCTCGGTGTCGTTCCGAACGTGCTCAGTAGCACTACCAATACTCTTCACTAGCTAGCTCACTGTATTACGGATGGCAGGTATGAATAATGCGTACACGCTACGATCAATGGCCAAGCCCGGGGACGGAACGAACCGCACGCTCGCGAGTTTTCGTTGGGTATGTAGCTGTCATGCTCAGGCTCGTCCGCGGCGCGGGGGGTGCACGCGGGTCGTTTTTTGTCACAGATGGCCAACATCCATTCAAGATGGATGTTGGGGCTGATCTCAAGCACACGGTAGCAAAGATTTCATCGTCGGGCTACATAGGGTACTTATGAGCGTGTTGTGGCGAAATGATGTGGCGGGATAGATCAAATAGATGCAGTGTAGATGGGATCTGGAAGGGGAGTCGAGTGAGCCCATGCGTGAGTCTGAGTAGAGAATCTGAGGCAGACACGGGTTTTCATTCGTTGAGGGTTTGGGCACCTTTTGTTATGCGAAGCTATACAGTGGGTGACTTTCCGTGGGGCGTTTGTGTGCGTTCTAGAGGCCTAGAACACAGAAAAGAGGCTCAGATCAACATTTGACTGGCTGAGAGCCTCGTATTTGTGCTTCTGTGCGTCAAGAAACACTCCTAGACTGCTACTGAAAGTCACCCAATGTGCTCAAATCGGTTCCCTGATACTCAAGAAAGATCAACATGCATTAGCAAGACTTCGATTCATCATGAGTTCGTCAGCCACGTGAAAGAAAGAAATATACAAAGAAAAAAAATATTTATCGTGGAAACCGTACTGCGAAAACAGAACAGGCTGATGAAGGATTCAGGAAGGAGCAACAGGTTGTGGTTGGGTTTGGTGAAGTGCCATGTAGGCGTTGTTTGTACTGGTTGATTTCTAAAGCCTTCGGAGCTTGAAATGGAGACGCGTCAGATCACTGTCAGATCTCGAGCTTGCTCCGCGACCCTTCCCAACCTGTTCCCTGCCTGAAAACACCACAGATACACGCGTTTGCGTTCCATCGATTTTTACCGTTATTAGCTAAGTGTACTGATACATGTCTTTCCAGCTCGCCAGAACCTCAACTAGTCCCCACTTCGTACACGCAAGTCGCCGCATGACTTGCCGTTTCTGTTGGACTTGAGCCAGCGATGTCTGCCTCCCAGTCTGCTTTGTCTCGTTTTCCACCTGAAGTCCTTGGAGAATGTTTCCTATCTTGCGTCGATGACCGTCTTCCGACCATAGCTTTAGACGAGGCCCCGGTGTCTTTGACCCTCGTATGCCGCTCTTGGCATAACATCGCGCTGACGACTCCCCGCCTTTGGGCACGTCTTTCGATCGAGATATGGAACCGCGAAGAGAAGCGCCTGGAGCGTATAGTGTCCCATATGTCGAAGTTATTAGAGCGCTTTATGGCCGTGCCGTTGACTTGTTCACTCCGATTCTTCGACGATTGCTCTCGAAGCGACGAAGAAATCGACCAGGAGAGCGTCTTGTGTCGACCAATCATCGAGCTCCTACTCCAACATGCGCACCGATGGTCAGATGTAGTCATTCAAAGCCCTGATTATGTCGAATCTTTGACTTCACCGTTGACCATTGAAGCGATATCTTTCCCGAATTTGCGGCGCCTTTCCCTGTGGGGTATCGACACGGATCAATTGACATTGTCGCTCACGCCGGAACAAACTCCATTACTGGAAGCGCTTGTCGTTCCCTCATCAGCCCTTCGGTTGTGGTCTCTTAATTGGTCACATCTGCGATCACTACATATCCTTGACCACGAAGACGATCCTGAGTATCTGAGCGTGGTCTTCGCGACTTTACCAAGTTGTTCTCAGCTACGCGAACTACGAATACAATGTCATTGTTTTGAAACCGACGAAGCTATCATACCCCTACAAAATACGGGTCGAACCGTCCTACTTCCTCATTTGACATACCTTTCCCTGGCCACAAACCGTGACGATCTCATTTGCGCTTTCACCGACAAAATCTCTGCACCCGCTCTTATCACACTTTTCCTTGAAGGCTTCGATGCTCGCCATGCCCCTCGCAGCGTCATATCTTTCCTCGAGCACCATTCCAAAACCATCGAGACCTTCGATCTTGGACCACGCTGCAAGGCAGGCCAGACAGGTCTAGCGTCGCTGTGGAAGCGTCTTCCGAATATGAAACACCTGAGGCTTCATCACGACGCGTCTACGGGTGACATATTGCGGTCGCTCATTCGTCACTACCGAGACAAGGATGTATTCGAGTATCAGTTCCTCGAAGAACTCTCCATGGACGTTACACCCGACATTCTCGAGGCGGACGTTTTTCGCACGATAACACAGTTCCTGCAAGCATTCATCTATCTGGAACAATATGACACCCTAGGGTTGAAGACTGTGCATTTCCGTATTGCATGCGGTGATCCAGGACGCGGAAAACATCAGGAACAAGATCCGCATGTGCAGGTAGCGTCGAGGTTGACGGAGACGCTGCAACATCTGCTGCATAGCGGACTTCTGAAGGATCTGGATATCGAGTTTGTGGATGAGAGGCTGTGTATGAAGGAGCAGCCGAGGGATGGTGCGGTTTGGACGTTGGACGATCCGGATGCCGGATATTATCTTGAACATGAGTGATCTTGTTGGGGCCCTAGTACTACTTAGGCATAGCAAATCTCAAATATATGGTACCAGTACTTCATTTCACCATGCAATTTCTCGTTCCCTGTTGCTGGATGACTACTTCGATTGTACACACCAAGTCACGGGACCTTCTAGCCACTTCTTCGTCAGGAACCTATTTCAAAAATCGCCGGCCTGTGCAGGTTTGACGGAAACGCCCGGCTTTTTGCAAGCAGGATACAGAGCAACCGCCGAGAACTAATTACACGAATAACATAGTCCGTGGTCGAAAGCGAAAGATGAGAAAAATAATAGCGGAGCCCGATGGCAACTAGTCGAATTCAGCCGTCACTATTGTTCGTCAACCACCCCACATTTATAGCCTATTTTAGACAATATGCTCTCCGTGTCGAGCATATCAGTCTCCGTGGGTGCATATATATCGAATGAATTTGGGCGACATTCTATCACAGGGGCGAGATAATCCTGCTTCTGATCAATGCCGTAGGACGGAAGAACGAGATGGGAGAGATGGGGGACGAACAGGGGAGAGTGTGACGAATGGGAGAGTGTAGAGTGCGAGAGAAAGTCGATAACGGGAGATAGCGCGCAAGGGTGTAATCCCCTATTGCATGCGTCGCGATCGGAGTCCAGTATCAAAACACGAAGGCTCGACATTCCAGCGAGAAGTGCGCGCGCGACCCTCTCGTGGGGATGAACCTCGCACATCCTCACAACCTCTACCCTCTTCACCAGTGGAACCAGCAGTCTAATGATCTCGTCATGCATACCAACACCTCGCCTCTCTCTCGCCATACTTGTCCTATTCGACAAGTTGATCTCCAACCACTTCACTGCTGGTAACCTCAACCTACTCAAAATCGCCACCGCCACCTCCGCCCTCTGTTTCGCTAGCACCATTCGCCTCAAACATGGGAGTTCGACGACGACGTCTTTGGGCCACTCTTCGATCATGCTGAGAGAACCAGGGTTATCGAGAATGAACGTTTCGAGTGAAGGTGTAGATGCTAGGATGGTCTGGAGTCGACCGTAGGACCTCCAAGTCCCACTCATGTGGTCTCCTAGCTCCAGGCTCTTCAACCCCGCGAGACGCTTCGACGTCGATGCCCAGTTCAAATCTACACTCCTCAATTTTAGCCTCTTCAAACTCGACGCCACACCATCGCGGTTTAGAGGGAAGTTGAGGGTTCCTCGGCGCGAGATCTCTTCGTGCCCCGGGACGTATGACACTTCGAAGCTGCTGAGGTGCGGATTGGGGCCACGAGGAAAGGAGCGAATTGAGAGGGAGATGTAGGTGTAGTTGGTCGAGGAAACAGAGAAAGATCGAATTCGAGGATTGTGTGATGTGGTGAGAAGGGATAGACGTTTGCTGATTTTGTCAGAATCGGTGAGGTAGGATGTGGATTCGTATTCAGAGTCGCTGAAGGGATGTTTCGAGTGTGAATTGTGAGGAAGGAGGTGTGGATACGTTTCGACATAACCCTTTGGAAAGTTGAAATCGAAGTGAAGGTCGAGAGGATGGTTCCGTGAACGTTTTAAGAGGAGTTTAAGGATTGGGAAGCGGGGTGCAGATTGTGTGCATGCAACAGTACTCCAGAGGTGAGAGCTGGAGAGGGCTATATCGCGCCATCTACCGCAGACGTGAGAGACGAGGAGAGGAAATGGGATTGACGAGCCAAAACAAATGTTGGATGAACCGAGCGCGAAGATATAGTCGATAATTTCGGGTGGCGTCCTTTCGACGGCGGATTGAGAGTCGAGAGCTAGAGACGACGTCGAACAAGATGACATGGTGAGTTCTGATAGCAAAGGTCAACCTGAAGGCAGCACTGTTCGTCAAAGAGATGAAGAATGAAGTGTGCGTGGTGGGCGGTATGATACAGACGACGCCCTTATAAGCAATCTCAGAGAGGAGCGCTTCGCTCGTGCATCATGTAAAAGTTCTGCAGAAAGGGCGCTTCTTCCAAGCGCAGGCGACGCGGATGTGGAGCTGCAAAGAGTAAGACCGGCATCCATGCGCATCTTCCAGGGTTCATTCCCGGCGGCGATGACCCCAGAAAGCAAGCATGCGCAATGCGCGATTGTCGGTGGTACGTGGTGTGAGCGACACGCACCTTTTGAACCAATTACCGTACATCGCAAAGTTTGACTCTGCGAGCGGCATCATGAACACCTAGAGGTGTCTGGGCTGTAGAGGTTGAAGGAGTCAGTATGCATATGTATTCCTCGGACGAACCAGTGAAGTCTGCTTCATCCCGAGGGAAGAAGGAAGAAAGGAAGAAAACGGTAAGGCGACATGACGTACTGTCGCGTGCAAATTTTCTTCGCACGTTACCCAGAAAAAAAAAACTCGAGATCATGTTTTCGAGCGCTCGCAAAAATTCCCGCTACTTTAGTAGTGGGTTCTTAGGTTGTACTTGATTTTGCCTCCGCTTCGCAATAAACTGATGTTTCGGTACTGAATTGAAGGCTGTGCGTCCTTTTTTCCCAACTTCGGCGTATCCGCTTGATTCCGCGCACTGCCCCCACCTCTCCAGCGCCACCCTATATGACTGTCACCGACGTCCTTTTCATCCCCCTCCCTTCCACTTCGCCCTGCTGCACTTTTCCTCGAATCAACAACATGCATGAATCTTTTGGATCTACCGCCACCCTTCCCGAGCCATGTGTTGTTTCCCTCCCCCAGACTGATATCACTCGTACGTTCCTCATCAATATCAGTTCGTCTCCTAACATGACCTTATTACATCAGTCTTATGCACACCTGCCGCAGATGACAGCGACGACGACCTGTATGGTGATGCACCTCCCCGAGATCGGTCAATACCCCCCGATGCTTGGGATCTCCCGCAGACCGACATCGCTCGTACGTTCATCCGTCAATGTGCACTTTGCCCTCTAAAATGAATTATGTTATATCAGTTGTATCGACACCCGCCGCCGATAACAGCGACGACGACCTATATGGTGATGCACCTCCTCGAGAGCGGTCCATACCTCCCGATGCATGGGATGATGCTCAGCCCACACCCGCTCGTCTGTTTTCCTCTTCGTTTCGTTTCATCTGGCGCTACTGACGCTCGACAAATAGGAGTACGTACAGACTCTGGTGCTGAGAGCGCCTCGTACAGTGGTGTCTTTCTTCGTGCTCCGTTAATCCCTCTCGATGCTTGGGATGACGTCCATACTTCACGCGATGTTACAGAAACTGGTTCGCCCATCTTTCTTCACCGCTGCCAATCGATACATAGTAACAGCTTCATTCGCGCCAACGCATTCGTTGGCCTCCAAACCCGTGGACTTACTTGCTCACGTGCAGTTCCTTCTGTCTCCCGTTTCGGACACCTTGAGTCCGCCGTCTACACACCAGCTGGTGCGTCGTACTCGTTATGCCTACTTGTATTGACTTTCCTGATTCCAGTTCCTGCAGAGACTCCCGTTCCCCTCTATTCGTTGCATGCTACGAGCCACCCTCAGCGTCCTGCATCGGCTTCACCGTCTGTCCGCAACCCGGCCCGCAATACTTTCTGTACGCTCTTTCGCTCTGTTATGTCATGACCAATTCCTCATCCACTCTTTTTGTTATAGGCTATACTTCGTATTCACCTTCGTCGTCCCACGTCTCGTCTGCGGCCTGCATGGCACAACCATTCGCCCGTGTGGCACCTTTGTCCGCCCTTGTGGCTCCCTTGTCTGCCCATGTGGTGTCTTCGTCTGGCACTGTGGCATCTCTGTCCGCAGAATCTTCGATTCAAAATACATGTCCGACTTTCGTTAGCCCCACGATGCCCCATAATGTTACGTCTGATCCCATGTTGTCTGCGCCTTTGACACACGGTACTGCTTCGGGCCATTCCATTGAACACATATATGATTTCAAGCCCACACAATGTGTCCAACAGTTATTGACCCCAGACGGTGTACCCTGGGCCATCCCTTCGCAGGAAAGTGCCTCGCGTATACAATCGGACAAACGGTTCCGACAGTATGAAAAACGTGGTTCATGGAATTGCAATCGGCACCCATCATTGAGTCCTCCGCCACCCGTTGCGGACCTCGCTTATCTCCCTACTCGTTTATTTAACAACGTGAATGAGTCTTTTAATCCTTATTTCGTTTTCGATGGTGATTATATCAATCTGCGGTATCATCTCTCTCTGCACGGTATATCTGTCGTTGACCGGTCCGAGGCAGAATGTCTTGATCAGCTATTGTTGCACCTTTTGAGTGGAACTTGCGCATCTTGTGTGGACAAACCTATCTCACGAGGCTGCGCCGCGTTATGGGATGAATACAATGGACGCGAGGCTATGATTCGAGGTGTTTTTACGCTGGTTAAACAGTCTCTTTCAATCGAACGCCTTCTCGTAGTCGTTCATGCACTCGGTCTCCGACCCTTAGGTTCAAGTGACCACACTCGTCGTAATTTACTGAGGCAGATCAAAGACTACCAGGGCAGCTTATACGCTGGCCATGCAGGACAATCGTCGCCTTCCGGAAATTCTATGCAACATCCTTTTGAATCGCTATTTGGCATGTCTCTTGCCGCGATAAGGAACGTTGCTCGTGGCCATGGTCTCCACACAACCGGTATGCGCAAAGAAGAACTTATTGATATTCTAATAGAACACGGTACGGATGGTTATTGTACAGCGCTTGACCTCCTTGATTCGTCCGGTTGTGCTGGAAATGATGTTCTCACTGTTGACGAAGTTGCTACCGATCCCAACGACATCGTGGTCTCCATCTTGGAGGGTGTACTGACATCCAAATTTCGTAAATTGAAGGCATTGCGTTCCGTCTTGACTGCACAAGATGTGGAGTGGAGACCTGATGACTCTGTGAAGCAGCTTCGCCGTCATTTGAAGACGCACATCACTGGATTAAAGAGCTCCATGCGAAAGGCAGAAAAAAGATCCCGTCAAAATATTATTAATGAGCAACGACGTCTTGAAGAGGACAGTCGTATTGATGCCAATCTCGAAGCAATCAGACGTGATTGGCCCCAGTTAGTTTCGACTGATCTGAAAGACCAAATTGTGAGCATGTTCAAGGATCAGACATCTTCACAAACTCTCGCTTCCTTCACTTGCGCTATTTGTGCGGAATCGTGCCTTGCGTCGGAAAAGCGCACTCTCTTAGCTTCTGATGTAGACGTACATCGTCTTTTGAAAGGCCATTTACCAGGCTCTGCCGAAGACGAGACATACCTTTCTGTTGCCTTCCCCGACACGTCGCTTCGCCCACCCCTTCCCTTTACGACAGGTATACTCAAGGATGCACTAGTCGACCCGAACGGTGTATCTCAAGACTCCGACGGTAATACCATACTACATACTTGCAAAAAATGTAACAGCACGCTGAGGCGGGGTAAAGTGCCTCAGCTTGCAATCGCAAACCAGTTATACCTTGGGCCCGTCCCTGATGTATTGAAGGATCTCACAATCATAGAGGAAGCTATGATTTCCCGATGCCGTGCAAAAAGCTGGATTATTCAGATGAATGAAGATAAAGACAAAAAGACAAGTGCAGAACATACGCAGGAGCACCAGGACTCACGGTCGAAGTTTGGGCGTCAGCATGGCATGAAGGGTCACGTTATTATATATCCTCAACGTCCTGAACGAGTGGCCTCACGATTGCCGCCGTCGCTGGATGAGCTTGGGGCCAATATTTGCGTGTTATTTGTTGGCTCTAAACCTCCAACTCAAGAGTGGTTAAAAGCAAAAGCAAAACCGTTGATTGCTCGTGCTCACAAGGTTCGAGCAGCGCTACTCTGGCTGAAACAGTGGAACCCCTTCTATCACGACATTGATATTGATGAAGACGTCCTTGGAACCCTCTCCAATGACCACGCGGGTGACATTGTCCCTGTTCACATCGAGACGGTATCTCCTAAGGATGTCAACGATAATTTGACCTCTCGTTATGACAACATCAACTTTGCAAATAATATTGATGGCGATGGTGATATACCGTTCCAAAGCATCGTTGTGACGAATGTAGACCAACACTCTACCGCAAATGAACTCCGAACTGCCGCTCTGCGTCACTTGAAAAAGGGTTCAAGCTACCTCTCGGTTGCGCATGACATGAAACCCGTCAATGAATGGTTCAACCCCGGTTTGTTTCCCATGATTTATCCTACATTATATCCATATGGTATCGGAGGTTTTGAAGAAGATAGCCGTGTATCCCGACTATCATTTCACCGTCATGTCAGACATCTGTTTGACTTGTCTGACCGCCGCTTCCAGGAACATTATTCGTTTTTGTTTACTGCGTTTAGCATTATTCAGCGCCGAAAGGCCTTGTTGCATTCAAGTTTAAAAGTCAAACGGTCAGATTTCGCTAACGTATCGTCTACTTTTGCCTCTGTATCTCCAAAGGCCGTCCACGATGTTTCCGAACGTGTGGCTCGAGGTGACACAAAAACAGCGTATAACGATGAGGAACGAAAAGTGCTTAGTCTGATGCGTGAAGTTAATGTGGTGAACTCACATGTACCTGGTTCTTCAGCTGCACGCAAAGTCATGCGGAACGAGATACGTTCGCTCATTGTAGACAAAGGATGCCCTAGTTTTTATGTCACTATTAATCCAGCAGATGTTTTCAACCCCCTGGTGTCGTTTTTAGCAGGCTCAGATATCGACATTGATGCCTTGGTTCATGAAACTGTTCCCAAATTCAAAGATCAGCACTTATTAGTCGCTAAAAATCCTGTGGTGGCCGCTAAATTTTTCGATATATACATGAAAGCTTTTGTCTCAGCCGTTCTGGGTTATGATCCGAAACAAAAAAATACAGATGGAGGAATATTAGGGACGGTCAAAGCATATTATGGGTGTGTTGAAGCTCAAGGCCGAGGAACGCTCCACTGCCATATGCTTATTTGGGTTGAAGGAGGCCTCAATCCCAATGAATTGAAATCGAAATTGATGAATGATGACGAACAGGGCTTCAAGGCTCGTTTGATTGCGTTCTTGAACGATACTATCAGCACTTGTATTCCCCCAGATCCAGGCCCTGAAACATCTACGTTGTCTTCCGTTGTAAATCCTTGTTCTGTTCGTGGAATACCAGCATCCCTGACAGGCGATGCTCGCGATCAGGCCCTGCAAAAGGATAGACATTGTCTTGCGAAAAAATGTCAGAGCCATCGCCACACAAATACCTGTTATAAGTTGTGGAAGGGATTTCCGAACCCTCGAGAGTGTCGATTCGCGTTGGATCCTGAATCGTTCCAAGCGGAAACATCTGTTGATCCTGATACAGGGGAGATATGTCATCAATGTTTGGACGGTATGGTGAACAATTTCAACATGACGATTCTGGAGTGCGTGCGCTGTAACATGGACATAAAGTTTATCGGCTCGGGTGCGGCTGCCAAGGCGATTTTGTATTATATCTCAGATTATATATCAAAGCAGCAACTCAAGGCCCATGTTGCTTATGCTGCACTTGATTTAGCTGTTTCAAAACTCGGTGATTACGATCCGTCTGAGGACATACTTGATAAGCGTGCCAAGGCACTCCTACAGAAATGCGCTTATGCGATGTTGTCTTCGCAAGAATTGTCTTCGCAGCAGGTTTGCGCCTACCTCATGGAAACGGGAGACAAATACACAAGTCATAAATACTCAAATTTGTATTGGACAAGCTTCGAAGGCATTATAGAATCGGAACGACCAAGTCCAGAATGCTATACATCTACAGACGAAAATGATGATGCTGATTTGGTTGATGACCATGATACTATAGATAGGGTCCCCAACGCGTTATACCCAGACGCAGAAGCTGAATCCGATAGCGAGGACTCCCATAATAGCAATGAAAATACCGCAGAAAACAATGAGGCGATGAATGAAGACACCGATGATATTGAAGAAGATGTCGACGAACAGATACCGGTCGCAATTGGTGCACAGGGCGAATTGATTGCTAGGGCTGGCAGAGCCATGGATTATCAACTACGAGACAAATATTTAGATGAATTACCACTTTGGGATTTTATCGCACAAACAGACAAAGAGCCTATGCGATCTAAAAGTGAATCTGATGATGCAGATGAAGACGATGCCACTGAAGAGTTAAATGACGTTGAAGAAGAATTCGTTGTTTACGATTCTAACGTTTCCGCCCATAGCTTGGAAGGAGATGGTACAGCTGCAAAGGAATTACCTTCTCTCGATGACTTGCTGCGTAATAAAGGTAATAAACGATATAAGTTCAGATTCAATGAAAGCCATGGTGAATTTGGCACCCGGCATTTGAAGTTCCTCTCCGCTTTGCAGAGAAAGGTGCCTGTTCTCGTCGGACCTACTCCCCCGCGTAAAGATTCGAAGGCCAAGCATACCCGCTCTCGTTACTGTAGGTTGATGCTTATCCTTTTCAAGCCCTGGAGACATGTGTCAGACTTGATTGGAGTACATTCAAGCTGGGATGAGGCATTTGTAGCTTTTGAATCGATGTGCTCTCCCCAGGCTTGTCAAATTATGACCAACATGCAGGTGTTGCATGAATGCCGTGATAGCCGCAACGATCATCGTGTACGGACCCGTGCAAACCATCGCTACCGATTTGATCCTATTGCTAATGACGGTGGTCGTAATCGAAGCAATGTTGGACCAAATTCATTAGGACCTGACTTGGACGAAGTTGATGCCCTCGGTGTGCTTTTCAGTATCCGGGGGGCTCGTTCCGATCATAACGAAGCCGACAGTACTGATGCAAATGCATGTGTAGATGCCGCGAAGGATATAGGGCTCATAAACGACGAGTTACCCCATCGGGCCACTCAAAGAGTAGTGAATGAGGGCATCGAATTTGAGGGGACCTCGATAGATGAAGTGTGTATTGCTTCACATGACAGAACAAAGGAGGATTTGTGGCGGCAAGCATATATGGATCGAAAGCAGTATTGGAAAACTCACAGTGCGATGGATATCAATGATTCTATGCCGATCATTCCAATGAATTTAGATCCGAACTCAACAAATACTCATATCACAAGCATGTCGGACGCCCCTGCTTCAAGCTCCACTGAATATGCACGACTAGCAGTTCCTGACAATACAGAACCTTCAGCAGATTTGATACGTGAGGTAATTGGGGAATATACATTAAATACAGAACAAGCTCGGGCGTTCAAAATCATTGCAGATCATCGGATAAACGGCAGTCTGGGTGAAGCGCAATCGCCGCTCAGAATGTACATAGGTGGACAGGGTGGAACAGGTAAATCCCGTGTTATAAATGCGTTGGAAACCTTCTTTAATCGCCGGGGAGAAACACGAATGCTGAAGTTGTGTGCATTCATGGGTGTAGCAGCAAGAAACATATCTGGTTCTACTCTGCATTCTTCTTTGTCTTTATACCAACGAGGTCAGCGTGGATTGTCTCCACAAGGGAAGCAACATTTACAAAATATGTGGGAGGGTGTACAATATTTGTTCATTGACGAAGTGTCTATGATCAGTTGTGAATTGCTCTATGACGTGCATGATGCTCTCATGGACGCTAAGGGAAATTCAAAACCTTTTGGAGGCATCAACGTCATTTTTGCCGGTGATTTTGCGCAGCTGCCGCCTGTAAGTCAGACCAGCTTGTATGCGAATGTAAATGCATCTTACACCCGGGTATCAACCAAAGACGAGAAAAGGCAGCAGAAAATAGTCATGGGAAGGTTACTCTGGCTATCTGTAAGACATGTAGTAATTTTGAAGCAACTTATGCGGCAGTCCGGTGAGCACAATCAGCGATTCGTCGAGCTATTGAACAGACTAAGGCTTGGTATGTGCAATGATGCAGACTATGAATTATTAAAAACGCGAGTGGGGAAGAACGCGAGCATTGATTGGAGCTCTGATGGTTGGAAAGACGCACCTCTACTCTTCTATGGAAATGAGGCAAAGGACAAGTTTAACACAGACGCTGTCTTAACATATACCCAGCGAAATAATCAAAATTTACACCATTATTATGCTGTAGACAAGCTCGGTGGAAGCGTGATAGAAAACGAGGAACTGCAAGCTACGTTATCCGAGTTTCATTCTGGACAAACATCACAAAGATTGCCCGTTTTGCCGTTGGCAATTGGGATGCGGGTCATTGTTTGCCATAATTTTGATGTGCCCGGAGGCGTAGTCAATGGTACCGTTGGAATACTTAAACACATCCGGTACTGGACAGACGATAATGGTTTGCGGCATGCAACATCTTGTGTTATACACGCCGAAGACACTTCCCCGGATCCGCTTCCAGGTCTGCCACCGCATCATGTCGTCGCATTGGCCGAGTCTGTGAATATTAAATTTGAAAACAAGTATTCATATAAACGTTGCACTGTTAATCGTACACAGTTACCTATTCTTCCAGCCTACGCTTTTACTGCCCATAAATCGCAGGGTCAAACATATGAGAAAGTCATCGTGGACTTAAAAAACTGTAGGGGCTCGGCGGCGCCCTATGTCATGTTGTCGCGCGTCAAATCGCTTGAAGGTTTATGTATCCTGCGAGATTTCAAGATATCAAAAATACGTTGTCACATGAATGAAGATTGCCGCAGGGAGATGAATCGTCTCGAAAAAATGAGCTTGCAAACGATCATTGATGTCGGCTCGAATGATGAACGGAAGATTGCTCGTGAAAAATTGACAAGCATGTGCTCTTCTTCAGAGCAGGAGCTTTCTCATCTGCCGCTAACCAGCGAGGATGACGCCAATTGCCTGCAGTCCGGAAATCAGCGCCTGGACGATTTCCAGCGGCGGATGAGGGGCTCCCCTCTTCCATTGACTGCAAAACGCCCCCGAGCTGCTGAGACGCTCGCGCCTGTACGCAGTGGGAGGAAGAGGAGGCGATTCGACGACCCTAACACGTCGAATCCTTCGAGTTGTGTGGTACATCCTGGTTTGGGAGGTGTGTATATTGGTGTTTGGTTTTTACCGCCACTAACCCCTCCCCTTTAGGTGCTGCCCGGTCCCCTGAGAACGCGGTCACATTGAACGTTACAGTGCCTAGTAACACTAATTGTACGTGTATCATGTCTCCCAAATCGAGCACTGGGTGATTAATATTTTACAACTCATTCATCTAGCTACCCCAATTCGATCGTCTCGCAAGAGACGGCGCACAACTCTTGTACTCTGACCTACCGCAACTTACATGATCAACGTGACTAGGTTTCTCCCTGGTCTGTAATTTTTCCCAGTAAATTACCAAGGCTGACTGACTGATGGATGGATTTAAGACTATCGGCAACCTTTGCGAGCCAGGGAAAGGACTGTGCCACTTCGTACCACAATGGGCAGCTCACCCATGAGCTGCACCGGGCCGTCGGACCGGCCTCGCCATGTCTCAGACCAATATTCTTGTGCTTGTCTCCCCTTGCGTGTCTTCCCTTCTGATGAAGGCATGCATAAATAAGCCACATTCTATGTATTACAAGCATCCCACTGCCCTCGTTTGACTTCAAAACTCTGTACTCCTGAGCAAAGGTCTCACAATAAATATTCTGAACGTTTATATTCACTGGGGCCTCTCAAACAAGGCAAGCGCATTGTATCGTACACATCACATGAAGACACAAGCTATTCACGTTCAAGTACGGCTACCTTGTACCACCGTTCTGGCCTCGTCAACAACAGCGCCTGCACCTTCCGTTAGAGTCCGGCAAATGAGGATTGATCGTGCGACCTACCAAGGAGGCTTTCAATTGCCCGTTTCTCCGCGGGCGTCTCACGCGCATTCCTCACCCAGTGCGATTGAAACCTGGCGGTGCGGGCACTGTATCGAATCGGGGTCGCGCGGCGAACAACTAGAACTGTTCCCCAGAAGCTGCGGAGAGCGATAGGTCGATTGGCATCGTGACGGCGAGTGGTTGTAAAATAGAAGGTGAATTGATGACGGGCGTTCTGCGCGTGCGTCGTATTGACAGTGTGGATAGTGGCGCGATCCGGAAAGTGAACAGCGAAGTCCGGTTCCCCGTTGGGGAGGACTCGAACGGGCTTGAGTTGGTGAGATACAGCTCCGTGATAGAGGAAAGCGCGAACGAGAGCGCCTCGGTAGGGTTGATTGTTCTGTATGGTTTGGCGTACTACTCGCATGGTCGTTCTGTGCGATGTCAGTACTGCGTCTATATAAAAAATCTTTGGCAATCATGCGTACCTTTCTCTTTGCAACGGGGGGGTTGTAGTACAATTTGTATATGTCGACGAGGCTCTAAAGAGCAGGATAAAGCCCACAATGGGCCGCGCACTGAATCGTGGCGTTTCGTAGGTGTGAAGTCATTCCGATAGATGAATTACGGTGGATCCTGACCCCTTGTTGATTGAACGGATCGCTTCATGGTGGCTTTCTGTGTTGTTCGCTGCAGGATCCGTCAGCTTGAGGGGCTCGCATAAATGTGACGGCTGCCTTATTCGGCCGTGCCGCTTGCATCCGGCTCCCACGATTATTTGATTGCAAACAATTGACCCGCCCCAAAGAGCGGATGCGACGTGCCTTCGTCACTGCCGCCTGCGTATCCCGTGCATCGCAGCGGATGAGAGTGGGATGCAATTGTCGATGTTGTCATTACCCGCATACCTCCTGTCTGTTCGTCGGAACCTGTTGGGCCTCTAGGTATTAAAGCTCAATCATTGTCTGTGGACGACATACGGTGCGCTTTCATCTGCAAAGTGTCTCTGCCTGGACCATCTTGTGCTTCTCCCTCTCGCAATCATGAGCACCCCAAGCATATCTGACGGCGTCATCCTCTTCTGGAAAAACTTCGTCGAGGTTGCGGACAGTTCGCCTAACTTCTTGGCTAACGAAGAGTCGGTCGCTACTACCGGTCGACGTGAGCTAGTCTCCCGCTGCGTCAACAAGTATCGGGGGGAGAACGTGATGATGGTCAAGACGACCTCTGACCTCGGGAGCGTGACGGAGGCGGAGTTCAAACCATCCATGGTTTTGAAGGTCGGGGATTACCAGGACGGAACACGTTTGGGTGCTATGGGAAATGTGGACAGGCAGGTGCGTAACATGTCATTTTTTCGGATTTTTCCATACTGAGATACTTTTCCCGTGTTTCTTGTTTTGTCTATAATCGCCTACCCGTCTTGCCTCGCCGTCTATCATGCGGCAAGATTGACGACAAGACTTCGGTCAAGTTTGTCATTGCGGGGAAGGGATTCGACGCGGTCATAGATGGTGGCGATGCCAGCGATTTCTACCAAGACCAATTGTGCGGCTTGCACACCGTTCAGCGCAAATTTGCTGGCAGCAAGGATACCCTGGACGATTGGATTGCTGGTAACGAATTTGTACGTCGTGATGCTTAGGTTTGACGCCATTTTAACTGACCTCACCTTGTATCGCAGTTGGTTCGGCCCTTCGTTAAGGATCGTGTGGGAAGCGCCACACCGTGCAGTGCTATTGGTGGCAAATATGCCAACTATCCTTGCCCTGCTGTCTCAACCCTTGTTTATTTTGCGGACAAGGTGTGTCATCCTCCGTTGCGTCTCTTTACGCCCCTTGTTGACTTGTTTGTCCAGGCTAAGGGTTTTATCGCGGCATCGACTCAATCGGAGCCAGCCCTTGAGCGTTCTGCTCGGAAGCGTAAGAACCCTGACATAGTGAATACGGATCGCGACGTTGCGCCGCCCGTTGATGCTTCGTCTACGCCTACAGAAGGTAAGTTTTGCACGGTCGTTTCGGAATCTTTCCGTTAACGATGACCTTTGATTGTAGTGCCGGCTGTTGCGCTCGGTGCCAAGTACCCGACAAATGTGCTACCTGACCACGACTGTAACGCGTTGATCAGACACAGTCCTGCCGTTCGCGTCAACCAGCTCGATTGGCGTGGCTTAGATAACGAATTAATCCCCATGTGGGATATCAAGAACGTACTTCGCCCCGGTTCGGTTGTGATGGTCCAGGTGGTTTTCAAGATGTGGGATATCAAAGCTAACGAAACGAACAAAAAGGCATCGAAGGTACGATTGCCGTTTTTTTTTTTCAATGACAGTCGCTGACATTGGGTATGTAGTCTTTTCAGATTGTAATCAACAAACTTAGGCTCATGCACGAGTCTGATGCTCCACCCGCTGAGGATCCGGCTACCGTACCAGACGACACGTCGACGAATATCGCCGCCGCACACGAAGAGGTCGCCGACGAGTTCGACCTCATCATGATCAACAACGGACACGCGTCGAGTTCCGCGTCCTCCTCTGAGCAGCAGGGGAACGCGATGGCGATGGACGAACTTCCCGCTGGAGTCGCGATGGAGACGGACGGGGATTCGAAGAGGCGCAAGAAGGGTAAGAAGTAGGCTGGCGGCTACTTTCGTGATCTCACCCAGTGTATGCCATCGGGGAAGGTCCTTTGTATGATTATCCAGTTTGGTGTCGGCCGATTGGGCTTCTGGGTGCCATCGTCCTTTTCATTTGGTCTTCGTGTTAATGTTGATGTGTCGCCGTTTCATCCTGCTCCCTTTGTATTAGTATGCTTGTACCGTGTTTGTTGAGTATCATGTTCAATGTACGTCGTAACGCTTGGCCATTCGCGCCCCTATCAGACGCGTCTGTTTGCGTCTTCGCTTTGCGTGAACAAGTCAGGGCAAAAAACTCGATCTGTCTATACGCGGGACTGCGTGGCGGGCGTTGCCACCTGTGGCCCTTCCCGTGCTTATAAAATAAACACCCGCCGAAGAAAACATGGATATCATCGCACAGGAAACGTTGTAGGGGAGGCCAACACTCGTTGACGGGGAAGAGGTTGGGAAGAGGTACTGTAATTATAAATACGCGAAATCTGACTGCGGCAAATTCCGACAAAACGTCCCACGATGTACCGATGCGAACTACCATTCCTTCATGTTCTCCTCGACCATAACATACTAGCGTGTACACTGGTTCGGAATACTTGCTCCAAGGTTCCAGAGACCGTGCGACCCATCGGGGGATGACACTCCTCGCGTTGGTATCACAGCGGTAATGGCTCCCTAGGTGCTTTCTGTAGTTGTATTTGGTACTAGTACGACTACGGATAGGGGTATTGGTCCTGATGGGCCCATCTCGTACCCTGAATATATAAGCATGGGAAAGGCCACAAGTGGCAACGCCCGCCACGCCAGCCCATGCAGCAATGACAAGATAGCAAGATAGCGACAAATTTCACACAAAGGAATAGGCCAAGCAGCATTTTTCTATTGACAACAAAACAACAAGAGTCGGAACGGTACAAAGGAGACTTGAGAGCGAAAATGCATAAGTAAAGAGTGTGTAGCTGCGAGTTGGCTGCGAGGTCGAAACAAACAAGGAGTGCAATTAACGTCAGACACATGATGAATAGAACGGCAAAAATGAAACACACGAAACGGGAATAAAAGGCAGCGACACCAAGTGACTGCCCAGGCGGTCCGAGCAGGGCTTAAAAGAGCGTACAGCGTTAGACACGTCGCCAAAACAATTTAGAAAGGATGCCAGATGCCCACCATCAGTGACGACGTTAACAAGGCTTTACTTCTTAGCCGTCTTCTTCTTCTCGGCTCTCCTACGCCTCTTGGCCGCATCGGTCTCGAGGCCCTCGTCAATGGATCCCGGCATGTCGTCCATGGGGACGTCAGGAGGTGTTCAAGAAGAAGCCTCAGTGCTAACAATAGTGATAGAGTCGAACTCTTCGTCGTCGAGGTTGTCCGTCTCCACGGTGGCAGCGTTGGCAACAGAGTCCAAGGGAGAATCAACGAAGGGGCGAGTGGATTCGCGCAAGACTTTCAACTTACGGATAACTAAATGAACAGACTGAGAATAACTTTCAGTAGGTGGCATGTAGAGAAAAGGTTGACGACAAAGGCAGACGGGGAGAAGGGCGTGAAGGCGCCTCGTCTGAGGCAGGACACGCACGATTTGATGTAGACATGCAACCACTGGCATATGAGACATGCCGACAGAGTATGAAGAGTAGAATAGGCAGAGTTGTAGCACAGAAGTCGAGAGCAAAGCACTTGTAGACAGAACAAAATCAGATCAACAAGGTAACGGCCAGAGAGCGGCGAGGCCGCTGAGGGAATGGGAGAAGGAGCGGAGATTGAAAAGCAATTGTAGAGGTGCACGGGCCGAAAGACAAAAAGCCGGGAACAAATGACGGAGAGGGCTAGACCAGCACAGCCACCCATTCAGTCAACAAAAGTCGATCTACTGCAAAACGGAGGCAGAATACATAACAACCTAAGAACCCACTACTAAGTAGCGGGAATTTCCTTCCTTCCTTCCTTCCTTCCTTCCTTCCTTCCTGCGAGTGGTGTAACATATTACAGTAAATGCCTAATGCATCCATCTTTGGCGACCTCAGTCTTTGTGCTCATTACGGTCAACTACCGAAGTGGATAAATGGCATCCACCTCATGAAAGCATTCTCGCCAACCTCCTGTCGAAGCCGCTCCACCGCGTGGTGAAGCGCATACGCCTCTTTCCTCTGTCCATCTGGGTCTGTGTCGTTCAATAAATGGGTATAGACCTCTTTCGCAACCACAGGTGCGTCTCTATCTCCTATCGACCACATCGTCGCAAATACGGTTCGATACCCTGCCATGAGCATCCCGGCAGCAAGGTGCACCGCTTCTTCGGGCCTGCCCTCGTCTCCTGTAGCAGTTTGGCAGGCAGAAAGGAAGGCTATCTCGGCAAACTTGAGAGACATGGTCATAATTGTCTTGAGGTCGAGCCGACCATCATACAGAGCGAAGGCGCTATTCATGGGATCTTTTGGATCTTGGACGCCATAGCAAGCGAAGTGGACCCAACTGCATTCGTGCATCCCTTTGAGGACGGCGTCGACTGTAGCTTCGTCCCGATTAACCCAGTCGCACTGCATTTTGTCCCCGATACAAGTTTTGATTGCTTCCACCTCGGTGACCGTTCCCCGCAGTGCGGTATAACCTGGCGTATCTGGTTGCGATACGGCGAGGATCCGTGGTGACGATTGACGCGGTTTCTTGGATGATTCCACCAGAGCGGTCAATGTTGTGGTATACGAGGAAACCACGTATTGAAAGATTCTTGGCTGATCCGGTGTGGCATATAGGCCTGCAGCATGAATGGGTAGAAACGCTAGTGGGCCTGTGCCACACCAGGTGATATGTGGAAGAGGATCGGGGGGTGATCGCATCTCCTAAAAAACAGTGAGATTAGTGGTCACCAGTGATAATTTATGCAGATCTCACACACCGCATAGCCAAGAGCAGAAAGGATAGGCTTCACGACCTCGGTCCACAAAGTTTCCAAAATTTTCTGCATCCGTGTTTGGACCGTTGCAACATTCCTGCGCCGTCTCAGGGCGCGAGCATCACGTTCGCGGACATCTGACTCCTCCAGACACTTGATGATTGTTTCCCTTAGCTTAGTAGCAGCTTCATAAGTAAAGGTTGAGAGGTGAACCTGGAGGACTGGTAGAGTTGAATCACGAAGGATAAGAGCGTCGCATCGACTTTTATGGACATTGATGACTGCCACCGGCCCTGTAGCTGTTGCACCAAGTAGGTCAGAGAGTTTCTTGGGTTGAAGGAACTGCTCGAAGCCTTCAATCTGACGGATTTTCACGAGGAGCTCTTCGTATCTCGCTGCTAACCTCCGATGTTGCTGAGCGTCGTCTTCGAGTGTCGATCTCGGTTTACCGGAGTCAGAAGCGGTGCCCGCCGTCTCTAGCTCTCGTGAGACTTGCTCCAACTCGTCGGCAAATATATCGTGTCCGGAGGCTCTCAGGTCATCCATCGGAGCACGTAGTTGGAGAATCTGTCCCCAGACGACTGAGCGTCCCTGCTCCAGCCATTCCATGGCGAGATCAAACTGCTGCAATGCTATAGCTGCTGCTGCCGCCGCATTCACCGCATCTCCGATGGAGAGAATGTCTTCGTACCGATGAGACACATCTTTTCCCACCCAAATCATGCGCGGTAGTAATCCAATGGCAGTTGCATGAGCATCTAATGACGGTGTTCCGCATTTCAGCAGCGAACAACGCGCCCACCTGTTAGCACAGTAGAAAGATAATGCCGGAGGTCCAGAAAAGGACTGAGCACTCGCGCGGTATGCGCCTAATGCATCATCAAGGTCCTCGGGGTAGTGGTATCGTTGAAATCGGAGGAAAAGAGACTCTGCGAGATAATGCAGACGTCCCGTCATCTCAGCATGACCATCCGGTGTGAGATGTACGGCTTCCTTCTGGCAGAAAATGGCCTTTTCGATGTCGGGCGGCTGCGCCAGATGCTCGAATCGGGCACAATGCGACTTTCCGAGATTGTTGAGATATGCAGGTCTTACTGCGTGATGTTCCGGGATGAGTTGAACCGCCTTTTGATGGGCAGCTATAGATTCGTCGATGTCAGGGATGTTACCTGATTGCATGAACCGGCCATGCAATGAATTTCCGACATTCGTCAGGTATACATGCTTGAGAGCATGACCATCGGGTGTGAGGTCTACCGCTTGTCTGCGCAGTGTGATAGACTCGTCTATATCAACTACGCTGTTGGACTGTCTGTATTGACGAAAGTACGCCAATCCAAGGTTGCTGAGACGGCCGGGCTTATCTGCATGACCATCTGGAGTCAACGCAAGAGCTTCACGAAGTACAGAGATGGCTTCGTCAATATCAGAAGTGTTACCCAGATTATCGAATCGACCGAGAAATGATCCTCCAAGATTACCGAGCCGTCGAGCCTTGTCTATATGGTCATCCGGCGTAAGTTTCACAGCTCTCTGCAGGGCAGTGATGCTCTCATCAATATCGGCAACATTGTTTGAATGTTTGAATCGTGCAAAGAAAGAGTTGGCTAGATTATTGAGACATTTTGGCTTCTCCGGATGTTCGTCGTGAATGAGCGCAGCAGAGTTCTGTTGAAGCTCGATTGCTTCATTGATATCGCTAACGTTGCCCGCCAGCTCGAACCGACGGAAAAGTGCACCTCCAAGATTGAAGAGACGGCGAGGTCGAGAATCGCTGTCGTCCGGGGTGCTCGAGATGGCCTCTCGCATAAGAGAGATTGCTTTGGTAACGTCTACTTGACTGCCTGATCGTTCGTATCGCAGAATATACGATCCAGCGAGATTGGTAAGATACCGGGGGAGGTCAGCGTGTGTTGCAGGAGTAAGCTCCACAGCCTGCGTTCGAATCCTGATGGATTCCTGGATATCCGGCATGTTGTGCAGACGCTCAAACCGTCGAAGAAGTAAACCACCGAGGCTATTGAGCAAACTAGGCCTATTCTCATGCCTTTCAGGAGTGAGTGAAAGGGATGCGGCCTCCTGCTGAGCTGATATAGCTTCGTCGATATCGGGAAGCTCTCCTAGTCTCTCGAATCGAAGGAGGCATGCGTTACCAAGGTGAGTGAGACGAGCTGGCCTTTCTGTTTGGCCGGCAGCCGTTAACGAGACCGCGCGTCTATGAGCGGAGATGGCTTCGTGGATGTCCACAATCTTTCCCAGGCGGGTGTACCTGTGTGAAAGCGATTGACCCAGACCATCCAGACACATAGCGTGTTCATCGTTGTTGGAACTGCACATGGATGCAGCTTCTTTGTAAAGCTGGATGGCCTCGGCGATGTCATAAATATCGCTCATGCTCGTGAACTGACTCAGCAGGGTATCCGCACGTTCGCGAGCTTGAAGTGCAACATGAGGTCTGTTAGTCGTTGAGGACGGGAGTTCCTTGGGGGCTTCGTCGTCGATGGTATCTTCCGGCTGGACCTGTCGACGCGACCACGATGATTATCAGACATGGACGGAAAGAGTGGTGTAACGAGTAGGTTGTGACGATTCATACGCACTGCTGCTTCTCCATCATTCCTAGTCTGTTCACCCCAGATGTGATAGAGTCAGGTTATCTGCATGAACGGTGGAGAATCAATGGACGTACGGCTGCAGGTTCAGAGGGTGCGTAGGTATTTTCCTCTCTTTCTGCTGTGTTTGTTTGTGACAGTGCACGGGAGACCTACGAGGACACTGATAAGTATCTGCGGAACAATGATAGTGGTTAGCGGATTATACCTGCGCCTTCATTATGGCCTTCAAGACTTCTTGGCTGATATTTCTCTCCATCGAGAGCCCCGGCCTGAACCTAGACACGATTGCCTGACTTGATATCAAGAGGAGAGGAAGGGCGGAGGGCAAAGGAGAGCTGAGGAGATTAGCGTGGGTGGTAGTGAGTGTGAGTCAAATCGATAGATGCTTCTCGACTGATTGGGCTAGTACACGTATAGGTTTCAAACGAGGATGCCCTGTGATACAGAGCAAAGTACTAGCGCCCGGGGTAAAAGGGTTTCACGGCGAAGTCAGTGTTTTGGATCAAATCGTTACACGTCTGAAGAGCAAGGTTCTTTCGTAGAATCCTCATGTGAACGACGCGAAATTTCCGCGCTTTGGAACTTGTGAACGGCAGTCAAAAAAGGGCATAAAGAAAAGCTGATCATTGCCATGCATGAGCTCACTACGACAAGCAGCCTTTGACGTTACCATACTCAATGTACAAGATGTGTAACCCGCGTTGGCATTCACCCACCTCTCTGACGAAGAACTATGGAAACGAATCCGGGAATTTAATTGAGAATTAGTCGGGGTAAATCGCACTTCGAAACGGCATCGAGAGGAGACTTACCAAGATGAACTATCACACTATCTCTTATGTTGTACGCGTTCAAGAGTTGCCCGTCCTCCAGCTGTTTCCCAAGGCAAATAAGACGCTGTTGTTTAGGATCAATGCCTTGCCGATCCTTGATAAGCATCTTCATGTCGTCAACTGTGGTGCTCTCCAGGTCTACGTCTCTGTATGTTATGTTTTTCCCATCGAAGGTCTTGATGAATATCGTGCCTTTGACAGGATATAGGATGGTAAAGAGATGCGCGGGTTCGAGGTGAGCAACGCACATGGAGCTTACTTTTCTTCCTTTCAATAATCGTGCGTGTGCTGTTCCTGTCGGCCTGATCCTTTTCGGGGCGGGGAAACTCTGGACAACTGAACCGCCAGTGCTCCATCAAGTCTCTTCGTTCCCCGATGAAGGTGCAAGATCGTCGTTTGCACCTGACGTCCAAAGACTCTACTTCCTGTAAGAGATAGTGTCAAAATCACGATAAAATATAAGAAGTGGATTCACGCACGTCTTTCCTTCGAAGATCAGGATAGCATGACTCCACAGAGCATGGTCTTCGACACTCCGGACAAGAAGGAGAGTCTGTCTGAAGGCAGTGTTCGTACAGGCAACTACGGCAGAATTCATGGCTGCATCTCGTCAGGATGGGGTCATAGAGCACTTCGCTAGAACAAATTCAGCATGCAATCCCGAATTTTCAGTAACAATAATGTAACAAACGCACAGGCAGATGGAACATTGAATATGCTGCCTTTCTGAATCGCTCCTCTCGCCGACAAACTCGTAATCTGAGGGTGAAGGAGGTTTTGGTGGGCGATTAATTAGGGTGAAAATAGAGTGCATGTCGTCTGAGCAGCCCGAAAGAACAAAGGTATAGAGGCGGGTAGGGGATACAAACGGCCTATATGGACTTCGATGAAATATTGTGGTGGCCTCTATGTGCTCTGTACTGAAATTAGGGCTGGCGGTGGAAGATCGATCTCAGCTCCTGCTACACGGTGTGAGGAGGGTCTGACGCCCGAATAAAGAAAGGGCTTTCGATCATTGCCGCTTGAGACACGCCAACTTAGCAGTAGTCTAGATGGGACAGTCCATTTATTTGGTATATGTGACCCCAAAAAGAAAAGCTAAGCCTAATGAAACAAATTGTAGAGCCTACGTTCCAAGAGGAGTTTGTGGGAGAGCCATGAACCGGCGCACGGGAGAAATTGTGCGCCATTACCCTTTGCGTGGAGAAGGGCATGCAAAGCGCAGGTAATGTGGGAATGGGTATATTCAAACCTTGGTAAGAATAACCTATCTGCAAGGTTGGAGACCTCACTGAACGATGTACGAAGAGGAACATAGAGGAAGCTATGTGGTGCGGAAAGGGTGAGTAGTTGATGAGGCGTTAACGTAACGTTCGATCAGACTCCTTCTGTAGATGACATTGGACCCCGATGAGCGCTCAATGAAGCAGGAGACGAGGCTGTGACGGTGGACGGTGAGACGAAAGGTAAGGGACGAACCTGCTTCTAGAGTACGCCCACCAACACCGCGTGCAATGACACACCCAAAGGTTTCCCGAGAAGCGAATTGTACTCACAGAAGATGACATCCCATTAATGGAGACGAGAGGAACATCTATAGCGAGCTTGTACACCTGCTCGTTCCCGATTGTTGTCCCGACTTTGAGACGAGAGCCTAGAAGCTTTGTGTGGGCGACTTTGGAGATGAGCTGGCGCAAGGGGGTCGCGGGATCTGAATCCGGGACCCGGGGTTAGGTAGGTAGGTAGGCCGTCAGGCCGAGAGAAAAAAATATGGACACCCCTAGTATAGGGTTTGTACGGCCTTCTGAGAGTCCGAAACTGCGGTAGAGTTTGCCTTATCGAGACCCGTTGCACCCGAACCACATATCCCCTTCGCAGTTGTTGCAGATTGTTCTTTACAACTTGTTTTTGTCTCTCATATCCGTGTCACTCAAGGTCCAATGGCAGACAACACCCCTGGTCAGGTGAATACTCTATCACACACTCAACCAGGTCCATCCATTAAGTTCAACCACTCTCAGTCAAAGCACCACCCGTCGTTAACGGTCAATGCGGATGGCATTGTCCATTGTCCAGACTGTCAAACCGATATCTCAGTCGGAAAGGGAGGTATTCGAAACTACGACACACAGCACTTCAACAGTAAGAAGTGTAAGACGAATCTGAAAGCTAAAAAGAAAACCAAGCCGTCAGCAATAAAGGCCATCACCTCTTTTTTCAAGACGACGCCTGCCGCGCAAATCGTTCCCTCTACTGTCAAGGCCCCATCTGTCATCACTATGGTACGCTTTGATTCCTATTTATGAAAACAAACTCACCGAATGCCCTGTACAGAATGGACATCCTCCACCGGCGTCATCTTCGTCACCGTCGATGGCCGTCCCACTTCCCCAATTATCGACTTCCTTTGCACCATCCGCGAGCGCCCAAAACGACGTGACAACAGCCCTAGCTTCATCCTCTACCGTGGTGGTCACAGACATACCCTTGCACACGTCTATCACTCGTCCATCAACCACCGCCGGATCATCTTCTTCCCCCATCAATACCACAATCCCATCTGCATCTCCTCTGCCCAAAAGCCTGTGCCCTCATGCTCTCCACTTGCTACACAATCTCAAGCGCGCAGTTGCGCGTCTCCCGCAGTCCGTACCTGAGGCCAGTCATGACGATGAACTAGCACGGTTTGCGGTTACGCCACCGGTGGTGGCCAAGGTTGATGCGTGGGAGGTGCTGGACCCGATGCTCAATAGCATTGCTGGGCGAGACGTGCCAATACAGAAGGTGGTAGGTCTGATTCGACGAGGAGCGAAGGGGATGGATGGACTGGTGGAGTACGTCGAGCATTTTGTTGTCGAATATGAGATTCCTGGAGCGCTGTTGGAAGGGAAATTCATGGTACTAATGAGAGCGGTGGAGTTTCTGTGAGTTGTCCTGTCGCTTCACGCGTTCAGGCTTGCACTTTCTAACAAGACTTACCTGGATGTAGTGGCAGTTGGGCGGTGGGAGCATTCGATGAGGGGAAAGGAAGTCAGGCCGCTACATCAATACTGTCTTCTCCTGTTCAGTGCCCAGCGCGACCATCGATGTACTTAGATGCTGCATCCGAACCGGACAAATATTCAGCTATTCCACCTCTCGACTCGATCGGTGAAGACGACTCCGACGTTGAAATCACGTACGTCGGAACTAAAAAGCGGCCTCGAACCCGCACATGCCCCGGCTATATCCTCCACTTTCCCCCCGGCCAGACACCTCATTCAAGCTATCCGATCGGCATCCACGACACTGTGCACCCGCCATGGGACTTCACCTGTCGGGATGGCACCATGAGCCTGCATTCGTCATCTTGTACAAACAATGTCCGAGGAGAAGATGCTTGTGCTGCGTGCAAATCTCTGGCGTCAAATACTACACTCATTGGGATCGAGCATCGCATTAAATATGGAGTACACGAGAACGCACCGTTCTCTTACCATGGTCATGGTGGAATGGTCAAGGTTGCGCGAAAGAAGACCCGGCTGAACGACTGCCAACGCGTACGGAAGATGAATATGGTCAGGAAGTTGACGGGGAAGGAAGGGAAAATAGACGCATACAAGCAGATGGTACTTGCGCTGTCGGAGAAGCGCATCCCTCGCCTCAATCGCCTCCTGCGGACCGCTGTAAATCGGAGGATGGGTCTTCATGCAATAATAGGATTGATCAAGGCGGCGGCGAAAGGAACGTACCATCCAAAGGGATACGACGAGGAGGACGATCTCCAGGCGCTGCTCATGCTTCGATTGGCCGGTGCCAGAGTGGCGAACATTGCTCACCGTATTCACGGATCTCCTGCTGCTTCCACTGTTCGCCGCCGTACAACGGTCTCCCCTCTCATCGCTTCTCCATCGACTCCCAGGCTCTCGGAGATCAAGGCTAATATTGAGGCATCGTTCGCGGGCATTGAGGAGGTGCTTGCGTTCGCGGCCAAGGATGCTCCAATTCATGCTGTTCTGATGTTCGACGAGTTGGCAACGGAGAAGAGGCTGAGGATTGATGACCGGACGAATATGTTTGTCGGCCTCGATAGGAAGACAGCACCGAAGACAAGCTTGGTGTTCAACACTGAGAACGATCTGAACACGATCGTTGATGATCTCGAGCGTGAGGAAGTCCGGCTAGCCAGTGAGGTAAGTGCCGGTTCGCCACATTGACTTTTGTTCGGGTTGCCACACCACGTCTATTTGCTCACATCTTACACAATGACAGGCCACCGTTGGTGCTATTGGTCTGCTGCACAAAGACGCCCGTTTATACACTGCACGTCCAATTCTTCTGTCCGGAAACCCAAAAGACGAAAACGCGGCGGAGCATCTCACAGTCATTGAGACTACGTTAAAGGCGGCAGAAAGCAAGCAAGATCTTATCCACTCGCGCGTTGTTTGCGCGAGCTCAGACGGCGAGAAACGTCGACACGCATCCTTGGTAGCGCTAACATTCAAGGTCCTGCTGTCGGTCATGTCCGTCATATTCCAGTATCTCGGGTGCTTGGCCTTGATGTGTCTCTGGGTTGGTGATGACGACCTGACCGCCGACAAGGACTATAAACATGTCTTCAAGCGGCTTCGGAACGCCCTTCTACGCTCAAAGGGAATCTTCGTTCGGGGCATTCACCTTACTCCTGCGGTCATTCAGGCTCATCTTCGAGATGCTGGCCACAGTAGTCGCCACATCCAGTCTATGTTTAAGCCCGAAGACAAGCAGGATGTTTTGTTAGCCTACAATCTTCTTCGAGATCTTTGGTCTTTACCCCCGGCATCATCACCCGAATCATCTCGCCCAGGTTACACGGAGACCAGGGACGCCATAAGAATATACGGCGACCTCTGTTATCATCTCGTCATTCCATACATCTGTGTCGAACTCTCCCTCGCCGAGCAACTCGAGCACCTAAGCAGTGCTGCTCACCTCGCCCTCGCCCTTTATGAACCAGGTGACAAACTCATGCCAACAACACTATACATTGACATCATGATTATGATCAAGAACGTCTTGTTTTGTGTTGCAAAGGCGAAGGCGGATCACCCCGATGACCCTTTCTACATCGTGCTCCTCGGAACCGACCGTCTCGAGACCCTTTTCGGCATTCTTCGTACCATGGTCGGCAATGACACAAACTTAGACCTCCTCCAACTCTCGCTCCGTGTTACTGGAACCACCGAAATCGCAAACATCCTCGCCCTCCATCCAGAATGGGACAAGGCACCTCGACGGCTTCACCTCCCTCTTCTGACCCGCGATATGGAGTCCATACCAGACGCCGCTGATCACGCCAATCCTGGACTATGGACCGGAGATGTTATTCCAGCGATCATCTCCCTCATCACTTGCTGGAAACGGGGTCGGCGAGCAATAGAGGATAAATATCACTGGACATCTGAGATATTACAGCGTATAGAGGCTATACCCGATGCCTCGATCCTTGCCCCCCGAGGGACCCTTCTCGTCAACCTTCCACTCGCACCCGACGATGACGAGGCCGACGAGGGCGACGGGATAGTGCCCACAGAGCCTATGCAGCCAGCAGATTCGGAGGACGCTACAGACGGGCTACGAGAGCTTGAAGACGCCGCAGCTGAAGTGGTTCTCGACGAAGCGACTCACACACAATCGCAATCTCCGAAGTTCATCATGATTGATGGTACTTTGGTCAGTAAGGCACGAGCTCTCTCCCTCCGCTTCAAGTACAAGAAGACATCGGCATCTACTGATCGCCTGCGCCGTGTTGCAAACGAGAGTAAGTATAAGCCATTCATAGACAACGATGATAGCGCAGCGGATGACGACAGCCCAAGGCTCATGGTCAACGATCCCATTTCGACCCTCCTTCAATGTGAAGGTAAGATCTGGCTGTGCCTTGGCGAAGTCAAGGGGATCCTCGTACATTCTAAGCCCGTGGACAGCGTGCCGATCTCTCTCCTCCCTGAGAAGGCGGTCATCATCTCCTACCAGATTATTCGGCTCACCCGTACCACCGTCGATGACGATCCAACCAGCGACAACGACTGGCGTTCATCGTTATTCCTCCCTCCTACGTTCAAGGTCCCAGGCATGCTCGTACAGCCCATCAATCCCACAATCTCCACTCGTACACCCGGAAAACCCTGCTTCTTGTTCGAGAGTGCCACACTCATTGCCCTCGCCGCAAGCCTACACGATAGGTTCACTCAGATCCAGCTACGGGCCATTCCTCACATTGCACGAACACCTGAATACCCTTATCGTGAGCGAACAGGTATGTTGTCATTTTGGCGATTCCATTCACCGTACTGACTACTCTACATCAGGTGCAGCCTGCTTCGTAGTAGAAGGTGATGGCGACGAAGGGGAGGTACTCCCGAACACATGTCCAAAGTGCGGGATCGAAGTGAACACTTCGATTCCTCACCCTGTCCTCGCACACTACGGAATGCACCACCGGCACGACCCTACCATCGACAAGAAGCAGGAGCATTGTGGCACCTGCTTACGGCCGTCGCTACCCGGTGTTTGCGAGTACTATCTCAGGAAAGGGAAGGGCGCTGAGGCCGGCTTCATGATCGACTATACGAGGACGACGTGCGTGAATAAATTCACGTTCAACTACAAGACAGCCTCGCAGTCGCTCTCCTCATCACCATGTTCGAACATCCCCCTCGAATGTCCGATCTGCGGTCCTGGGACTCCCGCTGTGTGGCGCTATAGCATGGAGGCGCATTTTAAACGTCACCACCCGTCAAGTGCATCCTTACCCGTCTATATGACTATGTGGACACTCTCGAACTTCGAAAAGTACGAGATCGAGGTACTCTGGGATACTCGAAATGAGAAACGTACGAGGAAGAAGCGCAAAGGGAAGGGTAAAGCGGTACCCCTGGTGATATCTGAAGCGCACAGCTCACGCTTAGCCTTTCGGTATGTTCAGGTTTCACCGATATAGGCCGTTCTGAAAGCTGACGAGCGTTGGCAGAAATGTGGCTGACGAAGAGGAGGAGGAAGACGATGAGGGAGGCGGAGTCGAGGACGGTGAGGTAAGTCAAGGAGGGGAAGACGTAGAGCATCGCGATGATCTTGATGCACAAGATGACACCGAAGAGGATATGCAGGGTGACGAGGAGGAGATGAGAGGCGAGGACATAGGATTTGCACGCGTCACCAGAGGAACAGGAGGTGATGTTGGTATGGATCTGCTTGAGGGCATGAATGTGGTGAGTGTTTCGAACCTGCAGCAGAGATAAACCAAAATGCTGATAACATAAATGATGGGCAGGTGCGAAGAGAGACGGAGATTGCGGATGAGACTCGTGAACTGGGCTCAAAACAAGTGGATGGGACGCACCTTGAAGCGATTCGCACCGAGGATCACCCTTCCTCGCACCCACACCCAATATCGCCTTCACTTGATCCGACAACGTCTGTGGGCGTCTCACATCCTCAACCTTGCGAAAACTCGGCACACGATGTATCACTTCAAGATCATGCGCCGCCAGAAGATGATTCTACGACGGAAGTGTTGGTGATTCAGTCGACTAGAGGCACTAGGAAAAAGAGAACGATAGCGCACCTGGCCGACTGTTTGTGCGGCACACGAGTGAGCACAGAGGAGATCGTGGACGGCGGAGGTATAGTTCGATGCAAGAAGTCTGGATGCGAGACAGAATGGGTCAGTTCTTCAATTTATCGGCATGTTTCAACTTCTGGCTCACCTGATGCCAAATCATTACTGCAGTACCACCTTGCTTGTGTCGGTGGCCTTGAGCTGGCACCAAGAAGTTGGATGTGCGAGACGTGCACGGAATCGTCGGAGGGGTCACGGAAGAAGAGGCGCAAAAACTGATAGCATATTGCATGATGGAGTGGTTGCTAGTCTGTGGGTTGAGTGCGATGATGTATACGAGCTCTCCACGACGACTGCCTGGAAAAGCGTGCCAGCCGTGGTGAGCGATGAACGCTGGAGGTGTAAGCGTCCGTTCGACGAGACGACGCGTCAGTGTGGCGACTGTGGCGTCTTGACTAATTTCAAATATTACCCTTTTCGGACGTGTGCCTGATTACGTAGGTAGGTAGTTCGAGCTCGGCCTCCTTCCCAAGAAAATCCGACCCCCGGTCATGGTTTAACATTCCGCGACCCCCTTGAGCTGGCGTCACAGGCCCAGTGATAAAAACCACAGTTTTCAGGCAATATCGTGAGCAGGGAGCATGTATCGAGGCACAGACTAGAGTACGAGGTACACACTAAGACATTTTCGGCCGCAATTAGGTAGGAGACCCTCAATTGAACACGATGGCCGGGTGGAAGACGTTGCGTCCGGTCGCGTCTTCGCCACCGCCACCGTAGGCGCATGGCATATGCCTAGGGAGGTCCGATCCAAAACCGCCGATTTTTGCCCTTTTTGTCCGGACCGATTTAGGACCAAAATGTACGCACTCGGATCGGGTGTCCTATTTTGGAGGACATTTTGTACGCATTCTGTATCGGACATTGCCCAGCATAGAGCTCGAGAATATAGACATTATTTGCCATTATGTGCGCACCTCGTCGGCAAGTGTCTGAAGAGGCTCTCGCGAGTCATCTTATCTCTCTTGCGCAACTTTTGTGCGCACTGTAGGCCATGGTAGGATCGGACCTTGTCACAAGTCCACCACTTTTGTCTCGTTTGGGATCGGACCTGGGGTCTTTCGGAGGCCGAAAATGTACGCACTATGATCAAACATGAGACCGGTTTTTGGCCCAGAATTGTCCGCACTAGGATTGGACCTCGCCCAGCATATGCCATGCGCCTGCCACCGTACTGCGTGACGTGACATTTTGTCACACTGAACTTTGCTCATCGAAATTTCCTCGTGTGGCGTCTATTTATCCCCTCCTCTCTGTGGTCGTCGTCGTCGTCGTTATTGACGTCCTTGTGCTCCCTTCCGTCGTCGCATCTCCCTTCCTAGGTCTTCTCGAATAAATCAGGCAAAATGGCCGAATACGACCTCACAAAAACGATCATCCCGTACCTCGATAGGCACTTCGCCTTCCCTCTCCTTGCCCATCTCGTCGAGACCGAAACGTTCCCAGTGGAGGAGGTTCAGGCAGCGCAGTATGAGCTTGCGAAGGGGACAAATATGGTGGACTATGCAGTTAATCTGTATGAACAGTTGCAGCCGGACAAGGATATTCCTGAAGGTACGTTACTTGCAAATCATGTCAGGCATCTGCCTTCCCTCGGCCGCGCTGTTCTTTGTACTGTGGACATGCTGTTGTATGGTGCGATTGTTAGCATGCATATAGGCCTGCGAGCAACGTCCTTTGTGGGTCCAGTACAAAGAAATGCGGATCCCAAGGTAGGGTGCGTCCAGGGAGCCAGGAAGCCTTATTTATCGACGCGAGTGCAACTTGACGAGGCTTCGGACATATTGTTTGTTTTTTACTCAAGGTGATAGCTGGAGTTGAATGCGATCGACCCGTGGACGCAGGTGTGGCCGTGGAAACATCGTGTAACGCCACCCACATTCTCAGATCCCCTGCCAGATCGTCCTTCACCTCAGTGCTCGATGTTCTGTTTTGGATATTTCACCTCCTGATACACCTTCGTTGTGCTGGTGCGTGCGTTGGTGATCTGTGACTTGAGCCGAGTCTTTCGCCTCGCTCGTTTAGACCAGAGTTACCACAACTACATAGCCTGAATCATCCCCATTCTGCGGGCTAATCTGATATCTGATTCATCTATAGAATTTGCAACCAAACGCGAAAACGCCGTGTCGACGAACGAACGCCTACAACAAGAAGCTCAAGCCGTCCTCGACGTCATCGAAAACCCGGACGTTGCTCAAGCCCTCCGCCAGGACAAGAACCAAAATTTGCAATACCTCAAGGACAATTACAACCTCACCCTCGAACAGATCACCGCGCTCTATAACTTCGGTCAGTTTCAGTACACGTACGGTAACTACTCTGGCGCCGCCGACTACCTCTACCATTTCCGCGTCCTTTCCACCGACCAGGACCTCAACACCTCCGCCCACTGGGGTAAGCTCGCGAGCGATATCTTGACGGGGAAGTGGGACGTTGCGCTGGAGGAACTGAATACATTGAGGGAGTCGATCGACTCGAGGGCGGCGACCGCACCGTTGCTCGCTGCTGCATCCATCTCCGCCCCCGTCCCGAGTGGGACGACACCCGAGCCGGCACTGATGGCTCTCCACTCGCGCACTTGGCTCACCCACTGGTCGCTCTTCGTCTACTTCAACCACCCGCAAGGTCGAACCCTCCTACTCGAAACCTTCCTCGCCCCCGCCTATCTCAACACCATCCAATCCGCCGCACCCTGGATTCTCCGCTACCTGTCCGTCGCTGCCGTCCTCTCGCGCAAGGCCCAGTCGCTTCCTGGCTCACAACAGTCCGGGAAGGTACGGCATGCGATCAAGGAGGTGGTGAAGATTGTGCAGATGGAGGAATATCAGTACAGCGACCCGATCACGAGGTTTTTGAAAGAGCTGTATGTTGAGTTCGACTTTGAGGCGGCGCAGAGGGAGTTGGTCGTTGCGGAGCAGGTCGTCGGGAACGATTTCTTCTTGAGCGAGTTTAGGGAGGAGTTTTTGGACAATGCGAGGTACTTGATCTCGGAGGCGTACTGTAGGATCCACCAGAGGATCGATATCGGGTGCGTTTTTTCTCATCTTCATTCCTATTCCCCTGGAGGTGGGTCGATTGACGCTCATCGTGGAATTTTCTTGTTAGTGACCTCTCGGAGAGGCTGAACTTGTCGAAGGATGAAGGTGAGAAATGGATCGTGAACCTTATTCGCGAGACGAGGATGGGCGCCGATGCGAAGATTGATCTCGAGAAGGTGCGTAAATGTCACGGTCGACTCGCCCCCCTCATACTTTCCCGATTTTCCACTTTTCTTTACCGCCTAGCCACTTCGTACACGGATATCACCGCATGCTCCTCCTTTTACGCCTGCGGACGAATAATCCAACCCGCCATACTTCGCCAACCCCATCATTTCTGTCCATTGCGCTCAATAGCTGACTATCTTTTCCCTCCCTTTCATGAAACAGAACGTCATCGAGATCAACCGCCCGCCTCTCCCCATCTACCAGACCGTCATCGAGAAAACCCGCGGCCTTTCCATCCGTACACAAGCCCTCGGCGCCGCTATGGCCAGGGCAGCACAGCCGCAGCCAGCAGTCGTAGAAGGGGCGCGATAGTTTGCTCGTTTGCGTGCTACTTGAGCGATTTATTTGACGAGCGGGTAAGGCTCTCGCTGCGTATAGTTAAGCTTTGGGGAGTAGTGTGGCGGAGGTGACGTGGGCAGAGGTTCGAGTGGCGGCAAGGGTCTGAGGCCGGCTGAACTGCCAGCAATGGTCTGGGATTCTAAAAAAAACGAGATTGGTCTGGAGCGTGGACCGTTGTGTTGCGTCGAGATTAGTGACGGGCTAGATGTAGCGCTATTGCTGGCGTTTGTAGCTATTGTCTGTTGTCCGTGTTTTCCTTGTTGTTTTTTGGCGTGTACCCAAATTTTCTTTTCCGTTCCAGAAGTCAAGTGGAACGAGACGCGTGAAGGATGGAGAGGACGATCGGAAGTTCGAAGCAGAGTCGGACAATATCAACAGTAAATCCACATGAACCTCCCTCGTAAGAATACATCCAGACGTCAGCCGAGCCTCCAAATGCATGCACATACTTTCTTCATCAGACTCGTCACTCTCGCTCTCCGTTAGCCCCATCCAGCCAACTTTTCCACTCGACCATAACCAGCTTCAGCTTCTCACCTGTCTTCCTCCCGTCACCGGCCTCTCCATCCATAGCCTCCAAGGAAGCCCCATGAACACCCTCGCTTACGCCTCTCCTCAAATTCGCAACGAGCACCCTCACCGAAACCCCACTCGCCTGCCTAATCACCAATACCTTACTCTCCTTCCCCCGTTTCTCTGTCTCTGTCTCGCTGTAATCTCCTTCTGCCCCGTCAAAGCCGTCCTCGACGGTCCTCACAAACTCCAGTAATGCCTCCCCGCTGGTCGTCAACACATCCTCCAGATCCGATATAGATATAAAGACAGGTAACGAGTTGAACGTCGTCAAAATTGCGTTCACATATACAGCGAGCGAGGGGTACGAAGTCAACATATGCGACGGAACATGTACCGACGTCCTATCCAACATGTTCGACCGAACCGCCTGCGGAACCTGTATCGTGCCTAGTCGAAACCAACCACGCGCTCAGCAATCTCCTCCGTTTCGTGCTCGTTCCCAACTGTGTCTCCTTCTGCACAAGCGCGACGAAATTCTTCGTCGCGCTCTCTATGACGGACTCGATGCTCCCCGGACGATATCCTCGAATCTCGGGCCCAACAGGCCTCTGAAATCGAGGCGGATGCCGGAGAAGGAGGTGGCGCAGTGGGTGAGTTCGGTGAGGAGGGATATAAGCGACGAGGGGTTTTGTATGTGGGGAAGAATGGTTTGGAGGGTGGGGTGGAGGCGGGTTTGGATGGCGTTGGACGTGAAGGTCGGAAGGAGGGTGAGGATGAAGATGGCACGGCCGACTCCTCCCCTTCATCCTCAACTCCATACACCCCCATTCTCCTCAAAACCCTCGCGTTCCAGAGCGCCGGAAGTTTGACCCCCTGCTCCCTCAACACCCCCACCAGCCCCTGCACCAGGCCCCTAATCGCCCCATCTACCTCGGCCATCACATCACCCACTACTCTCGCGTCCGGGAACTTAGCCGCGAGTGCGGCCGCGTGGGAATGGAGATCGAGAGCCTCGGCGTAGAAGCCGTTCCAGATGCAGGTCTCAATGAGGAAGGGGAGCTCGAGGATGCCGTTGAGTTTCGTGGATTGGTCGATGACGAGGCAGGCTTTTTGGCGGTTGGTTTGCATGTGTTTGATTTGGGTGCAGGATGATTTTGAAAAGGGTTCGAGGACGGGGAGCGTGCCTAACAATGTTGAGAGGGAGGTAGAGAAGGAGCCGGGCGTCGGTGAGTTGAGGAAGGTGGACGAGAGAAATAGACGTCGGCCTGCTATCATCGGTTACAGTCCCGGTTCCCGTGGTCGTCCCGGTCGTCCCAGTCGTAAACCCCGGTGATATTGGACTAGGAAGCGTTCCGGATCGGTACGGCGAGGACGTCCGTTCGGATGCGGGAGCGGCGACGGGGAAAGATGCTTGAGTGGCGGTAGGGACCTCTTCGTAACCAGTCTTATGAGAGCCTGGTGAGGGTACGATATAATCTTCGCTAGAGACGATTGGCTCTGGGCCTCGAGGAGTGCCGAACGATCCACGGGTTGCGGTAGGAACGGCGAGGAGATGATCGTTCTCGTCCTCCTCCGGAATCATCTGGGAGCTTGACCTCTGACTCGCAACCCTCCCATGCTCCGTCTTATCTTCTTGGTCATGGCCATGATGATGATGGTGGTGGTCATCATCCCCTTCATCCTCGCTCTCGTCACTCAATTCTACTTCAATCGGTGGCGCCATATGACTCGCCATGATACTCCCTCTCTCCCTCGCCCGCACCACCTCCAATTGCGCCTCCCTCTCCCTCCTCTCCTCCTCGTTCGCCCGGCTAACCTTCTTCGCCAACCTCTTCCGCACGTTCTTCTGGTTATTCCATCCCTCCCCATCCGTACCTTCATTACCCTCCCTCTCCAACTCCATATCGATATCTGACTCACGATCCGTCGACTCCGACTCGCGCACGGACGAGAAGGTGAACGAACGTCCTTCATCATCCGTATGTCCACCAGCGCCATTATTCCGCCTCTGACCCAATTGTCCGATCGCCTGCTGCACATCCGTCATCGTCTCCCGCATCACCGCCCCTTCATCGGTCCCATCTGAAGATACCGAAACTTTCGGTGGCGCGACCGACTCGTTCTCCGATTCTTCTGCTAAGGAATGCAGACCGCCGGGACTCGTAGGAGGATGGGCGGGTTCGGGAGATGGAGTGCGCGCGCCGTTGGCGGAGGTGGCGATCGGCGATGTGAAGCGCTGGCGGTAGATGTGGTTGTGGGTGCAGAGAGGGGCGGCGAGGATTGTGGCGGTTGTGGAGGGGCGGGTTGGGTGTAAGACCGGGGAAACAGGCCGACTTTCCCTGACAAGTTTCGACCCTGTGCTGAGGGGGAGGAAGAGCGACGGAAGGAGAGAAAGAAAGAGGTCAGCCTTCTTCGCATACCGAAACGTGAGGTCATGACAGGAGGGAGGGAGGGGCGACGAAGCGTCCTTCAAGTCGAAAGCAAGTGGTGGAAGAGCTCGAGACGAAGGAAGAAAGCAAAAAAAATGCACAGCAGCAGGCCGCACCATATTTATGTACAAAACCATGATCAGTGGGCGCTGTGGTCCGTCCTCGATGAGTCTGCAAGGCATATCGCTTGTCGCATTCGCCCTAATACCCTACGACCAGCCTACACTTGCAGCCCCTATCTGAACGGTGCAATTTTTTGTCTATGGTAGTCCGCCAGAGCACTCGTCCTTCGTACACCAGTCTCTCGCGCATCACAAATGTCGCTAAAGACACGAGCGCGCGACCCGAGTGCGGCGGGGGAGCAGAGGAGATGACCAACACCGTTGGACATGATATGGCTCCATAGCACGATGAGATTCACGGTAGGGAAAGCAAAGAGGAGGACAAACTGAGTGAGGAGCCTGAGCATGCTGGCAAGTACTATCAGGAAACTGGAAGTGGAACTGGAAGATGCGCCGGTTTGAGATAACGGAAAGCCGCTCCAACGCCAGGACTTGGATCGTTTCGAGAGCAAAGAAGAATATAGTGCAAGGAGGATAGATTCTGACCTGCCACGATCCATCGCCATACAAATCATCCTTCTCAACGACCTCTATCCGCTCCCCCGCACGAAACTCGACCTCGTCATCGTGCCCCGGGAGGAAGCGTATACGTACTCCGGCATCGCCGTCCTCGGTATCGTCGACGACCGCTGCTTCTGGATGATGTTCGTCGTGGGGGTTGGGAGAGAAAAGAGAGGGCGATGGTGAGAGAAGCGAGTGGGAAGCGAGCTTGACGTGGATGGCGATGAGAAACGTTCGGGCGGTACTTTGGCGCCTCTGCCAAAGCGTGTTGGTTCACGTAAGCATGCTGTCATACGACTTTCAAGTGGCGCAAAAAATACACGTCCTCTGTACGCTACCGCCACCTTGCAACAGAAAAATTCTAGCCGTTACCTTCGTGCGAGTGTTCATCCACAGAGTGACCGTCAATCGTAGTGCGCGTACTTCTCCACAAACTCTGGCCTTGGGGAGCTGCATATCGATCGATCTCTCTGGCTCGACCAAGGCTCGACATCCGTGGCCTCGATACCGCCACCCGTAACGAATCCCTCTGAAGCTCTGGACTACGTCTATAAGCATGCTTGGGAACTTCAATGGCCTCGCCACAGCAGTACAATCTTCAAGGCCAACATCAGCATCCCTCTTGACACTGCGGACGACCTCGCTGTCGACATCCCCGACTACTGGGATTACACTTGCCTCGATAACATTCGCCCCGTCGCTCGTGCACTTGGTCTAACGACGAAAATCTTGAATGTTCTCATCATCCGTTCTGAATATCACTTGCTGCGGGAGATGATTGAGAGGCACAGTAGCACAGGCGCGTTCGTGCTGACGGGATAGCCAGGGATAGGTAGGCCCATCTACGCAGAGCTGCCGACGGTGCTAGAGATCGCCGCGATCCTGTACGTTGAATTAGTTTTTATCATTGGAATGTCCCTCCTCACGAAACCCTTGTATAGCAAAGACCACCACTCCGTCTCATCTTCCGCATTTCCACTCGTGACCAAGTGGGGACCGTCCGTTACAACGATCGTCGCCATCGCGAGTGTTATCGTCGAGGGTCCTGAGGCAGCCGAAGATATCGAACGAAACAAGCAAACCGATGTGGAACGGGCAGCGCGCGTATTATGCTCGGATCAGTCGCTCTTTGCTTTGTACTTAGCCGGCGACTGTATACCAGACAGCAACGGTTCCGCCATCGTCTTCATTCGCCCTCACCGTGAATTTACATCGAACAACAAAATCGCCACGTCATCGCGCGCAATCCGTTTCATCCCGACGACGTTCCTCCAGTAACTATTCGCGAAACATTGCACCAATTTCTCGGCCAAAAAATCTCACGACCTCTTTATCGCTTTCAGCACCCACTCCGTCACTCGAACCACCGCCGGCTGGCAGCATAAATTGAATGTTCATCGCCGCCTGAGCACAGCGGGCGCCCCACCTCTCCCCATCTCCAACCACGATCGAACAGAGAAGATACAGATGCACCCATCGTCCCACGTCGTTCGTACAGTGGCCGGCCTGAAGCACACCAGTGCCTCCGAGGCGCTTTATTGGATGCCGTCCATGGGCGATTACGAGGGGGTCGACGGTGCTCTCGGCGATGCAGATAACAACATCTACACCGTGCAGGCGATTACTGCGTTAGACTACAGCAATCCCGCCGAGGGACTTAAGCGAGCCTGGTTGGCCATCACACCAAGTGTACGATGGCAACGTCGATGGCACTTCGTCGTTGTCGCGGAAGATATGGGAACGGCTGATAGGCTGGTGAAGGATTGTTCAGGCCTGTTGAAGGGTGTGAGGCTCAACTCCGGCAGCGACGTATACATGCAGGTGTGGGGGTGTGTCCTGCAATGATTTCTCCAGCAGATTGTTCCTACCAGAGACCACATCACAGAGTGTGCTTTTCGACCCTCCCGGACCACTGGCATACATTCGCACTCGCACAAGTCAAAAATGGAAGGGAGATAGAGCACATACTAGAATACAAGGTTATACTACGGTGCTCAATGTGGTGAACAAGAGGGAACGAGCGTGCAGAGTACAAGAAGCGAATGATCGCCACACGATCGGGGGAGGGAATACTACAGCTTCAATCATCAGCAAAATGTGCGAGATGTTCAAAGATAACTGGAAGTGACATTCAAAGCGACAAATGGCAAAAGCAAGTAGCGTGAGAAAAGCGCCACACGGCTTAAATAACCGTGGGAAATAAGCGATAAAATCGATTTTTTTGGGTATTTTTGTGTCAATTTTGACGGAGGTGTAAAATAAATGACGGGGCGAGGGTTGAGTGTCGGGATGAGCGTGTCGGGATGAAAGATATGGCAGAGATGGTTGAGAGTGTCGTGGATAAGGTTGAGTGAGCGTGAGGGGTGTGTGGGAAGGGCGTGTCGGTGGAATAGAGCGTGTTCGTGACGTTTTCGAGGTGTGTGAAGGTGGTGAAGATGAAATGTGAGCGTCAGAGATGGAAAAATGGGCAGAGACGTGGGTGAGATGTGATAAATCGGGCAGAGTCGATGTGAGTGAAAATATGAGCGTGTTGGATAGGAGCGTGTTTCGAGATGCAGGAGACGTGTTTTTGGTTAGGAGAGACGTGTAGAAGGAACGGATTGACGTGGGAGTCACGTTTTTGGGTATTTTTGTGTCAATTTTGACGGAGGTGTAAAATAAATGACGGGGCGAGGGTTGAGTGTCGGGATGAGCGTGTCGGGATGAAAGATATGGCAGAGATGGTTGAGAGTGTCGTGGATAAGGTTGAGTGAGCGTGAGGGGTGTGTGGGAAGGGCGTGTCGGTGGAATAGAGCGTGTTCGTGACGTTTTCGAGGTGTGTGAAGGTGGTGAAGATGAAATGTGAGCGTCAGAGATGGAAAAATGGGCAGAGACGTGGGTGAGATGTGATAAATCGGG